TAACCACTGAATCTCCCGTGCTCGTGCGAGTCGGCTCTCCCTTTCCTTCCCTGGCTCCCTCGTTTTGAATCCTGATTGGGAGAACGTGCCTGTAGCTGGGATCAGAGACACAAAACACCGGGTCAATTAAATAAAATCCCCGTTCTTTTTTTTCGTTTTATGCGTGTCTAGGAAGGTACGTCTGGTTACCCGGTTGCCCTTCCCCAGCATTCCTTCCATTCCCCTCCCTAGAATTTGGCATTCCCTAGGTGATGCGCAACTCCCTTCCCAAACACTCCCTCTCGTCTTCCTAACACTTGTCTCCCAGCCCTCTCGTGCAAACGAGGGACCTTTCAGTTGACGATTGTGCATTCTAGTGCTTGTCACTATTTCGGCTCCGAAATAATCACACCTTTTGCTGGCTTCCCCGGATACATCACTCTCACCAGCCTCGATCTGTCCGAGTGTTTAGCGTCATCAACCATCTTTTCCTTTTCTCAAGTAAAAACTACTTCTCGACTTCCCGGTGAACTGTTAATTTAGGATGTCAATTTTGTTTACTTTCACTTAATTCTGCGGTCAGTGACCTACTGTGTCCGGCTGGATCAACCCAACGAAGGGGACCTTCAAATTATCAATTGGACTGCAGAAGACATGGAACCAATGAAGCCACACATTGCGCCGTTGAAAATCGAAAAGGAACACTCCAATTTCCATACAAACCGCTACTATTGCTCCCAACAACACTCTGAAATGACTCCTCCTTTAACTCCTTATACGGCCGCCGCCGCATCTCAAGACGACACGATGGATCGAACGGAAACTCCAAGAGCTGTTTTCCACAACTATCTTCGCGCATTCTATCCTTTTCACCCCACTGGGGACGTGTCCCCTTCCACCGTCACGCTACCCTTGGACCAAGGTGACATCATTTTGGTACATTCGGTTCACACCAATGGGTGGGCAGACGGCACGTTATTAGATACTGGCGCTCGCGGCTGGCTACCGACGAACTATTGCGAAGCTTACGACCAATTGCCCATGCGCCCGCTCTTGAAAGCATTGACTGATCTTTGGGATATAATCCAAGGGGGATGTGATTTCCCTCTGCGAGACTTCTGCAACCAGGACAATGTCAAGGGGTTGATTGCGGGCGTGCGGTTCCTCCTGGTAAGATTTTCATGTTCTCCGGTGGCAATAAATCAGACTTCTGACAGGTATTATTATTAGGAAAAATCGGAATGTCTCACTCGCGAATCGATTCTGATCAAGGGCCATGATGGGCTGCGCAGGAACCGTAAAGCGTTGCTTGCCGACCTATCTTCCCTGGTGAGAACCACCAAGAAATGCCAGGAATTGTTCAACGGGGATGCCGCCGAGGACGAGGTGTACATGATGGATGAGATGCTCCTCAAGGCATTCCGAATCGTGACTCGAGGAGTCCGATTCCTTGACGTCTGGAACGAAGAGGTGGGTTTGAGCCGTACGATCGCCGAATTGGAGCAGCATTCGACCCAATTCGACTTGCCGCCTACACCCGCATCCGAGACATTCGATGCGGCTACCTCGGAAGCTGAGACCGAACGCAACGAGTCCAGACTCCTGAACAGGAGTCGAATGGACATGAGCCGTGCATCGAACCGAACGGATACGCTAGACTCACAGCCGCCTCGCCCCGTATCTGTCACGACCAAGCGGATCTCCGTCTCCCATCGAGTGTCTTACTCCGGACCCGCTGCCGCATCCCGAAACCCGAACCTAGCGTCCGAACGACTCAACGCCACGTACGATGCGTTTCTTGGGGTGCTCGGTTCATTCATTGGCCTACACTTGCAGTCTCGACCCTCGGCGGAGCTGGTTGTGACGACGGAGCAGGCTGTGCGGTCTTGCCGCGGCCTCCTCACGGTCGTGGAAGCCGTGTGTGAACACAACCCGCAGGACAGCGGACTTCTGGAACAAGCGCGAGACACCATGTATGAAAGACTGTCAGAGCTTGTATATGCGGCACGGGATGCCTTCCGACCTGCTCACTCCCCGGAGGATGAGCTAGTGTTCTTGCCCGATGAGGGCAAGCGCCTGGTCGACGCTGCCACTGACTGTGTCAGAGGAGCCGGTAACTGTTTGGCCAAAGCTCGCCGGGTGCTTGAGCAGTGCGGTGATTTCGAACTGGAGCCGACCCCCACAGACGCTGCAACCACTCCAGATGCCAACTCTACTCCGCAACCGCAGCGAACTTGCAACATTGTCGAGGACGAGACTCGCTCCCAGGAGCAGTCCCTACGGCTTCCTCCCCCTCCCTTGCAGATTCCCATCGGCAACCGCTCCTCCACTTCCACTCCCGCCCTCACCGACGACACCACCCCGTCATCTTTCAACTCCCGTGCAGGAATGACTACTCCGGTTACTGCGATTACCGACTTTCCCTCCATGCCCTCCACCACCGTGCTATCCAACAGCCTAGATAAGATCTCGTTTGCGTCCTCCATGCAAGAGGCTGCTGAGAATACCCCTAATCGTGACAGCCACCCCAAATCGGAAGTTAGTGAGTCCTTCGGTCGGGGAGTTACGAGTACCGGCAGCAGCTTCACGTACAACAGTCACCTGCGAGACTCGGAAATGAGTGGAGTGTCCCAGACATCCACTCGCGCTACGTCTCCGGATATCGGAAACCATTATCAGGTGCCGTCTCTGAAGGGCAGCGTCAGCCACTCGACCCTCGCTGAGGAGAACGAAGAGACGGAAGCCAACCTCCTTGAAAAGACCTACGCTCATGAACTTATCTTCAAAGATGGTCAAATAATGGGTGGTAGCCTCCGGGCGCTCGTCGAGAAACTCACTGCGCACCAGTCGACCCCTGATGCCATGTTTGTATCGACATTCTACCTTACATTCCGTCTTTTTGCCACCCCGCTCGAGTTCGCAGAGACTCTTGTAGATCGGTTCAATTATATCGGCGATACTTCGCACGCCGCAGGCCCCGTCCGACTACGTGTATACAACGTGTTCAAGGGCTGGTTGGAGGCCCATTGGCGCCATGACTGTGATGACACGGCCTTGGATTACATTGTCAACTTTGCCAATACGACGCTCATGCACAACTTGCCCTCCGCTGGAAAACGTTTGGTAGAGCTGACGGATAAGGTTTCAAAGGTCCACGGACCCGTGGTGCCGCGTTTGATGTCTTCAATGGGCAAGACGAATACAGCGACGGCACATTACGTGCACCCGGATACGCCCCTGCCGGCCCCCATCTTGAACAAGAAGGAGACGAACCTTCTCAGGCAGTGGAAGAACGGCGAGGCCAACATCACCATTCTGGACTTCGATCCGATGGAATTGGCCCGTCAGTTCACTATCAAAGAGTCGCGCATCTTCTGTGCCATTCTCCCGGAAGAATTACTGGCGACCGAATGGATGAAGAAGTCGGCCTCCCTGGCCGTCAATGTCAGGGCGATGTCCACTCTATCAACGGACCTAGCGCACCTGGTGGCCGACTCGATCCTTCAGTTGGAGGAGCCAAAAAAGCGCGCCGTCATTATCAAGCATTGGGTCAAGATTGCCAACAGATGCTTGGAGTTGAACAACTATGACTCCTTGATGGCCATCATTTGTTCGCTCAACTCATCCATGATCTCCCGACTGAAGCGCACATGGGAAGTCGTTTCGCAGAAGACAAAGACGACGCTTGAGTTCCTCCGGGGGATCGTGGATGTGTCGCGCAACTATGCCGTTCTGCGGCAACGGCTCCAGGGCCATGTCCCTCCGTGTCTACCATTTGTCGGCACATACCTGACTGATCTCACGTTTGTCGACCACGGCAACCAGCCGCTACGCAGCCTCCCAACGGACGACGGAGATATGGCCGTTATTAACTTCGATAAGCATATGAAGACGGCCAAGATCATCAGCGAGCTACAGCGCTTCCAGATCCCCTACCGCCTGACGGAAGTCCCCGAGCTGCAGGCATGGATGCAGAACGAGCTGATTCGAGTGCGATCAAACGGCGAGAAGAGCCTGCAGACGTTCTACCGTCGATCGTTGGTACTGGAGCCGCGTGAATCTCACGCAGCCCAGCGACCCAACTTGCAAACTGAACCCAGCTCGTCCTCATCAATCCTGGAGAATGCCAAGGACAAGTTTGATTTCCTGTCCTGGACCCATCCCTCCAAACCCAAGTCGGTAGCGACAAATGGTTAGATCCGCTGACTCTTCGCTTCACGGCCGTGTTATGACTTTACGACAGCCAACTTTCTATAATGCTCATTCACATCTCATACGGTGTTATCATTCTCACTATTACCACCCATCATCTCTATACTCCTTACCATTCTTTTACTGTGCATACGTTTTTACTATATCTTTTTTTTTCTCGGGAGGCCCTTGTGATATTTTTTTATGCGAAATATTCATTTCTTGCTCTGAACAAAAGCGACACTGGATCAGGATAACGCCGGATGGGAGTCAAAACGGATTTCATCAAAATGAAAAGGGTGATTCGACAACGATGACAGGAAAAATCACATAAAGTGGGATATAATATACAGGATTACTACTCAAAGCCTCGCGGCTGGGAAATTTTTCTTGCACACAGTTGACGGGGTCATACTTTTTTTTTCTTACTTCCTTGTCTATTCTCTTTCATTTCTCTGTTTTCTTATTTCTTGTTTTTATACCTCTGCTTTTTGTTTTCTGCATCGGACTATACCTTTTCATTTATCACCCTGGATTTTATTTTGGATACGTTGGTTACTTTTGTTATTTTCGTCTTGGCTGTCGCGAAGACTGTGTTACTATGGATTGTTGGTTTGGATTTGGATTGGACAGGATTAGGTTTTTGGACTTGGATCGATGAAAGGTTAGCGTTGGGAGGATTGCATGTACTGTATTTTGTATATATACCTATATGGTCAATTGACCTCGTCGACTAATATTATCGATGTGTCCTTATCATTACTGTTCTTGGATATTTTAAATCCGTACAGTTGAGTGGCATGCTCTGTGTCCGGGAGAACATCATCGTCTCAGCGAGACTGCCAGTTTTGAAACGCCTCCACGAGCCCAAGTTCACTTAGATCTTCACCTTGTTCCTCATCGCCATCCAATCCATCGATCATATCAACGATGGGGATCATTGATGGCCGTCCGTGCGCACACTGGAATGGGAACACGCATTGAGCCAACCGGTTTACCAGATGCTGACATTCCCCGGCCGTGAGCTCGTCGTTGAACATGATCGCCGTTCGACACGCTCGTGAATTCAGCAGGTCAATCAGCCCTTGGGGACATCCCTTGAGTCGGCCTACCCATCCCTTGTCTTCGTCTGCGTGATCCGGCCGCCTCCTCGTTTCCTCGCGGCCCCAAAGCTCGCCGCGAATCAGTTCAATAACCAGAATCGGCTCCATCCGGCATCGCTCGGCGATAAGCAAAGGGACCCTGTGTACGAAGATGAATGCAGATCGCTCCGTGGGTTTCTGTTCAACAGTGTATTCAATACCCCACGATCCAAAAAAGTCCCGGTACCGCCCAAAAAGAGGTTTTTCTATGGAAGGTATCTCGAACACCAACGGGTCCAATGTGATGGTCTGGATACGCCTGAAATCATCCGGTGACGGCGTAAATAACTCCTCGAAAAGAGCCTCGACACGGCAGCGCTCATCTGCCGCATGCTGGTCGATAAGAACCAATGTAGTCACGAAGCCCTCTGTTTCGTGAGCAGAGGTGACATTAAGTCTTGCTAAGACGAACTTATGATCGACTTGGGCGATAACCTCTGCCTTTTGAAGGTCTTGCTTGAGTAATTTGCCTCGGAACTTCGATATTCCAAAGGTTTCGAACCCACACAACTCACTTGACGTATCGCGGGATCTGGTTTCCACAGCTTCGGTCACATTGCTGTGACCTGAATCGATAGCATGTATGGGCTGCTCGGAGCGGGCGAAAGCAGGATTTTCCCAATGATCCAAAAGGTTGCTAACCCAGAAGTTTTGAGCTTTAGCAGTCACCGCTGACTTCGGACGATTTCCAAGCTTCAAGGTCCGCACAGTCTGAATGCATCCTGTCGATCGAGGTCTCTGATTTGCCTGGTTGGAAATAATGTGTGGCATCTCGCTAACTGATTGCCCAGTCCGGGAGTTGATTAAGTGGCTTTTTCTAGTATATGGATCAATCCAGGACACTATTCGATCGGCCGTCGACTCATCTTTCCCATGGAAAACCAAAGGAGGGTTGTCATTTCCAACTTGTGGCGGTTCTACAGGCCTCGAATCTTCAGTGGCCATTGATATCGTCACCGAAGGAACTTGAGCAGGTTCCTTTGTAGTCGGTTCGTTGTTGGCCATTTTCGAGGCGCGATCGGGATTAGAGCTTGGAGTTCGTCTTCTTGGAGGTGCCTTGAAAGAGTCTCTGGCACTCTTGGCTTTAGACCAATTCCCTAAATCCTCGACATTGCGTGCGGGGATATGAAATTCGGGCAGCTTCACACGGCTATTGAGCGTTTCTTCGGTACTGGCATTGTCTGTATGGCCCGCTGCAATCGTTGGTTTGCTCGTACCTTGGGCAGTCCATTGTGCCTGATTCATTGTCCTTTTTCTTTTCCTAGCACGTGGACGAAGACCGTGCTGTTTCAAAAATTCATTCATCATAGCCGCAAGCACGTCCATGATGCGTTGGATAGATTTGTCAGACTCCGGAACATCCTCGCCATCATTTATTTCTTGAGCATTGGCATCTATACGTATATAGAACATCGGCCACTTATTCACAAGTTTAGTCATCGGGTTGAATCTGGTACCGGTATGATCACTAGGAGGTTCGGCTAGACCTCCACGCAAAGATCGTTCCGGAGGGCCTCCCATGGCACCAAAGTCAGATGAAGAGAATAGACTGTTGGTCTCACTGTACAGCAGATTCGTACTGTTACGTGCATAGATTGGGTTCATCCCCACTGAGATGAACTGAACCTTTTTTGTAGGGCTTGGCTTAAGGGAAATGGCAGCATGGATCGAGAGGTCAGGAAGAGTAGCGGAAACGGCGTTCCAGCACTGAGTATTCTGAAATTCGGCTAAACCAGCCTGCGCAAGGACGGAGCTTATGCGCTGCAAATCTAACGCACCCTCCGCTGACTGGCTCTGATTGCGTGGACGAATGATGACCTTCTTCTCCCGACTGGCATCAGATATCACTAGCTTTGCAAGACGGTCATTTGCCAACATTAACGAGACTAGAAGCTGCCTGAGTTCATCCCACTGACGATCTAGTTCGTCAGACTTCTGGAAAGCCAGCGCTCGATTTTTCACGCGCACAGGCATATTTCCAAAAAGATCGTTCACAGTGATGCTGGTCCCATGGGGGCTAAACCTCAGCCCTCGCGAGGCTGGGGCAGGGACCAGCCGAGCAACCGGCGTGGAGTGGTGAAATATTACCGTGCTTTTGCTTGGATAGTGGACATGATGAGATGTAATGGTAAGCAACGACAGAGAGGCCAACGAAGCCAAGAAAGAGCCCCGTCGGCCATACACTTCCCGTTCCGAATTGAACCTTGAGGTATCTGTCTGCGTATGAGCAAATGGGCGCAAACATCTGGCAGGCTGGTGTCACATACGGTACGGCTTCCCCAGGCCTCCGTCGGATTCAAACTCGGTCGGTGGTATTCCATCCCCATCATCATCTACCACACAACCGCCCCGTTGGAAGTCAATGGTCACGTAGACGGTATGGGCATTTGCATCCAGGGCATTCTTCACTAGTTCAACAACCACGCCGTTTAAGTGCGTGATGGACGTGGACGACTTGAGCTTCGCTACCACTTCGGACGGAAGCGATTGGATCTTTTGCTCATTTCCAGACATTTCCAAAGTTGTTCTGTGGGTTAGTACGCTAGATATGAGTGTAGTACTTCACTCGGCATGATGGCGAACTGTTTGGTGTTGCCGCTACGCCGGCATCAATCAGCAACCAACTAAGTGTCGCGATGAGAGCTGGATAACCATTTAACATTCTGAGTGAGATACTTATTGAGTCGATATGAAAGACGTCGGTAGGGTAATCACTTCCATGGCGAGGTGTCGAGTTGAGCAGAGAAGGAAGAGCAGTTTCGGGGAAGCGACGGAGGATGATGTCGTGGTATCACGTGACAAGCATCAAGTCATCGGGGCAAGTACTACTACTAGATGTACCCAAAACAAAAAACACTGTCTTTCTCAGCAAAAGCAAGTACTGTACATACTACTACTATTATCTCATGTGTATATCTATCTCAAAGGAAACTTATGCACAATATGTTAACCAAAATGCATGTATGTATACCTCCTGGACTATCATCACGCCTGTCCAGACAATCAAACTGAATGATATTCACAAAGTGTACCGTTAAATCGTGATAAATCAGGGTATCGTTGCACGGATCATCATGGACGAGGATTGCTGGCCACCCATGGGATCTCCACATCGAGGCACTTTGCGACTCGCATGGCGGAAAAGATACAGCCCTCCAGCATAACCATCCCATCCCAGCACCAGCCCCCGACGAGGAAAACGTTACCATCTCCATTTCTCCAGGATTGCTGTTTCTCATCTAGAATGTGCTGGGAGGGCTTGATGTTGATCACGCGGTTGACAATGTCCCTACTCTCGGTCGTTCGCAAGACACGGGTGAACTTGGCCCGATGAATGACCTTGGCCGGATCAATTGGGGCAATCGGGTAGGTTGTTATAAGGGCGGACGAAGGATGTTCGTGTACTGACTCCGATGCCGATGAACTGGAGCAGATGTGGATTGGTTGTGCAGGACTGAAGCCTGCAGATGTACTGGATTGCTCTGAGCGCATCTGTTGCTTCAAGGACGTGCTACACCCAGATATGCGGGAGAAGTCATAATGTACAACTGACTCAACGAAGGTAGTCGGGATTCCGGTCATGGCTTTCCGTAGAGGAGAGAATATAGCACCGACGACATCAGGGGTCACCGCCATAATCGCATAATCGAAGGACTTGGCGTGGGCCTGGCCATCTCTAGTAGTCCAACTCACTTGAACCTTGTTGTTGCCGATGTCCTTGACTTCCGAGACCTTGGCACCGTAGTGTACCTTTTGCTTCTCGGCCAGTTTCTCTTGCACTTTGCGCACACCCCCAAGGACCAGGAAGTGAGGTTTTCGGAATGTCCTCCTCTCATATTCCACGATGTCGATAGCAGGAAATGAAAGCACAGCATCATGAGTGCATGTTGTAACACTAGACACCAGCGGGAGTAAATAGTTCTTGACATAGTACTGGGGTAGCCGAATCCGTTCTAGATATTGCCGGAACGATTCTTCCTCTCCAAAAGTATGAGCCATCCTAGGCGTAACCCAAAAGCAACAGGCCGTGAACCAGAAATAGCATATCGCCAAGTATATGAGCTCGACTATCCATGTACCGAACGAGCTCCCCGCCGGTCGTAGTGGAGGAATTCTATGGTTGTTGGACGAATGAATGAAATGAGGAGAGACCTGTTCGCCTTGCGCTCTGGGGAGAGTCGATAACGTATATATAAATCGTGGCGAGATGAACTTGATGTTGAGATACTCGTACATTCGTTTCAAGTTTTCATAATAGCCGCCCGCGAAAACGCGCATGGGCAGATCCAGCCGATTTTGTGCGGAGGGAAGGTCGCCTTTAGTTGTAAGGGTATACGAGGCCGAATCGAGGGACAAGTGATCTTGCTGATGGTTTCAATTGAATGAATTAGCACACGTTAGTCAGTCTCAGGAGCGACAGGAAACTGGTACCATCTCGAAGATCTCGACATCGTATCTGCCCCGACGGTCGGTTCTCAGCAGGTATGCCGAGATAAGGCCAGCCATTCCAGAGCCCACGACCGCAATCCTCTTCCGTCCTGGCTCTTGTGCAGCAGACATGATGAATGGGATGGGTTGATGATCAATTGTTGACTGCGAAGGGAGGTGCTGGACGAGGCCAGGGCGCCACCTGAGCGGGCGGGTTCAAAGAAAACGATCGGTCGAATCTTCCAGGGTCTTTTCTGCAGACTAGCGAGAGCCCCGTATTCTGCAGCCTCGGTTGATCCACTGAGGCCCACTCTGCTAGTGACGAGGAGCCACCCAGACGACTGATATTGCCAATATGTACTCGGTGGAAAAGGAGTTTTCCAATCTACTAGGATCTGGAATCTCCCAAGGAGAATATATAGACTTCAGGAACAAAGGAAGGACGAACCACGCGGTTGCAGCCGGGTGGAGTGACACGACGTGCACCAACGCCTTGGCCTGCGTCTCATTTTCCCTCCTCGTATCTGATCATGCACAGAGCTGACTAGATTGCGACCGAGGCAAGCATATACCGGAGAGACCCGCAGCCAATGGATGGTTGATCTTGACTTGGATGTAAGTATTTCAACATGGCGAATTGGCGATACTGCAAACTTCTCCACCTCACTTATAGAAAGGATCATTAAGGATCATGCAGGACAATCATTTCCTATGACTTCATCGTTCCCCTTCATCCCCTGGGGCGCCACGAATTGGCACAATATCGGTGATGTACCGGTGAACATGACTGCAGGAGGCTTGAGGAGACAATCGTTTCTTAATTCTCGCGTTGATTCTCTTGCTTTCTCGCCGGACGCCCAGGAGCATGTGACAGTCTGATTAATAATCGCTGTTTGTTTATGCAGGGCATTAAATAGATATGCCCGATGCATAATTAGCTCGTGACCAAGGTTGCTGAGTCATTCGCCATCGTCGAAGCCGCGGGCATCACGTGCATCAGGCGCCGCTCCTGTTGACTCCTGACGAAGTGCTGGCATCCCATCCCTCTCCATCCATCTGGCGCAATTAGCTTGCTGCTTTTGCTCCTTGAAATTTAATCCGGCGAGTCGCTCAGTGCCCCTGAGAACGGTCCCCCGTTCTTGTTTCTGGCAGCCTTGAACTGCCCCGCAATCGATCGTCCTTCTCCTGGGGCACTCGCATAGATTCGCTTGAGGCGATTCTTCTGTTGGCTGTTGGGGGTTCACTTGCAGCATCACACGTTTGCTAGATCTTTTCAACCTGCGAGTCTGCGCGTATAGATTGGGAGGGCAGTGCCAATTTCTGGTTCTCTGTTCCTGACCGGCCAAGATGGCCACCGCTGAGGGCCCGGCGAGGGTGCACGGTACAGTGTCCCGAGGGATTCTTGCTAGAATCTACTGGTTGTCTAACGCCTTGTTTCCCGCAGATCGAAACGGTCGTCGCCGCCCATTTTCGAGCTGGATGAAGCGTCTCGCCAACCTCAAAAATTCCACCGATTCAGGCAGCATCCGCTGGTCCAACAAACTCCATGCTATGCCCAAACACAAAGGCCGAGGTCTGAAGAACAACCCATACCCACTTTCGGGCACGACGCACGTTATCAGCGAATATAACAGCGACAACAACACTTCGGATGCCAGCGACGTGAGTGAACAACGGTCGGGCTCGCAGAGCGAGCCCTCCCTTGCATATTCAGGATACGAGAACCAAGTTCCAGCCACCAGTGCAAAGTCCACCGCACCCACCATCTCCACCAACGCCGACACCGCCATATCGGATGCCGCCTATTCCAAAGCCGGGACCATGGCAACAGCCGGCGGGGGAATCAGCTCGACTGGAGGCGGCGAAGGCAGCACTTTTTCATCGCCGGCGCCGTCGGTGCGGTCCCTGGCGACGACCTTGACAACCGTGCAGTCGGCGGCGCCGTCTGGTCACCTCTACAATGCGCAAAATGCGCACCACGCCCATCATCATGCGCATCCGATGCAAGGCGGCGCGACTCAGCAGGTTCAATTTACGCACCAATTTCCCCCTTCTCCGGCCACCGCAGTTCCGCCCCACCTTGCCCCTCACGGCCATTCCGTCACGTATAGCACGGCCACCGCCAACAACATCTTGACTGACAATGCTTCGATACTGACGCTTGCGTCCTCCTCGAAGCGACGCCGGAGGAACTCGTTGGATACAAACGCGTCGGTGCGCGCTTTGGCCCCGTCGTCGGTGTTTGGTGGCAGCCGAGAGAGTCTGCCTTTAAGCGTGCTCAGCGGCAGCGTGGCCGAATCTCCGAACAACCCCGGAGTGCTTAATCGGCCGAGCATGGTTGGATTGGCTAGTGCAGAGCGGATCAGCGTTTACTCATCGTCCGGTGTAGCACCTGTCAGTGGGAACGGCGAGCGCGGCAGCTTCTATGCCAACAAGCAGAATTCGGTCACCGGGGACGGAGCTAGCGTTGTTAGTGCTCATGGCAGGCATGATAGCAACGCGGCGAGTATCTCCGGGGGTATAAGCTGTCCCTTGAGCGGCCCGTCCGCCAGCCAACCCATGGCGACCGGGCGAATGAGTCGTCGTAGCTCGGGCTGGGGAGAGATCCCGGGCGACGAGAGTGAAGAAGAAAAGCCCAGGGATAGAAAGGGATAGGGGCTAATAGGAGGGATCGATTCATGATGGACGACGTTACGCCAGATATTCCCAGATATGGACAGATTGAGCCTGCGGTGTATATTTTTCTTTTCTTTTTGGTTCATGCCTATCCTTGGTTTTGTGTGATTTTCTTTGCCGATCCTCTCTTTCCCATAACGACTAATGCATGGAGGCTTTGATAGAGAAACAAATTCACGATGGAGTTGGGTTGCTTTTTCCGGAATGCGATGGGTTCGGCGGGTTAGGCTGGGATTGGAGTGAATGCATACAATGTATCTGATATCCTACGGTGCTGGAATTGATTCGATTGATTGACTTGCCATTCACTCTGGAAACCTATTGGTGTCAACGCCTTGGCGACCCGACCACTTCAAGTGTGATAACCCAGCCTATCTGCAGACAAGCTCTGCCTCTGTCCTTGTATTGCTTTTCCCTCTCACCATCTACCCGCTCATCAGTGCAAAGGATGAGTGCCAAAGCGGTTATGGAAAAAAGAGGACGTGACGTGGCCATCGTGGGCACCGGCATGGCGGGCCTAGTGACTGCATATCTGCTGCATCACGATCGACAGCAGCGATTCAGGGTGCATCTACTGGACAAGGTTTGTTGCGGCCCCTGTCGATCCATGAGGTCCAAGCCCTTTTCCGTGCAAAATATTGACGAAGCTCTCGTCTAGAGTCCCCAAGTCTCTTTAACCGCCGAATCAATCGCTACCGCTTCTACCCACCGGGGCTCCGTCTGGGCAGATGTCCCCATGCGTGCTTTTGCTGGTGGATACTATCACAACCTCCTGCGCATGTACGACCATCTGGGCATCTGCTACCAGCCACAGCCATTCGTCTTCGGCTTTTCTCGGCGCTCAGCCCACCAGGCCCACGCCGTGGAACCGTACATGATCCATGCCTCCAACTTCCACCAGACTCCCCCAATCCCTCGCGGCCATCTCGTCCGATGGATATGGGAGGTGATATTTGTCTTGTTCTGCTACTGGTGGTTTGTTCTCTGCTGTTTCTTCGTGCGTCCGCTCGTGTTCGGCAATTCGGAGGGTGAGTCCTTCGATCACTATCTGCGTCGTATCCACCTGCCGCTGTACTATGTCGACAGCTACTTGCTGCCGATGATCTCGAGTGTCTGTACTTGCTCCCACGCGCAGCTAAGGCGCTTCCCTGCCTCTGACATTACCGCCTATAAAAGACTCATTCATCGGCAACCACATTTCGTTGTCCCCGACGGCGTCTACACCGTGCAGGAGAAACTGCTGCGTGGTCTGGACGTGCATCTCGGAGTTGAGACGATGGAGGTGCTTCCAACCTCGCAGGGTGTGCAGCTCACCTTGCGCGACACTACCGGTATGTACACCCAACCCTTCGACCTCGTCGTCCTGGCCGTGTCGCCGGATGTCGCCACCGCAATTTTCAGCCCGGCTCGGCCGTTCTTGCAGGAGGTGCCCACCACGACCGTCCAGACCGTCGCTCACACGGACTTTTCGAACGTCGTCGCGCCGCTGCAGGACGGATCTGCGGTGCACCCTAGCCCTAGTTCTCCGCAGATGATCTGCTTCTGTACCAACGGCCTTGTCACGGAGGCTATTCATGCCCAGCCCAATGGGATCTTGATCACAACTAATCCGCTCACGTCCATCGGCCCGACCACCATCATCCGGTCTGCGGTGTTCACGCGCGTGTTGCGTACCCCAGCTAGCCAGCGCATTCTGTGCGAGATCTTCAAGGAGGATGGTTCTACCGATGCAGACTCGAAGCGAGACATGTTGGTCGACGGACTCTCGAGATGGCGCAGCGGCGATGATGGGGTCTACCTGGCGGGCGGATGGTGGTGGGATGGCATGGTGCTGCTAGAGGGATGCGTCGTGTCGGCGATGCGCGTGGCGACTGATTTGGGAGTGGCCATTCCTTGGAAATGATGACATTATTGGTAGTTTGGTAATTGGCATTCGTATCTAGCTGCATGTTTACTGGGCATCCTTAGGTAGGGTCGCAACGCAGCATTTAGGGAGATCCAGATTGGGGGTCTCGCATTGGGATCTGATGGTTATTCAATATGACATTGGCTCTTCACTTTGAATTCTGTAGCACTTCAGTATAGAGTATAGAATATGGAGTATATCGCAATTATGATGGGGGCGAGGAACTGTGTACGATAACATGGCAGATCTTATCTCCATGTGACCCTCGGCACGGCCCAAACTGTCGATGCCAAAGAGAATGGAGGCAAGAGAAATGCCACCTCACCATGAATCCCATTCAATGGGTTCTCTCCCTCATCAAGTCTCTCCTAACCCTCTTCCTCCCGTCAACCGGGGATCGCTCCATCTACGGTCTTGACCATGCGGTTCTCAACACTCCCATGCCCCCACCAAGCATGTGGATGAACATGGGATATTGGAAGGTTCATCTTCTTGAGAATATCCAGAGAAAAAGAGACCCCGCTGATCTGTAAGCTTAGGATGGATCCGATCTCCCGGACGCCTGTAGGGCCCTCCTAGAGCAAGTCCTCATCGCGGCCGGCCTTCTTGATTCCGCCGGCCACCCGGTGCCCACAGACCGACAGCTCCATCTCGTCGATGTCGGGATCGGATGTGGCGATCAATCGCTGCACATGGTCAAGCTGAGGAAACCCGGCGCGCAAGCACCGAGCAATGACCGCAACGACCGCGTTGATGGGGTCGCGCCCCCGCTCTTCGACTCCTACGTCGGACTCACGCTCCTCCCCGAGCAGGCGGAGCTTGCGCGACAGCGCCTTGAGGCGTCTGCCACTGCCAGCATGAAATCCGCCCCTACCACCTCGACCGAACCAACCCAGGTGGACATTTTCTGCGCCGACGCCGCTGACCCAACCTCCTGGCCTCAGGAGCTCCAGCGCGCGATTGCCGGGGCCTCTTCTAACACCCCCTCGAGGAAAACGACGACAACGACATGGCTCCTCGCACTCGACTGTCTCTACCATTTCCAGCCCTCTCGAGCCCCGCTCCTCGCCTACGCAGCCACCGACCTCCACGCCTCCTTCATGGCCTTCGACCTCTTACTCTCCGACACCGCCACCGCCTGGCAGCGTCTGCTCCTCCGAGGCGTGTGCCTGATGACCCGGGCGCCGTATACGAACTTCCTGACCCAATCCGAGTACGAGGCACTTCTTGTGCGCGCGGGGTACTCGATCGACGACATCGTTGTGACGGATATCTCCGAGCATGTCCTTGGGGGATTGGCGGGGTTTATTCGTAAGAAGGATGCGCGCATGCGTCGTGTGGGGATGTCCGTGGGTGGGAAGTTTCGCGCGGCTGCGATGGTGTTTGACTGGTGGGCGAGGAGTGGTGTTGTGCGCGGTGTTGTGGTAGTTGCGGGTTTATAGTAATATGTAGTGGTATGTAGTATGTGCTCAGTAGCAGAGGCTATCGATTTATTAGGGTGTGAATAGTTCGGCTATCGACATATAGGGACCGAGAATGATAAAATTGTCCGGGAAAGATGAAATCAAAACATTTAATTTTGGGGGCTGCCGTCTCTGGAATGGGCAGCTTTTTCTTTTCTTTCTTTCTTTCTTTCTTTCTTTCTTTTTTTTTTTTTTTTTTTTTTTTTTTTTTTTTTTTGTTTTTCCATAATTGGAACGTGGGAAGGATAGATACATGAACTGTAGATATGGCTAGGTAGATAGCGGCGAATGGACAAGTTTCTATAGAATTATGCACATTATTATTGCCATCTACCCCTCCCAGCCCGTGGACGGTTTCCCCTAGCTCTGCGGTGTTTTAAGTTGGTAGAATAGTGAACCTGCAATGAATGAAGAGGAATTACGATCGTTTCTTCCTTCAACTTCAACTTCACCAGCAATTTGTTCTCGGTTGTTGAATACATCCGGGGTTCGCTTTCCCCACGAGTTTGAACGCTTACGCTCTGTGACGGAGAATACCACCTGTTTTCTCGGATTGCAGGGAGAACTGTGCGCGGCAATATTTGACACCCAACGGATGTTCTCGGGCACAAGATGAGGGTAAGAAAGTTAGCTCAGACCCTGGGTGTCATTAGCGGGAATTGCCCGCCGAACAATATCGCGAATCTCCTAATGCCCGGGCGATGAATCACTGGACGTGTCGTTGGGGTACTGTAGCGAGGAGCAGACCTACTCTGAGGACTGTGATTTCCCCCCGCAGATTCCTCAACGTCCGAGAATTCTCGTCAGATGGCGCCGCTCATGTAGTCTTCGTATGAGGAATCATCAAAGTCCTCGCTACTTTCACTCTCATATTCATTCAATGGAACAAGTTTCGGCGTTGAGCATACACTCCGTACAGATCTAGGCAGTGGCGGAGCAGTAACGACAGCGATAGAAAAGTGACACTCGTTACGAGCAGTGTTCTGCTTCCCAGTCCAAGGCGGAGGGCGTTCTCGTTTATTGCAATTTGGGTCTCCCGATGATGAGCTGGCTTGGGGTTCCCGAAGCTGCACGGAGCCATTGTTGACAGGGCAAGAAGTGAGCTAGTTCGGACGTTTGGGCGAGTGAGCGCGAAGTGACATCTCATCTGAATTGCTCTGCTCCAAACTCCAGGGCGTATATTGGCGCTAGAAAGAATGCGTTCTCAGGATCGCCGCACCGGATCATGCGTCAAGGTCCAGAGAGACTCGTCTGGCGAGGGGGGTGATGGAGAGGCCAAACTTCGGTCCAACGAATTTAATAGAATCTGAAGTGTTACCTCAATTGTGAGTAGTGGTCATAGATTCCCTCGCTTGGTTCTGGTGATGAGGCAAAAACGGCGCCGGCGTCGTAAGGCAAAGACTGTCGAACGCTTTCAAGAAGGTCATCCATCTGCCCCATATCAATATGCCTTGGTGGCTTGGAGATTGTACAGTCGGCTCCGAGATCACCATATACTAAGCCAGGCGCTATATCTGACGTTGTAAGAGACTGGCCTTTGAGATGCGGAAAAAGGGCTTCATCATAATGTGTTAGATGCCGGTATGACTGCTCACGTGATCCCACACTTATATTTAGTCGAGCTTTTCCTAAATACAAGCATTTTCACACTGATAGAGCTATCCATATCTCGCCGCCCTTATCATAATGCATTTCTCATGCGTCGCTTCTCGCGCTCAAAACAGTCATGATGGCTGTTCTTGTCTTGGCTAATGGCTGGGAAGTCGATCTCTCGCTTGCGTTTGTGATTAGGTGAAATACCACCGAGTGGCAGTCGTCGGGGTTGCAGCTTTGCCCGCTCAAAATCAATAAACATCACGCGACCATTTTCCTCGACCATGTTGCCGGGTATCGGATCGCCCTGAAGCACATTCAGTTCGTGAATCGCGTGCAAGGATTTCTCAACTTGTTGATGAATCTGTGGACAACGATCAAGGTCACGCCGGTTTGCAAGGGGTTTGCCGACGTAACTCATGAACATGAGGTGGACGATCTCGGCAATACCATCGTAAGGGAATGGGTGACGAAGTCGCAGGCTACCTAGTAGCACTGGAACGTATAACCCTTGAATCGGAGCGAGATGCGAGTAAATAAGTTCCTCATGTTTCGAGCCAGTAACAAATTCAACTGGCGTGCCTTTCCCTACAAACGTATATCCATGGGACCATAGTGTGATCTTGAAAAGCGCCCCGCGGCTTCCGTGCACATGCAGCGACTCGCACCCTATTTGTGTGTCAAGCTGCTGGTGGTCGCTAAAGAATTGTCGATCTAACTGACTAATGAGGGTCGCTGGGGTCAGACGATGTCGATCCACTCCATGATCCGATACATTCGGACATTTGCGATCTAGCGTCCCTCCTTTGATCAAGCCCAGAAGACACTGCTGAGAGCAATATTGCCGGGACTTGCCTTTGTAGCCTGAACCTTGGGGTGCTGCCTTTCCTGATGTGGAACGGGGAGCTGGCGGGTGAGCAAGCCGGCGATCTCTAGGCGGACGGCTGGGGGTATTGGGGTCAAAGTCATCACCAGCATCATCATCATCACGTTTCTGAGAGCTGATATTATATGAAGGGTCACAGGACCCGACTCCAGCGGACTTTGACCTTGTCTTAACCGGAGACATGCGGCAATACTCGTTCCGACTCCGCCTCGGTGGTTTGAAACTAGTAAAGGGAATATTCTTCTCTGCTATTTCGTCAAGAAGATCGTCGTATACCATTTCCCAAGTGTCCAGGTTGCAGCGTGCCTGGTTTATCCAAGCGATATCTCGGGTGGGTACTCGTAGGGCACGGAGAGTGAAAGCCAGTACCTGACCTAGCGCGGTCAGGTGGAGTCGGTTATCATCACTATTGCCAGTCCATCCTGTGGTGGGACCAACATCTTCTTCCGGTACTGACAGGTAGTAGTAAACAGTAGAAGGATCGTCATGCAGTACACGAAGAAATATGAATGCTTCACCAGTGCATACATAGCCGTACTCCAAACCCGCATGAATCATGTATGAAAAAGTTTGGGTTATTACTGCCGCTATAACACGACTGCAGATATCTTCTGGCGATTCATCTTTCTGTAAGCGAACAACCATGTCAAGGTCCTTGTCTTGAAGCCCGGCTTTGATATGGGCAAGGGAAACCTTATGGGGTGCCTTATACTCAATGATGAACGCCGGGACCTTCGATTCTGGGCCCTTATTATAGACACAGAATTGATCTGCTCGAGGTTGTGACCTTGACTGACTTTTCTGGATGGATGGACCAACATTGGTCGGTTTGGCGGCTAAGCGAGTGGAGCGACGCGGCTGCGTCTGGCTGAGGCTTAGAGAGCGTACAGCTGCTTGATGACCGAAGCAACACGTGACTCAACAGTCTGTCGTTCAAAGTAACTCAGATCTAGCTCTGAGCCTAGCATCCTCTCTCGGATTTCAGCTCCATATCCCTTGAGTAGTATTAGAGAGGTGAAATGGCGTTCGGTCACAAAATCGGTATTCATTAGATCGTCCCATATCAGAATCTGTTCCTCTGGGAAGTTGCTCCACTCTCGAATCCGAGCGGGGCGGAGTTTGCGGTCGGCGTTCGCGGGGTTGCCCTGTGTAGTAGAGCTTTTGTCTTGTTGGATTTTCAAAACGAGGAATGAATGCAAATGGCAAGCATCAAGGAATTCGGGGAGGGTGGTATCTTGAGTTTGACGCCTGAACTCTTCCTCTGCCTTTTCCCGCCGCCGTTGTTCCTCTTTTCGTAGTCGCTGTTCCTCTTCCAGGCGCCGACGCAACTCTTGTATCTCCTGCAACTCCCGCTGCGACATCCTATTCGGTGTGGAATGAGTGGGTGATGTGAAGATGGCGGAAACAGATGTTTGTTTTGGTGGAAAGAGGTGGAGCAATCGATGCACTAACTGTAAACGGTTAGAGATTCACCGCTTCGAGCCTACCGTACTCCACCTAAGATTCATCTGGCAGAATTCAAGTTCTGTATACTTTCTTGTTTATAAAGAACTATAGAAATCATAGATATTAACTCTATTCATTATATATAACTTGAGATAAATTGTAACTTACCTTTACAAAGTTGGTGTAATACACTGATCAAAGTTTGGTATTTCATCAATAATTCAGGCGGTGAATTGCGGGTACACTGGATGATTCCCTTTCAGGCGTTGTGCAACTTGTGCCTCCCAGTTCCACGGAATAAAGAACCGTCCAAATACAAAATTGTCGACAGGACAGAGACAGTTGAAGAAATACACGATGTGGACACCCTATCGATGAGCATTTGGGCCCATAGTGCATAAATCTGTATAAATTAGAGTCTTGGCATACATAACGCAGCCTATGGAGGTAGATCACTGATCTGTACTTGCATTGTGGGCTGAAAATCCGTCGATTTGTACCCACTAGGCCCTGTTCTAGAGCATTGAATCGTCATAGTGAAGAAGAAATGTACAGAAGACATAAAACGTATTTGCGGCTTTTATTTCTCTGTGGTGAGAAGGGAATCATCGTTCTCCAACTGGAGTCGGTACTTCAGATCAAAACATGAGAAAAACGTATGAACATAAAACATCACTCATCCACCCAACCCATTCGTGCTCCATGAGACGCCGCCTCCAAGTCTCCGAAATGATCCAGATTAAGTATGAACAGAAGAAGTAGAAAAATCAGAAGGCTAGGTAAGCATCTACAGACACGGAAAACAATCAAATCAGGGAATATGAAAAGCATGGAGGTTAAAAAAAAAACTTAGGTTTCATCGTGCTTAGGCAGTGCCCACACCGATCTTCGACTCAGAACTACTCCGGTCGGTATTGGCCTTCTGAGACGCAAGGAACTTCTTGAACATGTTTGCAATGTCCGTCTCGGACTTCTTTTCCTCCTGAGCCGTCTGGCCGTTCTTTTCGGTGATCAGGTTCTTCAGCCATTGGTTCTCCAGTTCCAGTGCCGTTACGCGCGCCTCCAGCGCGGTGTTCTTGTCGGTGGTTTCCTTGACGGTCTTCTCTAGAGCCTGCTCGCGCATCTTCTTCTTCACACGGAATCGAGCGCTTGCGGCCGTGTTTCGTCGGCGCTTGTCTTCCTCGGCGGCATTGCGCGCGGCCTCCTCAACGCTAACAGTGGGTGTCTTCTGCGTGTTCTTGCGCTTGGGTCCTGCGGTAGGCGTACTGGCGGCAGGCGTGGGAGCCGAAGCAGGAGCTTGCGACGGGGTTGCAGAAGGAGGCGACGAGGCAGACGATTGGCTCGGGCTGTGGGTAGCATTGTAGCCCCCGTTAGGCAGCTGGGGCATCGCGGAGAAGTTGGGCAACGAGTTTTGCTGAGACTGGGGGTTCACGGAACCAAATTCAGGTGCTGGATACTCCGGCATGTTGCCAAAGCCCTCTGTATGCAGTTAGAGACTGATCATGGTCTGATTGCGACGAAATTGAGGCATATCCCAAAATGGATCTCAGCTGGTATAAACAAGACATAGACAGGATAGTATGGATGTAGTTGCACACCCTCCACACAACCCACAACATGACCCCTTCCCAGGCTGAAAGTGAATGAAAGGGTGTCTCCATTCACTGAAGCCCGAGAGTCACGTGTGATGGCGCCATAGCGTCGACCGTTTACGCTATCGGCGCCAATGGGAGGGCCCATGCAAGTAGCACGAAACTTTTAGCGATCGTCGCACACAACAAGGGGGGCTGATGCAGGAATGGGCCAATGATGGCACGTGCAGATGATGCATGAAGGGCGGTAGGATCCATTCGCTGTCTTGGGATATAGACCCGAGTTGAAGTGGTGTAGCGTTGAGAAAGACTCCACCAGAAGGAAGAGGCGAAAAAGCAATGAAAAAAAGAAAAAAAAATGAAGAAAAAAGAGGGGAAGCACAAATCCCAAAAAGCACAAAGGCAAACAAAAGAATTCGGGGGATTCGGAATGCAAATGGTTCCAAGCCAAATCAAGCGGCATCGTAGTACAGAACCAAAACCATAACACCCAACCAAATATATGTAGGTTCAAGATGAATATGACCCAGTAGATACCGGTTTGGATCCAGGGAAGCCTCAAGTTTCGTCATTTCAAGGAAATCTGCCAAAACTTACCACCACCGAGAAGGTCCAAGAATTCCATGTCCGATCTCTGGCCAACATTTTGCTTGTTCTCCGTCTTCAAGTTCTCATCCTCCACGGCATCGAAAGCAGGCAGATTGAGATCCCCAAACTTGTCGAAATCGAAGAACTCGGCGTTGGTAAAGAGGGAAAGGTCCGCATCGAGGTTGAACGAGTCCTGCTGCTGTTGCTGTTGCTGGACAGCCTGATCGTAGGGCGACGGAATGGCGTTCAAATCATTGAGATATTGCGAGAAGTTGGGGGCCCGGCGGCCGTTGAAGTCGGACATGATGCACCGGGTTCGAGGCTTTCGATAACCTCGAAATTTGACGATTCGATCAATCCAACTCGGCGATTCGATGCTTTGCGAACGGTTCTTTGTGCGCAAGTCGACTGTGGCGATGTAGCCAGCGTAATCCTCCGTGAGGAGCTATTCGAGATGTGTCCGCAATCAAAATGGCGTAGGCTTGGTCGGAGCAGTCGTATAGACGGAAGAACAATGGAGAAAGGAAGAACGGGGCGAAGAGGGAAGAGGGGAGACAATTGAAGCAGTGTGGGAGTGGGACGGTGGGATCGGAGATGAAGGGCGGGATTGGAATTTGCGCAGGTGGGGGTGGAGAGGCTGAATAATCGCGGACAAAGGCACGGGGTTTGTAAGCCGGAGGAGGATGACTCCAATTGTTTCAACCTACACAGTACTACGGATACTCTTCCCGGTGTTCGCACTCGCCCACGGCCTTCCTACCGGATCTCGAGTTGGCTGTGGCTCACACATCCTGGCATGGTCTACTTCCTACTACAATCATATCAACATCATACCATCAGTTCCCTGTTCTCTGTCCCAGTCCTGGCCAGTTGCCACCCTCAACTTTCGGTCATGACATCGACTCCGATCCATCCTCTTCCGGTGGCCGAAGTCGGAAAACGGAACCATAGAACGAGGCAGGACTCAAAGAGTTGAATGGCCGCTCCTGTCCCCTCCCAACCAGTGAACGTGGGAGTCTATCTGGTGGATCCCCAGCAGACTAAGCAGAGAGTCTTTGGAGCAAAAGCCAATCGCCGCTCACCCAGAGTCCTCCTATTTGGGCAATACTTCCCGGTTGTGCGTGGCTCCCATACTTCTGGCGAGTACCACGGCTACTCCCAGTTGTTAGCTGGACCACTGTCCCTTGCGCCCGTCGTGCGCTTATACGACAATGTAGTTTGCTACCGGAGGAATGCTAGTTGGCTTCCTCCCATCCCAGTGCCAGCCAGCGCCTGCCTCGTATTTGCTGGGAATGTTACAACAGCATGATCAAAGGCGTGCTCAGTGTGATATCTTACCTTATGATCCTCTCCGAGTTTTCCTCGGATTTTTCCCGTTGCGCGGTTCGCGCGTACTCAGTGTAATCAACTCACGGGTCGACGGACTTGAGACAAGGTTTCGCTGATGCTTGACTTTCTCCTTTCAGCCCACTAATAATTCCCATGATAAGAAGCGGCCAATCAGTCCCCGACCGTTGAAAACTTGTACACTTTGGAATTACACATGGCCTTCCGCTTTCCGCGACTTGCCCGGAAAACTGCCGCTACGGTCTCCTAGTATTCCCTCCGGCCCAAATATGGATCGAGTCACTATATGCAGTCCGCATTATACCGAAATTTAGCCCTTCCCATCTCTTAGTCTTTTTCGGAAGTAAATTTAGATTAATTTAATTTGTCTCTGAAGGGAAGCGGCCGATCAGATAGATGCCTGAGGCATCAAAATACAAGCAGATGTTTATCACCACGTGACACAACCGCATCATGTGATTTCGCGACGGACGCTGCCAAATGCGTCGCATTCTCCATCCCGCCGCACCTACCAAAGGCGCAACTCTCGGATTGAGGGTGTATACATCACGATTCTCGCACTAGCGATTTTTGTTTTTCCATCTGAGAAAGCAATGGCGCGTCCGAAATCCATTCGCGCACCTACAACCTCAAGTCTTCCCAGTGACCTTCGCATCCCTTCCGCAACTCCGTCGCTCGTCAAGTCCTTCGGGAAACTCACGCGTCAGGCGTTGCTGGACCTGGTGTTTTACTGGCTGGATGACCGCAACGTGCAGTCGTTCCCGCCGTTCCTAGAAAAAGATGATGTGAACAATGGGGACGAAGACGAGCTTAGCCCATACCCGGTCGAGCGAACCATCGACGATGTGCGGAACGCATACCAGGACCTGCAGGTCAGGAGAGGTGGAAAACGCGAAGTGATTGATCGGATTCTGGAGGGCGACTGGCGACATGGTATCAGTCTGCGTCAGCTTGCAATGATCGACTTGCGATATATGGATGATCATCCGTCGAGTCTGCGGTGGTCGGCGCTGGAGCTCTATCGCATCGGCGCGGATTGTAATCACTCGTCCGACCCATCTGCGGAAATGACCGCCTGCATCCCCCGCATCCATACCTCCACGTTCTTGAGCAGCCTCCAGCAGCAGATCTCTCCGCTAGTGAAGGCGCATTATCACCTTGCTCGCTCGAACGTCTTGCCGCTCACATTCTTGCGCATATTCGTCACCAATTCACCGTATAAGCATCCTCGACAAGCTCCAGAAATGCTAACCGACTCGTCAAGGGTGATATATGTTGCATTCCCCGACAGCTGCCCGTTCATATACACTTCAATCGCGTCGTCCCCGAGCTCTAAGACGAGCGCGTCCTCGACCGGCGCAATCGCAGCGGACCCCCGAACCCTGCAACGAATTGTGCGGGATGCCGTCCCCGTGGCACTTTCTGTGCCACAGAAAAGATACTCGCTCAAAGCAACTGCTTTGACAGCTAAGAGTCTCCAGGCTCTTCTTGCTCTGCGCGGTCCGGGCCGGTCGAACCGAGCTGCTGGGGCATTCAGCATTTTCGCGGATGCCGTAATCGAAGGCAGCCCTCTGGACCCACGGCCCTCCAGCACCGTATCTCCAGAGGAATACATGGGTCAAGGGGCCGATCGGGGTAAAGAGAACCAAGACCAGAACGAGCAGAATATGGACGAGGAGACATCTGGACCTCAATCATCTAAGAGGTCAAGGAAATTGGATTCCGACCCCCAGATTCCCAAGAAACGGAAGCTTGCTATCGATTCTCGATTCGGGACGACAGGGTCCCTGTCCTCCGCTCCCCTGGACCGCTTCGATGTCCGCTTACTTGACTCTCCTCAAGTCGATGGAGCTGCCGAAGAAGACGACATCGCTGAGCAAAACCAGCCTACCGTTTCTCTTACTTTTGCCGGCTCAGACGTCATCAGTGGTATCCGCAAGCTTGCCGAATTGGGTATAATCGACCCAGAGCGCATGCCTTCATGGATGACAGGTGAAGAAGCCGTTAGTGTTGCTGTCGTACGTGGAGGCAATCGTGTGGTTCAAGACGATGGATGAACTGTCCGTTCTCGACATAATTATCCCTCCATTCTCCTCTTACAGGGTGATCACTTAGGCACGCCGCCGAGCTAAGAACCCGGACTCCTAGGGACGGCTAGTAGCCCCCTCTCGCAGGCTTCGGTTCTTTGCTCTAGACACCATATGGGCACCCGTCAATCCCGGCTTCATGTGACGCTGCTAGGATTATCTGACAGCTCGGTACTTGGCTTGATGTGGTCATGCTCTGTGGGTCCCGTGTCTCCTTGGGCGTCCAGGAAAATCACCCATGAAACAAACATCTCTAGCGTGCCCATGGCAATGCTCCATATAACGAATCATGGCTTGATTCTTGTGCTACCACCCTATCGACGAAACACCCACATATACGTGTCTCCGCTATAATGCTACTCAGAAGACTCTTTTATAAAGATAATTCAATAATAATATCAAGAATGGGGTATCTAACATCATACCAATGAGGCAATTACAATTTCAAACGCCCGGATTCCGTCCACATAGTAATTGTTTACCCCGAAAATCAAAAACAACCCGAAAACCAAAAGCATTCTTGAACATCCCCTTGTAGATTCTTCTGGGAACATTAGTAATAACCGTAGTAAGATCGTCGACCACGGCCACGGCCACCATACAATTGTTGGGAAACCCAGTACGGGTGGTAGCTTGAATAATCTAGACATAGAATTAGCATTTATGCGGTGAACAATCGGGGGAGCATGATAGTTTCGTACCGCGATCTCCGGAGAGGCCCAGTTGATCAGCCACGTTGACGTAACCCTCCTGGTTCACTGTGCCTTCTGTCACGAGATTCTCTAGGTTCACATCACTGGTGTCGGACTGCCAGGGAGAGCGGCTAGAGAAGTAGTAAGAAGCAGATATTAGTTTGAGGGACAAGAAGGCAAGTAACCGCCGAGAAAACCTACCAATAGACGCAAGTCACGCCCGAACCTCGCAGGGTAGCGGCCCATTGCATGAAACATGTTTTGTGGATGTTGTTTCCACAAGCTGCTCGACACCAAACGATCTCTTCGTTTGCTTCAAATTCCATGAAACAGATGGGACAGTCCCCGTCCACAGGCTTTCGGTTACCGTCTTTGCTCTCGGGTGCGGTTTCTGGGACACTCAGGGAGGACTGCTGGTAGATCTGAAGGAGTTCCTACAGCACGGTTATCAGCTTGAGAGGCTGTGGCAAACTGGGGCCCTATGAGCTACTTACCGAAGACAGAAACGCCAATTGGTACTGCAGATGCGCGGGAGCCTTGAGCACAACGGCTAGAACTTATTAATCCAGGAAGATTAGCATATACATCATTCATAGTAGCCAGGAAGGTAGCTGATATGTGTAAGATGAATACTAGAAACTTACTACTTACCATAACAGATATGCTTGCACTGGTTCCCCTTCTGGGCATCCGGGCAGTCGCACGTCGGCACCTTGCAAATAGTCGTCTTGTAAATATTGCCTGTGGTCCCAACAATGCTAAATGTCATCTCAGGGGCTTCGTCGGTTCCAGTGACAGATTTGCCAACGACAAACATCCTTTAAGATCGACGGTCAGTGATTAAAGAGCTTGCGAGAGCAATGGAGTCATTACGGCATCCATACCTTTGACTCGTGGCACGCGCATGTCTCTCCAAATACGACTTGGGTGGATGCTTGCGAAAGACCCTGGCCCTGCGTTCAGCCGCAGGCTCGGATGGCGACTCTTTGGTCTTGGGGGTTCTCCTTTTCTTCGCCGGACTGGAGGTAGCAGGGTCGCCCGTCAAATCACCCACTTTCGCTGGGCGAGAAGCACCTTTCTTGACAGACGTCTTTGGAGGATTGGTCTCAGAGTCGGCATTTCGTTTCCTCTTTGATGACATAGGCGCGCTTTTAGGAGGCTGAGATTTGGAAACGGAAGAAGCTGCTGTCAGCGATGACTTGGCAGCTTTACTTCTGGTTACGGGAGCTTTTCTTGTGGAACCCATGTCACAAGCCGCTTTTGAAAGCTATAGCGATCGGGGTTGTGGAGGATGACAAGTACAAGACGTTGGTAGATTGGCAGTTGATACTTAATGAGTGGCGGTTTGTTGACGACGAAATCTTCCGGTTATATTGCTGACATAATCCTTCACATATGCTTTGAGATCCACGCGACCCACAGTGAATATTCCAAGTGAATATAGAGCCTTTTAGATAAAAAAAAAGGTGACTTGGTCAAGCTAGGTAAGTTCATCAGGTTGGAGACGACTTATTTACTTGATGAAACTCTCCCGCGTCATGCGGAGGTTTGTCTTGTTTGCCTTATTTGCCCCGTTTGTCCTCCACTAGCGCCCGGTCCTGATAACGATAATAATCAATGTCCACGGACTGCGCGACTTGACAGCTCCAAACAAGAAGCACAAAACATATTCCAGCTTCAAATGGCACGCCCACGGGCACATTCGGGGGCCGACGGTCCTAAAGAGCCACACGCGGTTTCGTTGAAAGGTACGAACAAGCTGAGATTCTCCCGTGGGCAGCGGCCTGGCTGATCAAGGTTCAGTGCTCCGGTAAGCGGTGTCTCTAGGAGTAAATTGGTCCGTTGTTACTTGTTAATAACGTCTGGGATGCCATCAGGCTATCGAGGCCTTCCCTATCCTATCAATACCCTCTTCCAGAATCGAATGCAAAGATATCTAGCAAGGCGTCGTTGAGTTATCCGTCCGACAGCACCGATGATCGCTTCATTCTTACTCCTAATGTACGATTGACATGTCTGGTCTTCTCTCTTGGTATTCTGCTGCTAATAAGGATTGGAAGTTGACACTCCCTCCTGCCTTTGGATCTGCCTACGTCGGGGAAACCTTCGCGTGCACTCTCAGCGCGAACAATGAGCTCTCGGAGGATGACCCCACGCGTGTCCTTACGTCAGTCCGTATCGTCGCAGAAATGCAGACTCCCTCCCAAGTCGCGTCGTTGGACCTAGAACCCATGGATGATTCGTCTGCGCAAGAGGGCCTGAGGAAAGGACAGTCGTTGCAAAAGATCGTTCGCTTTGACCTCAAGGAAGAAGGGAATCACATCTTAGCGGTCAGCGTCAGTTACACGGAAACTCTAATCGGGTCCGACTCGCAAGCGGCCAGCGGGCGAGTGAGGACATTTCGTAAGCTATACCAGTTCGTTGCACAGCCCTGCCTGAGCGTTCGAACGAAGTCGTCCGAATTACCGCCATTAGAGGTTGACAACAAGACCCTGGGGCCCTACGGAAAAACTCGATTGCTCCGGTTTGCTCTCGAGGCACAATTAGAGAATGTGGGCGACGGTGCCGTGGTAGTGAAGGTATGATAGATGCGCGGTTTCCGTCCAGCCCCCTTATAGTTTTTCTAATTGTTGGATCAGCAAACGAAACTCAACCCGAGACCCCCATTCAAGGCGGTTTCCTTGAACTGGGATCTGGAGCGGCCAGATGAATCCGATGTGCAACCGCCACCTTCCTTGAATCCACGCGATGTTCTGCAGGTTGCGTTTCTCGTTGAACAGGAGGAAGGACAACAGGAAGGATTGGAGACTCTGCAGAAGGATTTGAAACGGGACGGGCGAGCCGTACTTGGACAGCTATCTATAGAGTGGAGGGGGGCCATGGGGGATAAAGGATTCTTGACCACCGGTAACCTACTCACGCGACGACGAACATGAGACTGCCCTTTGTTATCCTTGTATGAGGTCATCTTATGTGCGTGCCACGAGACCCGGCCATTCCCTTACCAGAGTAGAGCTTCAGCAAGAAATCGACAATGTGAAACGGGAGAGTGGCTACGGAGGGAAAGCAGTTCGCGCGTTTGTCTGTGTCGAGGCGGAGACGCCAAGGGATGGCGACGGGGCGGAAGCTTTGTCGTCGTTCACGACGCAGCCAAGCTCTTGATGTTTCACTAGTATCACGGATGCAACCGATCCAACAACAGCCTGGCACTGTTGCACGCGTTATCGGGGATGTTCGTTTAGCAATCAGGCCGTCAAAAGTACGGTTGAAATCGATAAGCTTTCTGGTCCGTCAGGTACAGCTTCCGTCGTAGAGTTGGGGGTTCTCAGCCCCCCTTGATGGCTGGGATGCTCGGTTCTCTTTCGAAACGAGGCTGTGGGGGACATGCCAAACGGGCCTGCCTTAGGATAGGGACACTGACCATCCGTGACAATCGTCAGAAATCCTTCCACGACAGCAGACCCTCCCGTATTCGGGTCAGCATGCTCATTGGCCCTATTTTGACCGCAAGTCTCTCAGAGGTGGCATGTTCGCAGGAGGTCTAGACTTGCCTCCTGCCTTGTTGCATGCACAATGGCTTTATCATGGCGATTCCATTCGACCTTCCCATCCCGGAGCAGGGAGAAACTAGACCCTGCGCCATTCAGCCGTATATAGACACCGTGAGTCAGGGCTGGGAGGTGACTGCGGGGTTTGTACTATTTAAATGTTTTCCCGTTGGACTAGACAGTCGGTCTATTGGCACTATGAAAAGTAGAAGCCCGTCATCCGCAAAAATAGAACGGCCGCCCGCCTCAGGCACCCACCCACCCCCTTTTTTTATCCAACGGTTGCACGTTTCCACTTCATGGGGTTCCTGGTCGATCTGCATCAAACGAACCATACTCCGTACTACCCAACCTTGACTATTATTGTTTGCAGTCCATAGTACGAAGCAGGAGGGGATACCGGGAATGGCAGGTCAATAACTATGCCGTATGGAGTAGTGGTCTAGTAGACAAACTAGACATCCATACGGCAAGTTGCCTCCGCACTCCGCAGACTCACTACTGTAGTCTGAATGTATTCCGGAGTAAGGAGGACCTATGTCGACGCTTCACTGCAGACCACGGCGAGGATTACTTCACAGCTTCACCATATCTCGCGCAGAGTGAAGTCATCGGATACTGGCGGAGATGAAAGTGCCTTGTGTCTGATGCCAGGGATTGACTTTTGCGTCTGTGGCGACCTGAAAGATAGAGCGAGCGCGAGACAAGATGAAACGGTCTCCCGAGAGATTTGAGGCAAGTGGCATATCTACTCGTTATCTTGTTCTCGGTATTAGAGATCTACTAGGTCCCCGAGTCTCGTAGTTCGTACTAGTTACAGAGTGCTCCGTAGACGTACTACCCCGGGCATTTTCATGGTCGAACATGCTCATCCTCATTAAACTTGCAATGCCTAAAAAATGAGAAAATAACAGAGATAGTGAAGCGGACCTGTCAATTGAGCATTGATGATTCTATGCAATTATACTTTTAACTACTGACGGAGGTGAAGAGAAGAGTTTCCCTCCCGCCGCCTCCTTTTCCCACCACGGAGTAACTTGGCTTTGTGTGAGAGCCACTTTGGCCCTTCGGGTGAACCCCCGATCTAATAATAGCAGGTTTGGCTGTCGATGATTTTCCTCGTCGTCAAACTATAACTCTTTTTTCCCCTGTCGCCTTTCCTTTCTTTTTCTTGTGCATAGTTAATCCACGATGATGAGTATTAATAATGAGAATATACAGAACACTGAGTACTCCGTCCTGGACGCTAATCGACTCTGCCTTCCCCCTTTCGGTTACGTTGGCCCTGCAAGTCTCCAGTCCTGCCTTTTGCCATTCGGCTCCATCGATGACTCTGCCTAATTGCTCTTCATCCAATCATCCCATACCCACCGACAATCTCCAGACTCCATGAGGGTCCGCCTGGTCCATCGTCCCGGCCTCGGTACGCTGCTGTCGTCGTCATGATAGACTACATGGTAACCGCCCCCAAAAATAAGAGGCCGTGGTTGTGGCATTATCAGACCGGTGTAGGTACACAGTGTACGGTGTACGGTTGATGAAGAGGATCATCTGCAGACCACGGAGTCTTTGCTCCGTCCGTCGTAGTATTCTCGTTGACCTTGACGGCACAATTAGTGCCATATCAAATGAATTGACACGGTGGAACTCCCCTAATGGAGGAAAAGATTGACAAGACTTTGAAACAAACCGTTTTGGAAGCCAGAAGCAAGGGTCACCAAGCACCACTTTCTTTCTTTCTTTCTCTTTTTTTATTATTCGTCTTCTTCTCCGTCTCCGTGATGTTCCTCTCCCATTCTTCCCAAGTTCCCCCGTCCTGGCTTTGTTCTCCTCGCCCAGAGTCCCACCCCGGAATCCGGATCCACCCTAGCAAACCATCGCTCGGAAGAACCAGAGGTCCCAATTAGAGGAACGCAAAGTGGGAGGGTTTTCCCGAGTTCCATGGTTATCGCGAACGATGGTTCTGTGCAGTTGGACCAGTCGGTCTCTCCCACAACCCCCTCAAAGGCAGAGGGAGGCACTAAAATGGAGAGAGCCAAGCCAATTGTGCACGACCGGATCCACCCCAAGGACCGCCGATTGATATTATCCCGACCCCCCCTGGTAGCCCTCAGCTGGAACCCGAATGGATGGAGGAAGGGCCAAAGTAACACAACTTGATGCCGGATGATTCCGCACCTTCTAAGTCAGTAAGGTACCTGGTTAGTTTCGCAGGTGGTTGGCTTGGAATTTAGGAAAGGAAAAAGTAAAAATGAAAAAAAAAAAAAAAAATCGAGAATAATAACCTAGAATCAAAAGGAGGAACAACGGAAAAAGAAAGAAGGAAAAAAAAATAACAATCCCAGCGCCCGCAAAAGGACTCCGTCGACGCGCAGTAGTTCGTTCACTTGGGCTGGCTTGGTGCGAGTTGGGGTTTTGCTCCTGCATCGTTGGTGTCAGAAATCCTTCTTCTTGAGTGGCTTAAAAGCAGAACATAGCAACCTGCACGTTTATCCTCAATGTTTTCTTTTTCTTGCTTTTTTTTTTTTCAATTTTGTTTTTTTCCCATCTTGTTTGGTGCTTTAGGGGTTTGTGTGTCTATTTGTGCAATCTTCTGTTTGTATCATTAAAAGCATGGAATCTGTACTTGCTATTTTCTTTCCCCTGTTTGATATGCAATCAATGGCTGCATCCCAGCCCTTTTGAGAATGACCTTGGAGAACGCCATCAGGGTCAACATAGAAAGTAAGAAGTGGATAGACCACCTAGTACCTACACAGTAGTACCGACGGAGTACTACTCCCATGAAACAGGTGCACTGACAGTCACAATGATCTCAACCTTCTCTTTTAAGAAGTCAAGTAAAATAAAGAAGACCAAAAATCAAATAAGAAAAAGACCCCAATCCTCAATGTGCGTGCGCCGAGCGGAGAAGGGGATGTTCAATACATCCTCGCCAGTCAGATTGACGCGATAATCTACGCAAGCATCCGTCTTTGGTGTCGTGCGGGATTGCAGGGGGAAATTGACCAAAATCCATTTCTAGTACATATTAATCTTTTCCCTTTTCTTTTTTTTCTCTCTTTTTTTTTTTCTTTTTTCCACGTCCCCCTTCTTCTTCCCTCTCAATCAAATAAATAAAAGAAAAAGGAAGTCAAGGAAAGGGAAACAGAGTTACTTCTTCCCAATTCCTTCTACTCTACACAAAGAGACAGGTGTCAACCCTTCCTCCTTTTTCTCTTGAACTCCGTCCCCCTCATCCGCTCTTCCTCACCAACTCCTTTTTTTCTTTCCTCGGAACGCAACCCTCCCTCCCTCGCTCGCTCCGAAGGCTGCAGCTGCACAACCTCCCTACCGCCCCCCCCAGCCCAATTCTTTTTCTATGCAATAAAATAAAAATTCTCTCGTCTTGGTTCCTTCCTCTCGCCTCCGTTTCGTTGAGGATTTCCCTCTGATCAACCCCTCCGTTCCTGCGACTGCGTCGCGATCCCCAGACTTATGTGTTCTCGCTACCACTGCAACCGTTTCCCTGTCTACGCCGAAACTCCTGATCGCTGAGTCTCGCCTGCGAATTTTTTCCTCCCTCCTCAATTGATGCTGGTGAAGGGTGTCTAGTATCAAGTGGTTGGATTTGCTCCATGTTGTGACGACGTCCACGATTCTGTGACGATTTGATGATCATAACCCCGCGCGCCCGGCCAGCGACGATTTGACAAGATGCCCTTCTCTTCCTCCTCTTCCTCCTCCGCCCCCGAGGTGTCCACCACTCCGCTTGCCGATTACTTTTGGATCGCTGGTGTCGACGGGACCGAGATCCTCGACTGCTTCCAGAGATTGGGGGATGAGTACCGCGCCAACAATGCTACCTCGCCCGGCCCCGCCGTCACCGACACCATTGAAGAAGATGCCGACGCGGAGGAGGCCCACGACCCCCGACTAGATGGTCTCTCCCGGCCCAACTCCATGGCAGGCGGGCGCAATTCCTTCCAGCGCTTCTCCATGCGCTCGGGAGAACCCGAACTTAACGAGAATGGTCCGAGCAGCAACCGGAGCAGCATGACCATCAAGGGTGCGCAGTCCCCGCGAGGCTCGTCTTTCCTGGAGGACTTTGACTTCGATAAGGCGCTGTTGAAATTCGCTTCGGAGCGGGATTCCTTCCTGTCGGATTTGAGTGTCACTGCCGGCGCAATCACCCCCCAGTCGCAGGCCCGCCCCCGATCTCGACTACGGACCACTAAGATCGTTTCGGAGGAGTCGCCCTCGCAGCCATCCAGCCTGCTTCGATCCGGTATCGGAAGTGTGCGACGTCACATGGCTTTCAGGGACATGAACAGTATGAAACGGCAACCCTCGGTTGCGCGTCAAGGTAAGAGGGATCCTCAAAAGTTCAACAAGGGATATATGGGCTAATGGCATTCTTCTCTCCAAAGCTTCCATCCGCACTTCGCGACGCCTGAGCAACTACAACTCGGTGATCCCGGTACCGCAACCGCTGGAGATCTCGCCTAGCATGCACCCTCTCAAACGGCGATTCGAACCGGTCCTGCTCGATCGATACCCTACCAGGAACATGTCCGACGAGCTGAAGCAGCGTGGCAATTTCCCCGACTACGTGCCGATGTTTGCTTTCCCCAACGACATCAACATTGTTTCCTCGGACCAAAGACCTCGGTCGACGTGGCATGGGTTCGCCATGACCACGGATAATGGCTCCCGTCTACACGCCATTTGCGTTATAATGTGGATTCCGCTCAACCAGCGGGCCGCCGAGGAACTGGAGAAGCGTTGTGAGGAATGGCGAAAAGACAACATGACGGACGAGGAGCGGGAGCTGGCGGCAAGCCTCGGCGAAAGATTGGCGTCGGAACGGGCCAAGCTTTCGAGGCTCCTGGCTCAACTGCCGACGGTCCCTTCCGGATCGGAGTCCAGAGAGCAGTTGGAAGATGAAATCAGCGCGGTAGAAGAGAAGATCGGGCTGATGACCGACCTTTTACGCCCGGTGCGCCACGGTGCGGCTTCGAAGATCGAAGGCCTGACGGATGGCGACACGGGATTCTGGATACCCCGCGCCTACGGCATTCTCGGGCGGGAAGAGAACATGACCAGCTTCTGGAAGGAATGGCTGAAAGCTGTCATCGTACCGATGACCGACGGCAGCATTCAGCGGGTTCCCCCAAGCTCGCCCCGCATGGGCGTCTGGCAGCCCCTGGAGCGGTATGTGATGAATCTTTGCACGGAGGCCTTTAGTCCCAACACCTCCAAGACCCAAGTGGAGCTTGCCGTCCGCGAACTGCGACTCTTCGCCCGAAAAGAAGCGTCCAACGAGCTCCCGGGCGCCCGCAATACCGACATCTATGCGTTGTTCCGCACGCTTTCGCTGTCGAACATTGTCATCCTTCTGGAGTACGCTCTGACCGAGTCGCGGATCATCTTTCTCTCGTCCCATACTTCCATGCTCTACCTGGCGACCAAGGCTCTGGTTGACTTGCTGTTCCCCATTCCCTGGTCGGGTGTGTTGATCCCCGTTCTTCCGGCGCGTTTAGTCCAGGCGATCGAGGCGCCTTGCCCTTACATCGTCGGCATCGAGCGCCGGTACGAGAAGGTCGAACTTCCGTCCGATGATTTTGTGCTGGTGGATCTAGATGCCGATCTGATCGAAAGCACCATTCAGCCCACGCCCCTGCCCCGCCATCAGCGCCGGAAGCTCCTGTCGCTTCTTCAATTGGCGGCTCCGCACCACGGTCGATTCGGAGTCCCGACAGGCCCTCCTGCGTATGCCGTTGAGACGTTCCCATTCGACGCCTTCATGTCGGAAAACTCGTCGATCTTCAATTCTCGGGCACAATCGACGCAGCTGGCTAAGTATGTCAGTCTCAACTCCAGTGCTTTCGGTCAGAGCTCCGTCCCGCCGAGCTCGTATCAACCGCTTGTCTTCAACGCTTATCTGCATGCTCGATACGAGCAGGTTCCGTCCCGAGGATACTCCTCCAAGGGGTCTGACCGCCCAGGAACAGGCTCAACTTCCAAGACCGGCTCGCCGCCTTCGCCGCGCGACATCTCTCCTACCTCTGGTCATTTCCCGCCTCCGCCACCGACGCCGAACTCTCGAAATGATTCCGGCTTGGCTCTACAAGCCTCCCTGCGTGAAAAGCGCTCGGGCCACTTTGACGCGGCATCTCGACGAAGCTCGTCCTTCGGGATGGAGATGCGCCCGGGCGTTCCAAGACGGCCAAGCGCCCCTTTCCTCGGCCATGCGCCCAACCTCTCTGTAACAACTTTGAACACCGATTATAACTCCGGGTCCACGTATGCACCGTCGGTTTACGCCCAGTCCACAGTGGCGGCGTCAACGATCGTACCCCAGGCATCCAACCAGCCCATCCATAATTCGGAAGGCACGTGCTGGGTCGAGGGTCACTGCCTCCGACTGCAGCCGTGTGACGAGAAATCGGTTTGTGCAATTTGTGACGAACGAGCTGAGGAGGGCATGTACCGATGCACCGCCTGTAAGACCCTGGTGCACAGCCGTTGTGCTCTGCAGATCTGCCTGGTTTGTCCCGCTGCATTCCATCCGGAACAAGTTCGAGCGGCCTTTGTGAGATTGTTTGCCAGCTTGTTCTATACTTACAAGAAGTATCTTCAACCCGCTTCGGGCGACAAGAAAAAGGCGGGCCTGACATACAGTTTCAACATGGATGCCTTCATGAAGAGTCTGCCGGGCGAGCATGCGGAATACATTTCCATCCTCCAGCAAACGCAAGGTATGTTTCTGTGACCTGTCGACTCTCGCCCCGCTAGGAGTTCGATCTAACCAAATGATGTAGGATTCAACGAATTCATCAGCGAGAGAGAGCATGTCAATCCTAAATCAAGAGACCCCAGAATGGCACTTTTCGATGAAATTGTTCTATCCAAGCGGAACCGCGGGCGATCGTCGATCTTCTCGAGCCGGAGCATGACGGATTTCCTGTCTGACACGTCAAATCATCTGTGGAGAACGGCCAGTGCCACTTCGTTTGGGCCAGGCAGCCGGGGCCAGCAGAATCTCTCTGGGGATTACACCCGCGTCGTCACAAGAGGTAGGTTCCTCCGTTATTCTCGAGATTAGTTAGCCCTCGGTACTAACGAGATCACTTCTAGCACCGGCCAAACTCGATACCAGTTTGATGAAAGAACCCCGCATGATCCACGGAGCCCCTCGGGTATCGAAGACGGCAAACAATGCCCGCAGGAAGCCTCTTCCCAAGATGATGAACGGACTGGCGATTTCACCGCCGTAAGTCAGCGACGCACGAACATTGGTGGAGTGCACTTTCCGAGCGACTAAGGTATCATTGGATATGGCACGACCCTGCGTGTCATGAGTCTGCCACGTATTTTTCCGTCATATCTCTGGCCACCATGACCAATCGCGGCTGAACGACATCATGGTGGATATACACTGCAGGAATCGATGATACGAGTGACCCTTGCAACTGGCTGCTCCGGGACACTCGAAACACTCGTTGCTTCCGTCCCTCCCCACCGGCGACATTTCCTGCTCTAGCGTGCAGTATCTGCGACCGCTAGTATTTCATCTCCAACCCCTCCTGTGATCTCAGGACTCCCATCTTGGAATAGTCTGAAGATTTTTGTACGGGTGGACCGATAACCGCATCTACGAGGAAGGACGTGAGCACATGCACCCGTGGGTGGACTGAGTGTTGAGATCCAATACTCGCGGGCCATGGCTATCTGGCATAGGGAACGGTCTCGAGAGGCCGTAGCCCTGGTGGTTGCCCTTTTTGATGACTTGCTTTACCGGCCAGGTCATGGAAGACCACCGAAACCTGGCGATAATAGAATTTCCGTGAGACACATACATACCATCACATATGCATTCATGTACACATACCCATCTACACCCATACATACACCGTGCTGATCCCCCAGCCACCGATAATTAGTCGTGATCTTTAGACCCTATTGCCTCAATTCTGGCGTGTTTTTCGTCTTTGGCCATTTTGTTGTCAATTTTGCTAGTTCCCAATACCCCCTGTGATTGGTTGACATTTCTCTTCTGTTTCAAATATTATTATTTTATTTTCCGTGTAATACCTTTGGTTCTTGAATGACTCTCTCCTATCGTGACTTCTGCTCTTTCCCTCTACATATTGGTGTGGCTTCTGTCGTTATTTTCCATACAATTTTGTTGCGATAAAGACGAGTATCTGGGGTTCTGCTGTGCACCCACCTCCTAACGCAGGCATAGGTCGATAAAAAAAATCTCTGGAAATGAAGACAAGGGGTACGGTGACTAGTGCAAGTGTCCGGCTATAGTCCATTTTCCATACGGAGTACGCATAGGCCGTCTGTAACGCCGCAGGGCTGACCGTCCGAAATCCCGGGGGGTGTCCCTTGCCACTGAATCTCTCCCCTCAGTCTCCTGACGGGCAGGACAGAACCCCGCTAGTTATCAGTGCGGACTAGACTTTGAGGGTGATCAGCCGTTTTGATCTGTATGGGAGTATTCACCGGATGAATAGCAAGTAGACGGACAATTAGGGACCTAGTTTGGTGGCACCCCTGAGTCCCACTCAGGATCCAGCGTAGGTCAGGGACCTAGACATGGTGGATATTCCACGGGCCAACAGGAAACGCCGCAGAGAGCAGCATGGGTAGCATTTTCCTCGTATCATCGACCGCCTTTGATGGTGGATCGGAAGGCGAAAGTCTGAGCCAAGCGCAGGTCCAATCAGCCGCAGGGCGATAGCGAAAACGAGGCGATTGCATGGAATGTGAATGGAAGATGTTAGAGCGTGTCTCTTGTTGTCCATTCACTGTCAGTGCTGCACTGCAAATAATGAGAGTCTCGGGTTACCATCCTGTGTAGAGTGTAGAGTACTCTACACTACCTATACTCCAGGCCCATATACAAAGGATATGTAGTGGGGACAACGTGATTGGCGGAGAAATGGGGTCCGCCTTCCGGGATGCGGAGCAGGAATCCCGGGGAAATTTAGCCGTCATCGACTCTCGACTCTTCTCCTTCTCTTCCTCGCACCGTCGCACTTGGTAAATGCTACGGTCGTCGTTGCCTGGACTCTCTCGCCCGTCCCCGGTGTCTCTCCTCTCCGATTTCCATCCCCTTCCTTTCTGTACCAGGTAGTACCGAGTGCAACTCCCTTACACAATCATAATCTACTTCCCGACTTACCTCTTATTATTGGGCGGGCTGCGATAGGGTCCGCCTCCCTTACCCTCACTTCTCTCCTTCGGGCTTTCCGGGTATTAAACCTGTCCCCCTCCCCGTTGTTGATCCTTTGTCCGATTGATAAGGCCTCCGCTTCTCTTCCTTCCCTCCTTTCTCTCTCCCTCCCTCCCTCTTGTGCTCTGGTCGAGGATATCTGGGGAGACAGTGATAAGGTTCCTGCAATTTCCGACCCCGATCATCGATGCAAGTCCAGGCATATCGTCCCTAATCTGGTCTCACTGCTCTCCCTGTATACCATTTTGATTTTGATCTTTTTTGATTCTATTTTTGTATTTTCCCGCTCTTCTCGAATTTCTAGGTGGACTGTCGACATTCAAGTATGATAACGCAGTATTCTGCCTGTGCAATGAGATGATGCAGACAGCCCTTCATCAGCCCGTGGCTATGACAGTTGTTCCGGAGACTTCTTCTCCCATTACTTCTGTAAAAGGACCCGCCGCCTCCTTCGCCTTGTCCTCTTCTTTGGTTCAGAATGTGCCCCCGGAGCCTTCGCGAGCGGCGGTGATTGTGTACGGTGCCGGCCAGGAGACGATTGTGCAGGTGGTTGCGGAGGTGTTGGGGAAGCCGTGGACGACGGAAAGCTCGCTATCGGCCGTCAGTGGCCGGTGCGGAAATGCGGTCGTGATCGGGATTCTGGCCGATGACCTAGCTCGGAGCTTAGAAGGGTGCGACAAGTCCGATTGGATTCTAATCAACACTCACTGCGTGGACGATGGCTCGTTTCCGGAGGAGGCGCTCACCGACTGCTGCCACTACGAGTTTCTGTACTCGCTCCGCAGCCCCTTCTTTCGCCGCGATCTGACCCGCTTTCTGTCGCTGATTCTGGGCCAGGCGAGACCCCACGAGGACCTGAAGACCAAGAATCGCACCAATTTCATCTCCACTACTTTCCCGGACGTCCATGCGGCGTTGCCCAACCTCGATATCCTATCCGTGGGGTCCGATGCCGTTGAGATCCGTGTAGATCTGCTGAAGGATCCCTCCCCGCAGGAGACCTCGAGCCCCGTGCCGAGCCTGCGGTACGTAGGGCAGCAGCTGATGCTCCTGCGGCAGCATACCGAGCTGCCGATCATCTTCACGACCCGGTGCACCAAGGAGAATGGCAAGTTCCCCATGGACGACCCGCAGCTCTTCTACCGGTATCTCCGGCGCGCCATTCAGTGGGGCGTGGAGTACATCGACGTGGAACTGTGGCTACCGGAGGATATCCGGCGCCGCCTGGCGGCCGATAAGGGGAACAGCATCATCATGTCAGCCTTCCACGACTTCTCGGGCACGTGGCGGTGGACCTCGCCCGAGGCGCCGCGCATCTACGCGGAGAGCGCCCGGTACGCCGACATCGTGAAGATGATTGCCATGGTCAACACGATCGAGGCCAACTACGAGCTGGAGTACTTCCGGTCGACGGTCCGGACGACCCACGGGGCCTACCCGCTGTTGTCGGCGGTCAACATGGGTCAAATGGGCCAGCTCTCTCGGGCGCTAAACACGGTGTTCTCGCCCATCACGCATCCGCTGCTGCCCATGATCGCGGCGCCGGGCCAGCTGACGGCGGCGGAGATCAACGAGGCCCTACACATCATGGGATCGCTGCCCAAGAAAGACCTGTACGCCGTCGGGTCCTTCCGGTCCACGCCGCAGTCGATGTTCATGGAGAAGTGCTTCAACGAGCTCAGCCTACCGCACACGCTGACCTCGATCGATCGCGGCCCCGGCGGCTCGGTGGAGCGGGTGATCACGCAGCCCTCGTTCGGCGGGGCGTCCGTGCATCCGCCGATCTCCATCTCCAGTGGCAGCAGCGCCGGCGTGCCCGCGTTCAGCGAAGCGGCGCGAGCGATCGGGCTGGTTGACACGATCGTGGCGGCGCGCGGGGCGCTGGTTGGCGAGAATGCAACGTGGAAGGGGATTCGGGCGACTTTAACCCGAGACTACGTTCCTTCGGCCTACCGTGGGCGAGCGGCGATCATCTTGGCGAGCAGCGAGAGCGAGGCGTCGGCAGCGGTCTTTGCGCTGCGCAGCCTGGGAGTGGGTGCGATCTACACGGTCGGGTTTCGGGCGAGCGGGCCGCTGGCGGACGGACTGGAGCCCTTCACGTCGATCCAATCGGTCAAGTTGGTGGAGCAACCGTTTGTGATCGTGTCCGCGCTGCCCCCGGAGAAGTCGCTGCTGGTGCAACCGTTGCTGCGACACTACCGTACCAGCGGACGTGCCTCGCCGCCGTCGACTCGCGGCAAAGTGTATCTCGATCTCACTCGCGGCGAACGCACGGGGGATCCGGTGGGCGTGGCCGAACGGGCAGGATGGACGGCCTACGGCATCGAAGACGTCAACGCCTGGACCACCGTGGAGACGCTTCGTCTGTTGGTCGGACAGAACGTACCGTTTGATTTTGTCCGCATGGCATCGGGACGAGTGTTTTGATTGAGTTGGATGATCATGGTGCATATTTTGGTGGGAGACTCTGAAGAGCAGAGGGAGAGGGAATCCATACTCCATATATACGTGGCAGCGTCCGTGCGTTCTGTCTTGATATAGATACGGCGTTTCTTTGACCTGGATGAATTTCATTTTTCTAGTATATGATTGATACTTTTCCGTTTCACTCGGGAGATTCAACGGATATCCAAGGGGGAGATCCGAAGAAGAGAGACAGAGCACACGCCAATCTTCAGCGACGATCTCGCAGCAAACTGCACGGGCAGGCGTCCGTGATGGACAGGGGAAAATCCCGAGGAGCAACCAACAAGTCGCAATTAACCGAATTAATTAATCTGCACGGCTTTCCTCCCCGCATCGGCTGTAAGTCCGCGACACTAGACGACACTAGACCAGATGCTGCCTTAGTGCCCTCCACGTTTCTTCCTTTTCCTCCACTTTAAATCCGGGGTTTGGTTTTCCCCTCTTTTCTCTCGCTCTCGCGCTCTTTTCCCTCTTTCTTTCTCTCTCTTTCTCCTCCGTATATCTTCACCTCCATCCCCCCATCCCCTCATCTTCCTCTTCCCCGCTCTCTTTTTTCTGCTCTTTTCCCCCTTTAATCTTCCATGTAAATAATTAATCACCCTTTCATCTTCCTACATGTCCAATGTGACCATGTCTCGTCCCCAGGTCAGTATCGACCGACTCACGCCGCGCAGAGTGACCGCCGAGCCGCGCGAGTCCATGAACTGCAAGTCCTGTCGGAAGAGAAAGATCAAATGCAATCGTCTTCGTCCCAGCTGCGAGGCCTGCAAGGTGTTTCAGTGCCCCTGTGTTTACGGTCCGTGGATCCCTCTCTCAGGTAAAAGTTAAGATTCGAGAATGACAAGCTGACACCCATGGTTCCTCCAGATGCCGTGCCGAAGAAGCGAGGCCCAAAAACCGACGTGCTCGAAGCCCTGCTAAAGCGCGTCGACGGCCTCGAGAAACGGCTGCAGGATGAGAATCATCCGCTGTCGCCCGCCTCGTCCACGTCGCCTGTCAAGTTGCTCGAGTCTCAGTTGCCCGTGGCGCCGGTTTCGCTGCAGCCGGCTCCGCCGCCGCCCACTCTGTCGACCCCCAGCCCTAACCGCTTACCGGACTCCATGCTCGATGCGTATTTTGCCCGGCTTCACGGCAAACCCTACTTCATCTTGGACGAGCCCTCGACTCGTCAGCGACACCAGTGCCGGCAATTATCGCCCGCCCTGTCCATGGCCATCTACGCCGTCACGCTTCGGTAGGAGATGGTTGATTGATAACCACTGCAAGGAACCGGCGTTCTGACTTGGTGTCCAGGTATACATCCCCGAGCGGTTCGCCACAGAGCCTGGAGTATGCGCGACAGGCGCGACCGTTGGTCGACATCGACAATCCGTCCGTCGAGGCACTGCAGACCCTGCTGCTGCTCTCCCAGACCTTCTTCGCCCACGGCTGCGGCAAGAAGGCCTACATGACTCTAGGTTTGTTCTCTTCGTGTTCATCAAGACCAGCTGGTATGTGGTTACTCATGTTACTCTAGCAAACGCCGTGGCCATGGTCCTGGCTCTCGATCTATACCGCGAACTCCCATCGCCAGCACCCCTTCCGGCGCCGGAACGAGAGATGAGACGTCGTCTATTCTGGACCGTCTACATCATGGACCGATTTCTCACCTGCGGCTCGAAACGACCCTGTCTCGTCGCAGATCATTCAATCGTGCTCCGATTGCCCTCCATGGGGACCGAAACCGGCGAATGCTTCAACCCCGTCGGCCCCAACATCCAGTACGCGTCCGAGACTCGACGAAAGGGGCCCGGCGCGCCCGCCCTCCTGGTCGACATTACACGCATCCTCGGTGTCACTCACCGCTACCTCGCCGCGGGCGGCGTCAAGGGCGACTCGCACTTCCCCTGGCATGCGCTGTCGAACCTGTCGAAGATCCGCCAGGAACTGGATATCTGGGCGGCCGGCACGCAGGACCTGTTCGCGTCGATCGAGGCGCTGTTCGGTCACCCCGAGAGCACCGTGCTGCTGCTCAGCAAGCTCATCTACCACCTGGTGCACTGCCTACTCTACCGACCGTTCCTACCGATCGATCTCGTCGAGCTGCGCGGGACCGGGCAGCACCAGTCATGGCAGATCGAGGCCACCACGCTGTGCTTCTCCCACGCCAATGCCATCGCCGAGCTGGTCGAGCTGGCGCGACATGCCCCGCGCATCGAATGGCCGGACCTGGTGGCCTACTGCGTGTGCACGGCTGGTACGGTGCACGTTCACGGAGTGCACTATCACGGTCGCGAGGGCGAGGTGTTTGCGTCGAGCGCCGACTTCCTAGCGCGCGAGATGCACCAGCTGACGTGGTTGCGGCAGTCATGGGCCGGCGTGCAGCACCAGCGCGAGATGCTGCAGACCATCTCGGCGGGCCACGCCGAGCTGGTGCAAACGCTGGCGGCGCGTCCCGTCCGCTTTGCCCCGGTCTTTCATCTGGAGGATTTCTTCGACCGGTACCCGGGTCTGGCCGTGGACGGGGCCCATGTGCGAATGGTGGACGGAGAAGACACGTACGTTCTTTCTTCTTCCCTTAAGGTTTTCAAGTGTCTCGCTGACTTTGCATCATAGCATCTCCTTCGACCGACCGGACTTCTCCGATCCCCGACTCATGTACGCCAGTATTCCGCCGGCCACCCCGACCCTCCCATCCCAACCGGGTCGATCCAACTCCTTCAGCTTCCACCCCTCCCAAGCGTCCCCCTCGTGGGCTCCGGGATCCGATCTCGGCCTCCCCGACGGCTCCGCCCTCGCAGGATTCTCGCCGTCCGGCGTCAGCAGCTCCGCCTTCCTGGCCGAGTCGTTCGCCCCGGGGGCCAGCACCGCGGCGGCAGGCGGCAGCGCACCGACGCCGCCCGCCACGCAGCCCCAGTACGCCACGTTCCCCTTCGAAGCGCCCGTCGGCGGCACGGCCCTGACTCCAGGCGCGCAGTCCCAGGGCAGCAGCGGCGGGTCCGGGACGGGGGCGGCCGACCACGGGACGTCAGAGAAGGACCCGTTTCTGAGTCTCCTGGAGCAGTTGGCGGAGAACGAGCACTCGCACGGAGGACCCAGCGAGCTAGACTTTTTCCTAGGAGAGAGTCTCGAGAACGGGGAGGGACACGAGGCGGAGTGACATGGGTCCGTATTGTTGTTTCATTGCTTGGTTGGATCTTGGAATGGAGAGGCGGATCAGATAAGATAGATACCCCTGTATTATATAGTATTATTTTTATTTTCGACTTATGAAGAAATGATGAACATGACTCGACCACCCACCATCTGACCTATGACATCATGACCCCTTCCTCCAACTCCTCCGCCCATTTCCCCAACTTATCAACCATCCATGTTCAACACCCAGACAGAAACCCTCCAAATACGAGAGCCCAAGATCCTTATTGCTTGAGAAGAGTGGAACATGGAAGAGCTGGACACCATCGCCACCCAGAAATCCTGGGCCCAAGGATCCCTTCAGAAACCTTTTACCTCTATCGTGACGCTGTATATGCACGAGCAGCTCTCGCTTGAGCAGGCTGTTCGCGAGATCACCAATGTGATTAAGAATATTTACTATGCAGATGGGGACGTTGGTACGTCTTGACTTGTTCTTCTATCCTAGTTATTCATCCATCCATCTATCCCACCTCCTAGAAACCAAAACCCACCTCATATACTCTACACCCATCCATCCATCCATCCATCCACTTTTAGTTCCAACATCCCAATCCCTCAAACCAACCCAGAACCAGAATAGACATCCGAAATCTAACCCAAATGGTTTGAAAAAAACTAGACTCCTACCTCCTCGACCTCTGGCTCACAACCCTCCACACCTCCAAAAAACTCCCCCGCCCAACCACCACCCCCCCGGATCAGCCCACCCCGTTACAATCCCGACTCCTCACGCTCCTCGAGACCCTCCGCCGGCAAACAAACCCCATCCCTCGCCCGCATCTCGACTCCCAGAATCCCATCCCGGATGACCCGTTCGCGACGCCGACCCGGTCTGCTACGTCTTCGAGGACTCAGTTGGTTGAGGATTCGGAGGCGGTGGTTGGGTTGGGACAGGGGGATGTTGGTCGGCAGGAGCAGCAGTTTGATAACTATACCTCTCCCTATAACAATAACAATAACTATGGCTATGGCTATGGCTATGGCTACAGATATAACGATAATGATAATGATAGCGATCGATACCCCCCTGGAGAGAGAGGAGGAGGAACAGGAAACAGAAACGGAAAACAAAAACGCATCATCTGGTCCCAACTCCCCCGCTTCCTCGACGGCGTGCGCATCGCCCTCCACGACGAACCGGGCCGTCCGTCAACGGGGTTCGCGGAGCTAGAAGTCCGCGCGTGGGAGGATCTCGTTGCCTTCCTGGCGCTGTGTGCGAGACACCAGATCGTCCCGGATCCGGTCCCGGGGTCGGGGTCGGGGTCTGAGGATTTTGGCTCAGCGGCGGAGGGGAGGAATGTGAATGGCGACAGAAATGGGAATGGGAATGGGATGGATCAGGAAGGGGAAGGGACCGGTGGATTGGATGCCGTCGCGGTGAGGATGTTGAAGGGGGCGTTGGAGGTGCGACATTTTCCGACGGAGGGGTTATCTTCTTCTTCTTCTTCTTCTTCTTCTCCTCATCCTCATTCTCCACTTCATCATCGTCAGGATCATCAACACCATAATCATGAGGGTACTACGAGCAAGATTCTCAACAAAATCAAGAAACCCCACAAAAAGCAAGACCAACAAGCCGCCGAAGAAGAGGCCGTGCGGAAAGAATCCGCCCAGATCACCGAAGCCGTCAAACTGAACGTCTACGTCGCGGCGGCCGCACTCTGGGCCGTCATCATGGGCGAGGAGCTGTGGGAGCGACAAGGGCAGAAGGTGGAATCGCCCGTGGGTCTGTCGCTGGAGCCCGTGCCGCAGGTGCCTGCGGGGAAGATCTCGAAGCCGCGATGGCGTATGTGGATCGATCGGTTCCAGTTTATGAGTTTGCGGGAGGATCTGCGTATCTCGACTCGTGAGCTGGCGGCTGAGGCGGCGGCTGTCATGTTACGGGTTGTTTAATCAGGGAGGGGTTTTTTTGGGCTTAGTTGTATACCCGGGTTATAGTATGAATAGATAATGAATAGATATCTTAATTCTTTGTTGTTGGTCGAGGGTTTAGTAGTTTATAAAAGATTTGTCTATGTACGTGGGAGAGTACCCTCTAGCAAACTTGCAATACCCGGAAGTCCTCCGTACTAAGAGAACTTCACTCCCTTGCTGGGATCCCAGGTCCCCTGTCCGCCAAATCGAATGCCCATTTCGGGCGACCAGACCCCCGGCGCCATCGCGTTGGCCCGCGTCGGTTGTGGCGCCGTCAACGGCTCGGATCGCGCTGCTGGCGCCGGCGGCGGAGACGCGCTCGACGTCGGGTACGGCCGCAAATGCGGTTGCGTCAGGTTCAGCGACGCCATCGCTGCCGCACTAGTAATGTCCCTAGATTCATGTCAGTCCAGAAAAGTCAAATAAAAGAGACCGGGAGAACATACGACTCCATCTGACTGGCTTCCATCCGCCTCTGGTGCACAAACGCTTTGCAGTCGTCGCGGAATCGACTCACGATCTTGGCCAGGTCATTGTAAAACTTCCGGCCCACCTCCATGTTCGAGATAATCTCCTTGTACTTCATGTACCCGTTCTCCAGTTCCTGCAGCGCCTTCTCCCGCTCCCGGGTCGACGCATCGCCCTTGTGCGCTCGCGTGAACGCTCGGTTGGCTTCCCGCACCAACGCCGCGATCTGGTCCTGGTCGTGCTGCTCCTGCGTCACCATTTCCAGGTCGGTATCGTACAGATGCAGCTGCTCCTCGAACAGATCCTCGAACTGACCTGCCTGAATGGCTTGCATCGGGAATTCTCGCTCCAAGCGAGCAGCCTCCTTCAGGAGAGCTTTGCCTATAGAAATAATCAGCCCTAGCACTTCCTCTCGTCCTGGGTCTGACTTACTGATATCATCGGCTCGCGCCTTGTCCTTCAGCGCTTGCGCCCTCCGTTTCCGCCGGTGTTCCAGCCGGCTCACCTCGCTCAAACAACCCCGGAGTCGAATGGCCTCCTGCTCGACTTCCGGCAGAATGGCCGCGCGACGGCTGCTCGGCACATACATCTCCAGATCCCGGTTGGTGCCAGTGAGAACGCGGAACACCGCCTCCGAGTCCTTCAGCTTTTGTTCGACAAGGTTGTCGCTGCTCTGTGCCGAGGTGAAGTACCCATCGATCTCGCGTGACGTTGTGAACAGTTTCGTTGCCGCTGCCTCCGACGACTCGCGGGTCCATCGATCGGTTCCGTATCTTCGGCGCGACGCATCGTCTTCGGCCTTTTCGGCGGCTAGAAGTTCAACTCCTTCATTGTAAATCGCCCTATCATTCCCCTTCACCTTGGACGTATCTTCGAGAGACCGACGTAGTCGATTCAGCCCGTCCTGCTGGCGCATCTCTTCAGCGTGGGACACGAGTGTCGGCGGTAGGCCAAGCGGCTTCTCGAGGGCCTGCAGAGAGCCGGGAAGATTTAGAGATGACAACAAGCTAGACCTCATATTAGTATCGTTGAAGACAGTTTAAACCAATTCCAAATCGAACTCACTCTCGCAGTTTGTCAGTCATAGTCTCCAACTCGCCAATGATGGTCTCGTTGACCAGCCGATCACGACGGTCCGAGTAGATGCTGGCGGCGATGTGGACAGCATAGGGCACCAACTTCGAGAACAACGGCTGGCCCAGGGGCCCATTGTCTCCGAGCATGGAGATGGCGTCCGTCACTTGAGACGGAGCCTTGGCTGCAACCATGCATGCGCGGTCAATAATCTTGAGCTCCGACTTCGGCGGGACCGGAATGAGGTATATCACGTCGTTGTCCTTTTCCGCGCGTTTTAGGTCCTCCGTCACTCGGTTCTTCAACCCTTGAAGATCCCCCAGCACGGTGCGATTGATCCATCGCGATTCCTTCAAGGCCTCGTTCACGCAGGCCTCGCTATCCCGGAGGCGCGCCACCTCCTCGCCATACTTGCGCTTCTCCAAGCAGTCCAACGATTGTCGATACTGCGCCGCAGCGGCGAAATGGTGATGCTTGGCCGTCATGTGATGGATCCATTCGGGGCTGATGGCGTTCGACTTGACCGCATGGTCGCCCGCGTCTGCATAGAAGTCAGAGACCTTGGCCGCCAGCCGAGCGATCGACGCATCCTTCAGTCCGTCCTTGACGGCCTTCTGCCAAAAGCACTCCTGCCCCTCGGCTAGAAGGAGCTGCTCCAAGCTCAAAAGCGTCATCTCATCCATGTCCTCGGGAGGAGTCGTGCGAAGGTCCGCAAGGACCTCTGTGCGCAGATGTGCCAGGACTCCGGCCGCCTGGCAGAAGTAGTTGCATGCCTGTTTGAGTCCGTCGGACGTCGTCCGGTTGACCGAAAATGCCAGTTGCGAGTATAATGCGGAGAGGTTAAAGAGGATGTTGGCCAGTTCGAATCGGATGTTGTTTTGCGAGACTTGTCCTCGAGTTAGTAATCTATTCCTCCATTGTCCGATGGATCCGTCCACGACATACTAGGCCTTGACGTATTAAACCCAAAAGCAGGGTACCACGGAAACTCCACACCGACCTACAATAAACCAGCTTATGTCAATCATCACGATTCTCCTCATAAGGAAGGGAAATGTGAGGGGGCATCGACTTACATCCACTGGAAATTTCCCACCCAGCCATTTAAGCTGCGCTGCGTATGTGACCAGCCGGCTAATTCCGCTCACATGAGGTTCCTGTACATTGATCGCTTCATTTCGCAGTCGATCGATGATCAAGAGATCATCTGCGAACATATCCGGACGCTGGTCATATTTGGACGAGATGTATTGGGTGATGGCATCGGATAAGGAAACGGGGTGGGAACGTCGAAAAGGAACCTGAAGAATATTGCTAAACCAGGATATTAGTCTCTCTGCGCAACACACAACGGAGGCAGTCCTAGAGAAAGAAGCACGTACGATGCCATTGTCGGGGTCAGCAGAGCGCACGGAGAGAAGAGAGATCGTTGCGCGGCAACTTTTGTTGACGTGGGAAAAACCCGGCGAAACCCCGCCGGGCAACGGATGACGTTGTGGATGCCTCAGGCTGCCATCGGCCCTCGACCGTCTTGGCATTGGATTTACTCCGTACTTCCGTAAAGAAGTCAGATGGATTAAACTACCCTTCCGGGCATATGTCATTCTGTACGTGTTAAGAGCTTCAAGCTCATGCAACTATGTACTCCAGAGAAAAGAAAATATCTTTCAGGACCCAGCATTCCACTGCCACCAAAATCGCTCTCAACCAGGAGCGCCAAATTGGTAAGATTGCGTCCCCCATCGCCTTCGATCAATCAAGCTGGTTGATTCTCATCTTGATGTACTCAAAAATACTGAGCAGGATCATGTTGTTGACACCGGTACGGATCAGGATAATTGAAAGACCTTTGTACATGCTCGACTTGGCAACCGCGGCAGATGCTTCGCCCACCTCCGAGGTCTTTCCCAGCAGCACGCTCTGCGCGCGAGTCTTTCTAGTATCAAGCGGATAGGTCTGCGTCCGTTAGTAAGATCCGAAGGCATACGAATTGTTGAAAGTCGACTTACGCAGAACCAAGGCACAGTGCTACAGATGGCGCCGGCAATCATAGGAGCGCCGAATGGGGACTTGTCAGGGCCAAGCTCCTTGGCTGCAAGCTGCTTGACGGTCTCGTAAACGCTGAAATACAGGCCGGATCCAAGAGTATCGCGCATAGTGTGAAGTTTGAAACCGGTATACAAACCACGGAATCCATAGCGCTGTACGATCTGACGGATCGCTTCGATGGTGCCGAGACGAGGCTTGTTGCGCAGAGAAGGATCCCCCACGGCGTTGGGAGACGCCTGGGCACGGTTAGACACCAGGACCGAGGTCTGGACAACATTCTTTGCCAGTTCAAAAGGGCCTACATTGAAGCAGTCAGTGACGGGGAGAAGGCAGATCAGGTTGAATTCAAGCTTACAGGCCAAGGGTGCGGTGATCAAACCGGCAATCAGACCGGCGGAGAAAAAGGTACCAAGGGTCATCAGAGTGGGAGAACTGCCGGGCTGATTGTACTGCTCCAGAGGAGACTGACCGGTGGTGCTCTCAATAAATCTAGAAATGCGGTGCTTGGCGGCATTGTATGTAGAGAAGTTCAAAACGCGCACCGCAGTAACGCTGGCGAGAGGTGGCAAAGCTCCTGCATTACAAAATCATATTAATCATGTGGAGTTTCGAGCGCTGAAAGGTGAGGAGGGGAGAAGGAAGAGGGGATTATGGGGTAGGGGCGGTTCACTTACCAGCTACATAACCACGAGGGCCTTCGGTACGCCAGAGGTAGCGCGCACAAACGAAGACATTGCGAAAGTTGTGACTAAATCGAGTCAGCCGTAGTCCCGACCAGCAAGCGGAAGTCGCTTGAGTTCTTTCTATACTCACGTCTGCATACGAGTTTTGACGTTCTCCAGTGGAGTCTGGAAGCGCGGGGATCAGCCCTGGGTTCTTCTCTCCGGCGACATCGGATCGACAACACTTACCACAGCCAGAGTCGCGCAGACGGTGGAGGTGGCCGAGGCGACTTGAGTCTTGTAATCTTTCAAAAACCTGTTATAGGCAGCTTCGTTGTGGCCCATCCAAGTTTTACCAGTCGGCATTATGACAGGAGCGGGTTGAGAGTGAGAGGGAGAGTAGGGTGCATGTTCAGAGTGTTTGTCAAGAGTCATCCCTGGAGGTATCCCATCGGGGGCAGAAGTAGAGGAATCTCGCTGAGTCGTTGCTTAGTCGCTAGGTGCACTAACGTCGTGATCGTCAGGTGGCAGGCTGGGGAACCCTATGGAACGCAAAGCGGTCTCTCAACGTGCGAGCAGACCGTTCGGCGTCCCACAATTGTCCATGAAGCAGACCCCGATCAACCTTGGGGGATGTTGCAGAGTATATTCAAAAGACAGAGAATGTCTGTCAGATCAGGAGAACTGATACGGTCGGTTCGGTCAATGTATAGGGAGTAATAGTAAGATATATGTTCCAACCCTCTCTGTTTCCGCACGGCCAGTCACCACAGAACTATATATAACGATAATGGCAGGTTTTGTGCAAGGTCGCAAACGGGCTCTCTCGTGAATTTCCCACGTTCTTTTTGTGAATAATGCGGATGGAATGGTTCAGGAGCTACCTAGAGGTCACAGACCAGATCCACAGTCAGTCATTATCGCACACATGCCACTTTGACAGCTCCCCATCCCTTTGATTGTTACATGCAACGGAACAGCAAATGGGACGAACAGTCAGAGAGAGGGGTGAAAAGAGGGGAATAGAAAAAGAAAACAAAAAGGAAACATACCTCCAGGGAAGCTGACGTCCACTCCCAAGTGCGACCGAGAGCCCAATGAAGAGAGGACAATCGATGGGAGGTGAAGGGAGAGGGAGGAGGGAGGGGAGAGAGGGAGAGACGGCGAGAGCGCAGCAGGGCCGACATCCATCACAAGCGATTAGTTGTGCGGCCTGAGTGCACTGCAGAGCGCTAGCTTCCTGCCAAAGACTGCCAGAGCCAACGTGAGTGGGCCAACGCTTTCCCCCCGCCATGGGAAAGTCTCGACCCGGTTTAAAGGCGGGTTGGGCCAATGACGTCGTCGTGAGGTCTCCAGTACGATCCCTCCTCAGTTTTGAGACTGCTCGGTCTACTGTCTAGTGGTGACACGGAGGGCGATCAGTCTGTCGAGCAACCACTGCGAGAGACGATGACATGACATAGGGCCCTGTATCGATGTCCACAGACTGGACGGAGTACTATGTACAGTACTGCAGCACAGGATGATCGCCCGGGTCCAAGACTTCAGTTCAGAGTGGCAAGGGACGGACCAACCCAGTCCGGCGGTGGTCGTACCCGCCCGTCTCGTTTACCCCGCTTGTCTCGCATTGGTCTGAGCTTCCTCTTCCTGATGCAGTAGGGGTTGCAGATGGTGGTGATCGGCGACGAAGCTACCTCCTTAGCCAGATATGTTTATACTCCAGAGCTCGGGCACAAAGTACGAAATGAGCCTTCCTGCCTCATCCGGACGTTGCCGCCTTTATCGCGTTTCCGTCTCATGCGGCGCTTATTTGCGATGAATGACGGGGATGCTTGTATGCAAGCACATCTCTTCGATTGTCCATGATAAGAACATACTTTTTCCGGGCTACTTCCCACAATGTTGGAGGAGCTATTCAATAGAATCCTTAAATAAAGTGACATTTGTAGTATCGTGAAAACCTTGGGAGAGAATAATCCTATTTTGAGTGTATGTGGGCAAAATTGGATAACGTTTGTCATGATGAAACTTGGAAATCTAAGTTGATATTATACTGAGCGGTAACTAGTCTATTTGTTTAATTATTATTTGTTTAATATATCTAAATTTATCTTAAAAGACTAACTGATAGGAATAAAAGTTAGATATATTATAAATATAATTATCTTATAAGTCCTGATTTCTCTCTTTAGCCTTTTACTGAGTCATTTTTTTAGATCAATCGATAGAAGCTATAGCTCTGCTAATACTGGAGATTAACACATGAATGTCGAATTTATTCTATAAAAAGACAGATACCTTGTCTAAGTATAGAGTAGATTTATTGATTAAACTGTTGTAAAGCGCTTCTAGGATTAAAGATATAAAACTTTGTGGTTAGTTAGCGCGGATTGGCAGTGCTCTGGGATTGTTGAATAGCTTTAGATTTAATTAGATTGAGTAAACTAATCTAAGGCTACACTCAGCAGCATTGATAATCTGTGATATAGATAGCTCATTGTTTTTCAACATGTCAATCTGATTTTAGAAAAGGCGAGCCTTGATGCCATGCTTGGGTTAGAACTGTAGGTCTCTCTTAGGGGCTCATGAGTGAACAGCAGATTAATTTACGCATGTCTTGTTTCCTGATCAAGGTAGTTATGTATTATAAGAACATTGTATCAATACCAATCATTACTCCGGCGCTAGCTATTCATGTTCTTGCGTTTCTTAGGTGTAAACTAAGAGATAATTCCTCTTCTCTGCATTGTGAAGCTGATTTCACAAATTAGTGTATGGAAGACAATGGAGTCGACTCCTTTGGGTGGACAGTGTACAGTTCACCGGTTGATGTGCTATGCTTTGATTGCACAAAAGAAAAGAAATTCCCCGGATCCAGGACCAACGCTCGCATGGGTTTAGATCATGATACCTACTTCAGGGCTGCCTCCCAAGAGCGTACCTTGGCTGACCTATCAGGAAATCTGGATTACTGTCCAGAAAAGGGTTGTTGACTCGATCATCAGGCTGGGGAAGGACGGTTCGTGGATTCCCCAAAGTCTATAATCACATGGACCGTGGTATTGTGGTATCGTGGACCAACCCAATCGATTCAGAGAATGGTGTCGTAATAGTACGTTGTCCCTGGGTTTATGCATTTAACTATTACTGTACGGAAGTAGCTAATCACTCAGCTTGATAAATTATGGAGCCATCAACTCTTGTATGAGGGCCGCTGTAATTCAGCACATATCTCAGTGGGTCACCCCTACCCATCACTATGCGAACTACACCAGACATATAATTAGTATGATTCAATGGACCTACCTACGTGTACGAACGGCGGAGTACGGGTGATCTCCACCCTACATTCGTCCAGCTCATTCAGCATATGATCCAAAGTCAATCACCAATTGTTCCCAGATTGCCTATATCACTCAAGCATGCCACACCAGCCCGTCCTGGATGATACAGATGTCTCTAGTCAGTATACGAGGATATCTCATGAAGCGATACCGCTCACGCGTGACTCATACCAATCTGCACCCACTGCAGATCCTGGGCAAGGCTCAGGTGACATGACGCGGCCGACTTTGAGAGCATATCTTCCCCAACTACAGAGGGCCCAGTAAAAGCAGGAAGAACGAGAGAGGAGACTCGAGCGAGAGCGTCTCGAGGAAGCACTTAGTGGGGGCCCTCTGGTATATCATAGCAGTCGGACAGAACTATCCAATACTATTATATTCAGGGAGATATAGCTAGGTCAGACATAAGTTATCCATGAGAGAATGATATAGTACAAAAGACGTAAAGAATTCATTTCCAGTTATTTTCCACATAAGCTAGCTTGGAAGAGTTCACTTCTGCATACATTCGCAACTCAAGCCTTTTCTCGCAGCCGGCCTCTCAGGGTTATATGTAAGCAGAGCCTTTAACTACGCGAAGGCCTCTGCCAGGTATCAGCTCCAACCCGTAGAACTAAGGCATGACAGTATATGAAACCAAAGAGCGGTAGGATGGGGCTGACAAGCCAAGATATATGACTTACAGAGTACCACCGAAGTAATGATCGAAAATGCCGCAAGTGTGATGAGAGCTTCTGACTAAATACTGTGTCTATACCAATCGAAAGTGAATCCAATTTGCTCAGGCTCGCCTGAAGTAAGCGCATGAAGAAGTCTACGTTTCTCCAGGTCCCGACAGAATTCCTGTTTCGAAATAAATTCCTCGCCCAAGCGATTTTGGTCACTATCACGATTGTCGCCACTGGCTCGCTCAGCAGTAATTGCCTCGCCGTGGAAACTGTTTAATAACGACCTGTACCATGCTCCAAGGCCATAAGCATCCCATGAATTATGCGACCCATGACCATATGCCACCTTTCGTTGAACATTGTTGTGACAAGAGTTGCCACTTCGCTACTTTCCATTGCATCGGTTCTTTCGTTCAAAAGTGACTTAGTGTGCGCAGCTAATTCCGAAACAGTTACATATTTATTATGCCAACATTTGTCCATGATATCGTCAATCAGCGGATTGCCGTCTAATGCCGGAAATTCCATATTTTGTAGCAAGTCCACAACCTTAGAGCCATGCTCGTAAAGATCCTCGGCAAGACAGCGATCTCCATAAATCTCAAAGCCATAGTTCATCAAATAATATAAGGAACCAAGGGCGAGCTGTTCCGTTCGAGGAACAAGAAGACCAGGAATGCCACATTCTCCTTGATCTGACTCCTTGTTATTGAGCATTCTACCATACAGAGCCATGCAAGCTTCGTAATTTGTTTTAATTTTCGCCGTACAGTCACAACCGGATAGCTTTAGTCGATTTCGGTCCAGTAAAACATTTTCAAGTCGTAATCACTATAAGCTAGGTTGAGAGACTCTAAGAAAGCGATAGCTTGAGCGAGATCATTCATCTATTTTTTCCGTAGGAGTAGAGATTCTAACTTCTCAACTTTAGTAATTATCATAATTTGCTGGTCCCGAATATAATTGTTTTGTATTCTAAAAAAAAAAAGGGATTTGTCTAAGAGAAATTAGTAGATAGTATTTTAACTGTTGATTAGGGTCGTACCTCTCATGTACTCGAGGAAGATGCCACTACTAGAAGAGAGAGAACACTGCACGATAGAGGAACAAGGCGGATTTTGCGAGGATACTTGATAATAGAGCTAAAAATCTGAGGGTTCAGATTCTACTGGAAGATGATTGCATAGTAAGCACAAGGAAGTATATGATAGATAAAATTCACTAAATTGTGAGATAAACTCCTATTAGGATCTCAGATCCCCAAATCCACTAGGCCCTCTTCCAAGCCCCATTGCTCTTTATATAATTACCACTGGCGATGCGGTTAGGGCATGGGTCTCTTTTGGTTGTCTTGCCGAGGTGCTCTGTTTTTTGGATGATGCCACAGTTATTGCAGCCGTTAAGTTCCCTGGTTATCCCGGGTGAATCAACTCTATATCTGCATAAATATTCAATTGTCTCAATAAGCTTCTGACACATGATGTTCCTGAGTACTTCTCTCAGGCCAGCGGGGGAGGTGCTTGAGCACATGAGGCGCCTTGGTCAAATATTCGCGTCTACCAGTCTACCAGTGGCCGAGCAAACTTACTCATAGATACCACCCGGCCCACTATGGCCCAGCGGATTCGGGATCGAGGTTATGGGCAAGGCCTTTCAGTTCAAGCAAATCCTGGATGGCTGCTCCAGTGAAACCTCTCATAACCAATTATACAGTCCAGGGAAGCGAGCCGTACTGTACAAGCACGACAAAGTAGCCAATAGAAATCCTTGACATGGCCGTCGGATGCGCTGTAGCCGCAGGTTGTCCTCCTCATTTTCCACCATTTTTCCCACCACTGGGAAAGCTGTATTCAAACAGCTTGCTGAAATAATGCAGCGCTCATGCAGTTCTCTCATGTGCAGTTGCCCTGGGGCAAGTCATCGTCACTAATATGAATCAGCACAACCGCAATCGACTTGGGAGCATTTTGAAGACTGATACTTGGCTTCCTGGGAGTATTATACGAAAGTTTGCTAATGTTAAATACAATTTGTCGAAGATTATACAGCGTGAGTAACAGTTCAAAGTTAGAAAATCAAGATAATTGCTTCAGATCTCCGCCTAGGCTCGGAGGGTTTCCGGTGGCCAGAAATCCTAGCAGAAAATATACCGAGTAGTAAAACAATATTTGATCAGTACGAACAAGCAGCTATGTTGCCAGGGCCTTAACCAAGCGGATCGATTAACAAAAGACGTGAGCGAGAAGACCGTATTTAACATTGCGTGGATATAAATGCACGGATAAGTGGCGGATAAAGCTATGATACGCTGTATATTAGGACTTTATATCTCACCAAAAGGGCCAACATCAATCATCACAACCAACTCTTTATTTAGGTGTGCATAATCATTCATTTCTTGTCATTTTCTAACACCTCAGTGGCCACCTGGCGTCTAGAAATTTGCAATTCCGGGTTATCTACAGCGGCTAGAGAACAATATATATATTTTACTCCGTAGAGTATCTTGGAGAACAGAAGTCTGTCTACTCGGTGTACAAAAGTCTATTGATCCAGGACAGAATCTTACCACTGATCGTCAACTTATTCCCCGTGAAGGTATCCTGGGTTATCCCCACTACTCGTTAAGTCCAACCTGGACACATGTATGTACCTACCCATACAAATTTTACATGCGCTACCCTTTTCACGTGGGACATTCTCCACAAGACAGGCGACTTGATTACCATAAAAGGGACTCTGCCGAAATATCGGGAAACGATCAACTACAAAGCGTCTACTTGAGCATTGTGCACCTTCATATGGTTATGCAGGACCGGGCTGCATCCTCGGGACCTCGGTCGCGCGGCAAGCCTCTCCCCCGCAGAAGCCACGGCTAGCTTCGTCGCTGCAGATCATCCCCATCTTCCCCAACAACTCATCCTTAATTATATTACTTCCACCGAATCTACTCGATTCCGACATTGTCTTCATCCAAGTCAGTACAAGTCTGAATTATTTATCTCTTCCTTTCAAATCCTCAACAATGGGCAAGAAACAAGCATCGCCCGCCTATGTCCTGGGTGTGGGAATGACCAAATTCATCAAACCTCGGGGCAAGGTTGATTATCATGAGCTTGGTTTCGAGGCTGGTGTGAAGGCTATGCTGGATGCGCACATCAATTACGACGATGTAGAGCAAGGTGTTGCTTGCTATGTGTACGGTGACAGTACCTGCGGCCAGCGCGTCTTCTACCAGTTCGGCCTCACCCAGATTCCCATCTACAATGTCAACAACAACTGCTCCACAGGGTCCACCGGTCTCGCCATGGCTCGAACTATGGTCTCCCATGGCGCCGCCGACTGCGTGCTCGTCGTGGGTTTCGAAAAGATGAACCCGGGAAGTCTTCAGTCAGTGTACAACGACCGCGAGAACCCGACAGGCCAGTTCGGAATGATGATGGCCGACACAAGAGGTGTCACCAACGCTCCGGGTGCCGCGCAGATGTTTGGAAACGCCGGTCGGGAGTACATGGAAAAGTATTCTCTCCCGGGATTCTTCGTAATACATCATGCTGCAGGAACTAACGTAAAACGATTAGGTACGGTGCTAAAAATGAGGATTTCGCCGAGATTGCGCGGGTCAACCACGAGCATTCCAAGCGCAACCCATACTCGCAATTCCAGCAAGAATACACCCTCGAGCAGATCAGCAAGGCGCCGATGATTCACGAACCCTTGACCAAGCTCCAATGCTGCCCCACCTCCGACGGCGCAGCCGCAGCCGTCATCGTCTCCCAAGAGTTCCTGGATGCCCGTCCGCATCTCAAGGACCAGGCTGTTCTTATCGCTGGTCAGCAGCTGGCGACGGACAACAACACCGTCTACAACCGCAGTGCCATCGATCTGATGGGATTCGGGATGTCCCGAAATGCGTGCCGAGCGGCCATCAAGGAAGCTGGCGTCAACGTGAAGGATATCAAGGTGTGCGAGTTGCATGACTGCTTCTCAGCCAACGAGATGATCACCATTGACGCGCTCGAACTGTGTGAACCCGGGCAAGCGCACGAGATGGTCCGCAAAGGCAACATCACCTACGGGGGCAAGATGGTCATCAACCCTTCGGGTGGTTTGATATCCAAGGGCCACCCTCTGGGAGCGACTGGTCTGGCGCAGTGTGCGGAACTGGTGTGGCATTTGCGTGGCTGGGCTAACAACCGGTTGATCGACGGAACTGATGCCGCTTTGCAACACAACCTGGGCTTGGGCGGTGCGGTCGTGGTGACTGTGTATAAGCGAGCCGATGGCAAGGTAGCCAGTCCCGTCTCGTCTGACACCGTTGCAAAGATAACCGGCCTCGGATATAACCCAGCCGTCGAGGCCAAGGGGTTCACAGCCCAGCAGGCTCAAACGGTTCGGAGTAAGAAGTATAGCGATGAGTGGGCGCTGTCCGACACTCAGGAGAGAGTGCTGGCTCGGTTCTAGACCGGGATGGCATGCGCTTTGCCGACGCGCCATCGGAGATTCTTACGATCTGCATATCTCAGTGATTCCCCTGCAATTTCTGTAAATGTAAAGTTAAATTCCAGATCGGTTTCAATCGAATGAAATGTGTTCTGTCGAAGTGCAACGTCTAGATTTCTGATAAGATAACTGATAAACAAAAGCCTTCCGGGAAATGATTCCTCCGGCGTGGGATGACATAAGCGACGCACTCCGCGGAATGATAAATTTTCGCGTCGATTTTCCGCGTTCCTTCCCCCTTTCTTCTTCCACATATACCAGGTCTCCATACCCTTGTGGATGGGCTCTCCATTCCGTCTGCAAATTTAGATTTGAGACCGAGACTGATATACGCGGCTCGTTCTAATCCCATCGCCTGCCACTTGGATAGGTTTATCCTGTCCGCTCCGAGGTCGTTTGGGTTCGCTTTGAGCACACATCCCTTTTCGAGGGAGATTCGCAGATTATGATCCAGTTGCATTCAATTGCCACATAATACAAGCTGTTGGCAGTCGAGAAGCCCGCCTTTGCGTGCGCCACTCGTTTGGAAGAAGATGATCTTCCCCGAAGAACGAATGCTTTTTGCTCATCCATCTTGATTGTTTAAGCCACTAACGCGCAGGTGAAACGTCGAATCCAGTAGTCTCCAATTACAACCTGGCACATTCGAAGCCTTGTCCGTCACATCTATGATATTCGAGGTCAAAATCGTGCCAATAGTGAATCGATTGGACATTGTCCATTCTTCAAATTCTCTCTCGTGTTGCGTCCACTGCCAATTCTTAGGTGCGGTGGTACGTGTCAAAAGTAGGGAGATACATTCCAAGCCAAAATCTTCGCCATAGTATTTTCGCATTGTGAACTGTCGGTGGAATGTGTGTGTGTAGCGCGTAGGAGGAATTACTGGTCATCAAGCACCTTTGGTATGCTGAACCGGTCAAGCCTTGGGGCGTCCCAGCATGGCGGCGCCTGCGGCGAAGGGGCTTTTCGACGTCGATCATCTTTGGCATGCTGCGTAATCAAGGGCTAGAAGGGTTGGGACCTGGAGAGCCAATGGAAATGACTGCCATTGAAGCGTTACGGATGCTCATACTCATGAGGTCGATGTGCAGTCTTCTACCCCTTGCTTTCAATCAAGGCACATTACTGACGTGTCGGACCTTAGAGCATGCGCAATTGCCATTGCACGAGAGGATGCGAACCAGGCGGCATCAGGAATTCGGTTTTCGGATTCCATGCCGTGGCACGCTCGAATGTTCCTGGTGTAGCCCTCCTGTTAACGCCCTCGCTCGTGAGTGCTATAAAGCATGCCGTGAGGCTCGACCATGTTGGTAGTTGTTCTGTTTCTTTCGACCGTCCCATCTGGTAGTTTCAGCTGAATCTTGGCTATAGAACGTGTTTGTTGACTAGCCTATCCATTCATTATACAATTGTTCAATTCTTTTGCGCTCCGCTGTCTATTCATACCAAACACAATGGCCCGTCTCAACCTTTCTATCCTTGCTGCATGCCTTTCGCTGTCTGCCCTGACGTCGGCTCTGCCGACCAAGCGGTTTGACCCCATGGCCGACGGTGACTTGATCCCCGAAAGCCCTGCCTCGATTGCCGAGATGTCCCTGCGTGTGAGTTCCATTTTATAAACCATTATCTGAGTGATCATGAGGCTAATTGAACTAGTCTACTGTCAACTTCTTCGACGACATGGAGCAAATGTGGAAAGAGGACCAGGCTGAGAAGAACAAGAAGCCCGGTGCTGCTACCGGCGCAGAAGCCGAGTCCGCTGATGCCGTAACTTCGGCTGTTCCGATCGTCCCTATGCCCCCTACGCCCAGTGAAGAGGCCGCTCCCAGCCAGCAGTCGCACGCACCCGTTGAGATCAACAAAACAAACAAGGGCGAGACGTCCGAGACGTACAATGACGGCCAAGAAGCACAGAGTGCTCCGACTCCGGCCCCTTCGCGTGCTATGAGTGAGCCCCAGGCTGAGGAGAAGCCCACTGCCACGACACCGCAGGCCAGTAGCTCCGCCAGTGCTGCCGCTAGCCCGTCGGGAAGCGTACACGAAGTCAAGGACAACTTTTTCTCCAAAATCCCCGTTGTCGGAAAGATCCTGAGCGGCGGTGGAATTGCTTAGATTGTGTGCGGAAGAAGTGACTGGTCTGAATGTACAATGCAACTGGAACATGACAGTGGGAACGCGTTCTTTTGATTTTTATTGAAGGAAAATTTATGTGTCTTTATGTTTTATGCCACGGTGTTTATTGGAATGGTTTAACGATGCTTATACTATAGGTATAAATCTTAGCAAATAACAATATGACTACAATTCCTTGTAAGCGGTGAGTTTTTGACTTTCATGTGTTTTTAACTCTTTTTCTACTTAAGAGCCCTTTTCTAGCTGCAGCAATGCACCAGCATGTGCTTTGCTCATGCTACAATCACTCAGGAGCAGTCTAACTACGGATAGAAATCATTAGCCATGTATGTACGGAGTAGTTATGATCATATTTACAATAACATTAGTTTTCCCTGACTGAAAGTTGTGCTGTACAAGCATATAGTGGTCCTGACGGGTGATCCATAAGCCCTTTGATGTAGCCCACCGATTCTCGAGGTTTGTTGGGTGCACACCCAGCGTTTCATGGCGGGCCGAGACTGCTATCTCCCCGATATGAGGATATTCTGAAGAAACCCTTCAAGTGCATGGCAATATTGCACTGTATTTGGTAGTCCAACTCGCCTCCGAAGGCCTGGTATAGCACGTCATCACGAGCGTAGGCGTTATATCCGCCTGGTTATCATCTAGAAAGCATTTGATCGGAAAGACGTGGGCGTTTCATGAGCTTTTATTCTGGTTTGCCCGCTGCTGTCCCTCATAGAGGCCTGTATAATACCCTGCAAAGTACCAGGACATCATGAGGTTCTTCAGGCCTTCGTCTTGTACTATTCTCAGCAGTCAGTAGCCTGATTTCTCAAATCTAATGCTCGGGTACCTACCTTGCGATATCGCTGCATGAGGCATGGCCATTCCCAGCGAATTTCCTCCAGCCATCGAATTGCCCCCGGTTGGCTGCGTTTCGAATGATGCATTTTGTTCTCCATTGGAGGGCTGTTTCAGTTAGTACGGTTCGTATCACGCAGATATTTGGCGGTGACGTACCTTCGGAGCCTCTCTCAGTGGCGGCTGCGCAGCCTCAGTTACATCACCGACGGCAGCGGCCTCTTCGCCAGCGATCTCCGTCTCCATGGGCACATCAGCGACCTTGTCATCTGGATCTTCTTGACCCGGTGCATCGTCCGGGGTGAATTCCGCGGCTTCGGCCTCTCTTAGAACATCCTCAACATTTTCCCCCTTAGCTTGGATGCTGTGATAGAGCTTTGTGTATGCGTTGGATGTTAGATGTGATCGTGTCTGGAGATATAGAGTAACTTCGAAGAACTCACTTTGTACTCGTCGACCGCCTCGTCCCAACTCTGGACAAGGGCCGAATCATCCCAGATTTCCTCCTGTGTTAGAGCCTTGGTTGCATTCTTGGATTTCCCCATGACAGCTGGTACCCCACAAAATAGAATAGAGTAAAATAAAAGCAGAAAGAAGGATACCAAAATGATCAAGACTATTACCAATGTTTTGTTGCTTGGTCTTCCCCAAGAAACATCCAGACCGAGGGCTTACTACCGGGCGGACTCACCGCCTTCCCCTCCCGGCCGGAGCGCAAGAAGGAAAAAAAAACTAAAATGGTTCCTGCAAAAAAGTTTCCGTTTTCTTAACTGCGTCTAATTTGTAGTGCTCATTCACAGCCTACAATTGACTCGATCTTGAAAAAGTCATGGCTCCTAGCAAGAAAGACAACAAGCGCAAGGGTATGTTTTTTTTAACCCCCATCGATTCTGTTCATTTGCTGAAAAGTCTCTTATCTAGCTGCCGCTGCCGCTGCCGCCGCCGACTCTCCCGCGAAGAAGACCAAGAAGGCGGATGCGAAGCCCGCCGAAGCTCCTAAGGAGGCCTCGAAATCGATTCTGAAGAAGAGCAAGGGTGATGGTGCTTCTTCCGAGAAGAAGTCCGCCTCGAATGTGAAGTTCAACGGCGAGCCCGCGAGACAGATCAAGCCTCGCAAGCGTGCCGCTGATTTCCTGAGCGACGACGAGGACAGCGAGCCCGAGGTGGATGCGAAGCCCGCCAAGGCCCAGGCTGAGAAGAAGGCCAGCAACAAGAAGACTAAGAAGGAAGACGGCACTGCCGCTCCGGCCGCGAAATCGAAGACCGCCAACGCCAAGGCTGTCCCCAAATCGAAAAAGCCCGAGGTTGTCGCCGACGAGTCTGACGATGACGATTCCGTTACCTCGGAGTCTGGTGAGGGTGAGGAGGAAGAGGACGACCGCACCGTCGCTCTTATCAAGGGATTCGAGAGCAGCGGCGATGAGGACGAGTCGGGAGATGAGGGCTATGACCCCAGCAAGCCTGTTCCCAAGATTCCTGATTCGAAGAAAGCCAAGCGCAAGATCTTGAAGAAACAGAAGGACGAGAAGTCTGGCAATGGAGAAGAGCCGGGTGTCGTATATGTCGGGTATGTTCTCCCCCTCATCGTGTGCGCTTACGTTTATTTTTGCCTACTGGTTCTAACATTTGATGCTATAGCCGTATTCCCCACGGTTTCTACGAACACCAGATGCGCGCATACTTTTCACAATTCGGCGAGATTCTTCGTCTTCGTCTTTCGCGGAACCGTATCACCGGTCGTTCCAAGCATTACGCTTTCGTGGAATTCGAGTCGGTCTCCGTTGCCAAGATCGTTGCCGCGACTATGGACAACTACCTGATGTACGGCCACATCCTGAAGTGCAAGTACGTGCCTTCGGACCAATTGCACCCGGAGGTCTTTAAGGGCGCCAACCGACGATTCAAGAAGACCCCCTGGAACCGCATCGAGAAGAAGCGCCTCGACAAGGGCAAGACAAGGGACCAGTGGTCTGAGCGTATTGGGCGCGAGCAGAAGAAGCGTCTCGCCAAGGCCGAGAAGCTGAAGGAACTCGGGTACGAGCTCGAGCTGCCGCAGTTGATGAGCGTGGACGATGTCCCCGTCCAGGGCGAGAACAAGGAAATCGAAGCCTCCAAGCCCGCGGAGGAAGAGACCCCCAAGGCCGTTGAGGCGCCCAAGGAGACGAAGGCTGAGAAGAAGTCCGATGATACCCCCAAGAAGTCCAAGAAGGAGAAGAAGGGAACCCAGTCGGTGACTGAGCAAGATACCCCCAAGCAGGATGGCAAGAAGGGAGCCAACGAGGCCGCCGCTTCGCCTGCCACGAAGGCTGGACCCAAGGCTAAGAAGGGCAAGGGCAAGGCTAAGGCCAAGGCTTAAATAAATCCGGCGATGAATTGTTTTGTATTTCTCAAGTAAATAGCATAAATGATGTTTTCTTTCACCGAAGATCGTTAGCAACTGTCTATATGTAGTTGGTTACTTAAGATATGGACTGCCTAAGGTACCTACTCGGTGGTCTATGCAAGTCATCACATGATTGGCCAATGCTCGTCTACGTCACATGACATTAAACTAGACCTAATATAGCTAGCGCCGTTGACCGAAAAACGAAAAAAAAATAAGGCTACAAAAAGCTCCCACATTTTTCTTTTCTTCTTTTCTCTCCCAACTCCTCGCTCAAAGGATCGCATTCAAAGCTCACACACAGGAATCCCTCCACCGGGAGGATTCCTCTCATCAAGCTTTGGGGAAAGTCCCCGGACATCCTGTCCATTTTTATTACGGTCAGGCAATGCGGAAACGCGCCGCCATAGAAGCAATTTGATAGCGGCTGACTGCCCTATTCTCTCCCGGCATTCATGACTATATCCGACGCCGGTTCGTCTGGTGGACAGAATGGTGGTATAGCGGGGTGTCGGAGGGAGGTTGTTCTATTGGGTTGCCTTTCGTCGTGTTTGAATAGTCATGCGATTGCTCGGTAGGGTTCTTGTGATCTTACCTGGGTAACTCAATGGGGCTCATTCTTGAGGCGAGGAGTTCATTTTTTTTTTCTCTCTTCACTTTCCGAGTCTGTAGCTTATGGCAAAGCGGTGACTCAGTGGCGTTTGGATGAACGTTCGCTGGTGGCACAGAAACCCTGTCGAAGGGGTCGGACTCTTCTCATCTTCTCTCTGGGACTACTGTATTACAGTGGTCTTGTCTGTCTTTGCCTTTTGCTGCTTATGTTCATATGATGATATACAAATCATAGAGTCAAGCCCTGAGATCCCTACTACGGTATGGGGTTATTGACGAGAAACGATTTTTTCTTATATCTGAAGAACATGCCTCAAGCTTTTGAGATAGCATACTATTGTTAGCTTTATAATGTCATGAATCCTACCAATGAAACATAACCGAGTGATTTTCTTCCCTGTCTCCGTTCAAACCATTCAAGAATATTTTTCATTATCTATCTTTACATTCCACCAACCTTCATCCGTAGCATAAGCATTAAATCATTTCGTCTTCTGAGCCGTCGCTGCTGGAGCAGGACGTGCTTTCCCAACCGCCGCCTGTCCCACGATTGTGACAATCTCTGCCAACGCCGAAATCGCCGTTGCGCACACGTTGCTCCAGACCTGGATGCTGACCGAGCCCATTGGCGCTCTCGGGAACGACAAGATCCATGCGATGTAGTAGGGCACCCAGGCCTCCGGAAGGGCAAACACGGGGGTTTTCGAGTACCAGAATTGCAGGAAGATTTTCAGTCCGTTCGTGCTCAGCCATCGTGCGATTTTGACGCTCCATTCGAAGGAGGACTTTTGTGCCGACAGGGCCTTGTCTGTTTGGATTGGTGTCCTGGATTAGCATCCTATCTTGCGGAGATCGACACTTTCACATGGACATGCGGGCCTATCCTGTGGGAAAATGAAGGGTAAAGGGAGTATGAAAGCTCGTTCCAAACGTACTCATTTCCTCGTACTCCTCCATGGTCTTGTCGTGTCGTCTTCGCAGCTTGGCCCACTTTGCAAATTCATCCTGGGAGCTGGTGTTGTTCATTTCCCGCTTCAGCTGGAGAGCTTCGCGTTTCAGGCGGTTCTGTTCGCGCGCTTTCTTCGACGTCGGAGTAGGGAGTTTCACGTAGAGAATCCATAGCTATAGGGAGAGAAAAGAGATGGTCTGTCAGTCGGTCTGCCCACAGTGTTGTTGATGATGATGATGCTGGGACGGTAAACAGCCCCAAGAACAAGAACATACCAGGTTGTCGATTGTGCTTGCACCAATGGTGTTTACCAAATAAATGGCCACATGCACGAAAAAGACAGTCCAGATAAGGGACAACATTGTGCAGGTAACAAAATGTCGATGGTTCTGTAAAAAAGAGGCCAAAGAAGTCGCAGAGAATCAATCGCACACAGCAGGTTTCGGGAATGTGGAGAGCGCCACGAAACCCACTTGCGCCGGAAGGGCAGAGGTTAAATTAAGGGAATTCAAAGAGAAGAAGGAGAAACTGCCGGTGGCTAGACAGGTCGATAACACCAGTGGAGAGGACGAAGAGGGAACAAGAGGCGGTGTTTTCCGAATGACGTTGTCACGTTTTGAGGTGTCGCTTTTCCCGCTCGGTTGGCGGCGTTTCTGCCCCTCCGTTCAAATAAACAATTATCCTCCTCTTCTTCATGGTTACATCTTGATCGCCATGCTCATAGGTGGCTGATCTAGCCAATGCTGCTGGTAGACTCCAAATGTCCTCTCCAGATGATGCTTTCCAAGACCTCGCCCGCATCTTCGCTACCAGGAACAATCGCATTCTTGAGATAGAGATCCTTCCTCCGGCTCTAGGCCCTCTCCTACAAGATGATTGCTCAATAGGTATCAGCAAGAAATGCTTGGTGCAGGCTTTTGTGACGGCTCGACGTATTTTCTTCCAGGACACCATCTGCAAATTGGACCGTGGCTCATCCATAGCATTCAGAGATGGAGATGCGGATGCGATTGCGACAACAACCCCGGAGAGGAAGTCCGACGACCTCTCCATCTGCTCCGAAATTATCCTTCTCTTCGATTGCGAACATCTGACCGCGTGCAACTGGCGAAAGAAGCGCCTAGCCAGTCTCGTGCAGCAGCATGAGCTCGATCCCGACAACAATGCTGCTCGGGAGACGCTGCTTCAAGAACTCAATGCGGAGATGTCGCTGCTGACATCTTTCCTCTGCTCGCCATTGCACAGACACACCAAGTCGCCGACGCTCTGGCAGCATCGGTTATGGGTCCTGGACAGGATGATTCACTTACACAATAATGGCTGGCTTCCGCAAAGACCGGACTTGGCCAAGCCACGGCCTCTTCGGGATACTACTCTACAGAGTCTCCTTGAAGATGAACTTACTATCGTGCTCCGCGCAGCGGAGTTGCACCCAAAGAATTACTATGCGTTTAGCCATATGAGACAACTGCACGGCATGCTGTCGGGGTACATGGAGAACTCTTCGAGTTCCCTCCGACTGCTGGCTGAACCAATCGTCAAAACAATGTTGGATTGGTGTCAGGCACATCCGACGGATATATCTGGGTGGATGTTTACTCTATACGTCTTGCAAGCAATCGAGGACCGTGGCGCCCAAGAAGGCGCGGTTAGCCGGGTATTTCGCTTTGCCGTGGACATTGGCTGGGAAGGAGAGTCTCTGTGGACGTTTGTGGATCTGTCTGTGAAATATTTCGGCATTACAGGACCGACTAGGGGGTATCGGTCCTCTGGCCTAGGGTGCACTGCTACTGACCAAACGGAACGAGAGCATGGCACGCCCGGACCGAAGCACCCCTGGAAGGAATGGTTAACCGTCGCACAAGATCACCGGGCCAGCCAGAGTAGCCAGAGTTGATATCGTTATCGACGGGACATTGCACTTGAACTTGGCCAGGAGGCTAGCCCCGATGAGACCTCTAGTCTCGAGCGAGGCGCAGTCAGACGCTGTGTTGTTAGTCTCTCCCCGGTGGTTTGCATAGTAGGCTATGTTAAGACAAAGAAGTTCGTGAGATTACGAAGGTTTTGAACGCCAACGCAGGTAGAAATAAACGCCTCGCTTGCCATGATGTTATATAGTAATAATCTGCGCCAATGACTCCTAACCTTCTTCACTTCGTCATTGTAGAGTATCCAAAATGAAACTTGCGCCTCCAATCTGCGCAAACATGTCGCCCTCAGGGTCCTTGCCTTCACAACTTTCCAAGAAGATACCGGACGGCTTCTAAGCAATAGACCGCGTACGATTCCTTTCCAAGAAAGCGTTGTCAAAACGTTACAGCAACTTGCGAGTCGGAGCGAGTGGACAGAAGATCATGCATCGGCGGACAGACGGACACGAATAGATAAGAAGCGGCAATGAATCTTGGATTTGGTCGGTGTGGTTGGTAGAGCGCAAGAGTCTCTAGAGAGGGGGAGGTCATTTCTTTTTGGCAGCTTCAGCTTGGCGGCGTTCATCGGCTGGAGTGACCGGGAAAAAAGGTTAATAGGAGTTCACAAACCAAAGAAAGAAAAAAAAGACACAGAGAGAGAGGGGGTCATGCGGGGATAGAGACATACCGAGCCTTTGCTTTTCACGCATGATAGCAGCGCTGCTTTCTTTGTGTCGTTGAAACTCGCTGCCAGTCATCGTGTTCTTAGTTTTCTGTATAGGCGATGCACGTCAGTGATTTGAGATGAAAAGCGCAAAGAGATGCTCCGAAAAGACAAGAATGGAACCGGAACAAATGCAGAAAAGAGGGTAAACTTACGACTGCGCTCTCGGCCTTCTGGTTCTTAGCGCGAGCCTTTTCTCTCTGGTTTCCACGAGTCATTTTGAGAGGGAGTATATATAACCACGATCTGTGAGGAAGTGCTGGTGCCTGGATGAGGGATTTTGTCTTGGTTGACGGATAAAGGAAAGGGGGGGAAAGGGAAGCGAAAGTTTTCTTTCTGTCTAGAACGTCTGCCACTCTTTTTTAGGCCCCGAGCCGCCGCCACCCCGGCATTCCATCCCCTCTTTTTATCTTTCGTCCTCTCTTGACTTCGTAGGCCTCACGAGTCACGGCATGACCTTTTGGTCTCTCTTTCTTTCGTTTTGTCATTTGGACCATGGATTTATTCTCTTCGACCCCTTTACTAAACCCCAACAGCAATCATCAAGTATGCCCGTGACTGTTGACATCTGAGCCGAATTTCTTCGATTTGCTTTAGTTTCCATCCTCGGCCGCTAGAAGATTCTAGCCTCGCTATGATCCCGACGGATTTATTTGAACCGTTCTATTTCAATGCCTAGGAGGTCCAAGGCGGTTATATGCGACGACTAATTGGACGTGCAGAGCGTCAGGCAGGGAAGCTGTAACCGCCTCGGCGGGTATCGTGCAGTGTGCAAAGGAATCTTACTATATATAGGTTTCGCATGGGTCTCGCCAGTGCAGTAAGGCGCTTATTCGCACCATTGACAGTCTATCCGATCGGAAGAAATGGAGAGACTTGAAGGAGAGGCAAGTCGAGGGCCAATGATCTGATCCTGGCAGGGCGATCAGGGTTTCAAGCCAATGCCAATCTTGCGCTGTCAACCACTCCTTCTACTGTCCCCGGCATGACACTGTAACGCACCCTACAGTCTGGTCAGGCATGAAGAGATTGGAAGAGTCTGCATGCCCCATCCCAGCGCTACGAGATTCTCTAGCATCTCCCCTCGATTCACACTTCCAAGCACCTCAACACGGTAAGGCTTTGTCCGAGATAATAGCCTGAAGACATAAAAATAGCCAGGCGCGAGAGAATGAATGGCCATTATTGTCCCTTTGGGACTCGGTGATGTTTCAGGCCCGGCTCCTGTCAACTATGCCTATTGTTGTCTTTGTCTGGGCATTATTCATTCACTCCATTTTTGTTCCTACTGCAAGATTCCCTCGGATGAATGGTGTTCCATTGTAGACTCCTGTCATTGTCGTTCTTTCTTTTTATCCTCGACTCGACCTCGTGGCTCTTTCTTTCTGTCTTTCCTTCGGTTCTTTCTCTGTACACGGTCCTGCTGGCCGGCCCTTGTGCTTCCACCTTCCTTTTGTCTTATTGTTTACTCAGCTAAAAGCTGCTCAACGAGCTCTCGTCCTTTTCTTGAATCAATATTCTCCAGAACATACCATACAATTTTGCATGATCGAAAGTTAGAAACCTCCGCGCTTTTCAGTTAAACTATCCTGGCTTTTCTTTTCTTTTGCCTCAAACTCAAACATCAACAATGATGGCGTCTCTGAAAGAGTCCTTGGCTGGTCCAGGATATGTCGTCTTGAACGCTATTCGAGTCTTGAATATAATTGTTTTTCTGGACATCATCGCCGCCAATGTGGTCATGCTGGTGAAGATCTCGCTGTTGAACAGCTTTTTCTTTTTCGAGGCGGTCACCCACGCCATGGTGGCCGGAGTCAGCAGTAAGTTGCACTCTGAGGCATTAAACACACTCATCTGGTCGGGTTGCAGTTACTGACAGGCCCGCAATATATAGTCTTTCTAATTATCTCCGAACTTCCCTTCCTCCGCGGATATTTTGATCGCAACTGGCCATTGCTGGGTCAAGAATCCGGATTTATCGCGCTGGCTATCGTGATGATGATGCTGGGCATCAGCGTTCTGGGCGATCTCAACACCCCGGCCACCAGTCAGGAGTCTCTGGGGCTTGCGTTCTGGCGTATAGTGCTCTCTGCGGGCATCCTGGCCATGGTCATGAGCGTGGTCAATGTGATTTCGGTAAGTTGTGCCTTGATCTGGTGAAGAGCAGATGAACATACTAATGGTTGATCCCGGTTGATAGAGTTTCCTCTTCACGAACCGTGATGCTGGTGTGAGCGCGCGTCATGTCCGGGTTTACGGAGCGGTTGCACCACAGAAGGTTGTCACGCGAAATGGTAGCCAGCGGTCTCTTCAGCTGGGTCTGAAACGGGAAGACTCGCTGCCCACTTATAGCCCTCATTCTCCGGTGAGAAGGCAGTCGTCCATACGGAGCATGTCTCGATTTCCCCTGAAGATCTCTCGTCCGGTGAATCCGGTGAACTTGAACGATGCGGCGTCGTCCAAATACTCCAGGGATTCATCGGGGGTTGCTATCCCGAACCTGGCGCATCACCCTGCAATGCAATCAAACCATGTCTGAGCTTCTTTCGATGCTGAAACGGGGGCGCCTTACTTTGACCCTTCGGCTGCTCCATAGGAGTGCTATTTACGACGGCGTTGTGTTGAATGGAAAATTAGCGGGTTTTAGGGGTTACCGGAGTCTTATTTCTTTCCGCTTTTCTTTTTTGCTTGCTCTCGTTTTCTCTTCTTCTTTTTTTTCTCTCTTGTCTCTTTTTTTGGTGTATTTGTTGATTGTTTATCTTCTCCTTTTCTTTCCTTCCTTAACCTTTGCGCACAAGGGCTTTTTTCGGGTGGATAGTAGCAATCGTTAGTTTGATAGTGAAATTCTACCTCGTTGCTTTAGTGATTGTTTGTTCTTCAGATGGATGTGATTGCAGTTCAAATGAATGCGATCTTCTCTGTCTGATGGAGTATAAGTACCTAGTCCGTAGAAGTATACAAGCGGCGCTGTGATTGGGGACCGGCATTCTTGGCACGTTCGACATCCGCGGGCATTCATCTTTCTTGACGCCCGTCGAACTTCTGTCCTTTCATTGTTCCGCCATCGTCTGGTCAAGATGGTTGACCTCGGAATCTCGTTTGCAACGTGCGTCTGTCCAAATCCCTGAGTGTCTGATTGCATCCTGTACTAACGAGTCGACTACAGCGTCAAGTCGCTCTTGATCTTCTTTGCCCCCGTCTTGATTCCCCGTGTCATTAATTACTACCGAAGCCTCCGAGTTGCGCTCGCCTCGCGCCCCCAGCCCCGGGCTCTCCCCGCCAATGCCGGACGCGCACTGAATATCCTCTTCTTTTCGACCCTGTTCTGTCTGCTCCTTAGCCTCCCGTTTAACCCTCATGCCCCCGGCGAGAGTATCTTCGCCTTGACGCGCTCGCGCATCAACACCTCGACCGACGTCCTTTTCAGCCGACTGGCGCGATACCGGCCCGATAACACGCTGACCGATGCGGACACGCTGCTCCGGTCGAAGTTGACGTCGGTGGGGGCCCGCAAGGTGTACCTACGCTTCGGGCCCGAGACGTTGACCGGATGTCAATTCTGCTCGCTGGACAATGTGAACACCTACCTACTCTACTACCTGCCGTTCAACACGCTCCTGCCGCATCTGCTGCACATGGTCATCGTGGGCGTGGTAACGTCGGCTCCGTTGGCCGGCCGCGAGGCAGCCAGCTGGCGCAACAAGTTCACGGTGGCGGGACTGGCGCTGGCCGCACTCGACCTGTACGTTGTCTCTACGCGGGACCCAGTGCAGTCGGCGCCCGCCTCGGTGCGGGCGGGCATCAAGCCGCCGTCGAGCCTGTACCATCAGATCACCCTCCTGCGACCGCTCGCGCTGGCTATCTTCGACGGCATCTGTGCGTTTCTGATCTACGTGACGGCCACCAACCGGTTCTTCTTCGCGCCGCCGTCCCAAGCCGACCAGGTGGATCAGCTGGTGAACAACTCGCTGTCGGCGCTGACCGGGGCCAGCGCGAAGCTACACGCCACGAGCGTGACCCGTAATGCGGTGGTGCGGGACAAGTTGCTGAAGGAGCGGGATGACAGCTACTGGCGCACGGTGGTCGAGACGCAGGCGGACCAGGGCCGCATCGGCAACGGGGACCCGAGCGTGGACGCCACGAGTATCTGGGAGGAAGAGGAGGCGGTTCGAGCCATGTCGCAGGCGATGGGCGGACAAGGAGGTGTCGATATGGCCAAGCTGGGGGTCAATGCGGCGGAGTATGTCAACGGGGTGACGGCGGGGTTGGATAGCGAAGGGGAGGTGCGCGGTACATAAGGCAGAGGACAGACGATAGGAGACCGAAGTGTGTAGATAGATAGTGACGGCAATTGCAGACTTCGTACACATACAGACTACATGTACACTGTCGAGATGACTACCTGAGTATACAATGGAGTACTTGTAGATTGTACAGTACGCGTACGATGACCCGACAGATGTAGATCAACGAGGGTCCGGCTGAGCAGATGAGTAACAGAGTAGGGTCCAAGCCCTCCAATCCCCCCAGCATCTCCCAATGACAGGATCTGGGATCTGCCCATGACTCCTCCTGTCGACCTTCATTGGGGGAGACCTTGCGGAGTCCACCGGATTCAGGAAGGCTGGCGGTGAAGGACGGCAGGTCCGCCATCCGTACGGAATACTTACGCAGTACCTCGCCTCAGTATGGCTGGTCCACGGCGCCCAGCGGTACCGCGTACGTAACTGCGGGTGGGCCGTCCCTCTTTTGTGAAACACTTTTTTTGGTCTTTCTTAGTATACGACGAGTTGTTTTACCCTGATTAGTTGGCCACACGATAAGTTGATCAGATTCAACAGATAAAAAGAACAGATAGCCTTGTTTTTTTGTTTTTTTTTCCTTTTCTTCTTCTTCTGCCTCCTCCTTCCCCAGACTTGCTATTGTTTGTTGAGGATTCTTTATTTACTCCTTGTTGAATGTTGATAGATTCCTCTTTCAGGTCTCTCCAAGTTTTCTTGCTCGTCCTCTTTCTCTGTTAAGAAATTCCTCTTCCTCCGACCAGTCTGGTACTCGGTCCCCGTCCACGTCCAGTAACCCATTCATCTGCTGATTATTCTAATCTGGTTGATCGACCAGCCCAACGTACCCGCGGCGGAACCGCGCGTTTAGTGCGCTCCGTCTGGCCTGTCTGGCCTCCTGCCCGGTCCCCGCCATTATTGGTCACCGTCTTCTTCCTCTGCCGTTCTCCCTCTCCCTCCCTCTCTTCCTTTTCCTCAATTCCTTCCTTCCTCGTTACTCCTCTCGGGATCTGGCATCCTTTGAAGTTTCGAGTCCTCGAGCCATGGATAAAGACCTCTCCGCTCCGTCACCATCGGTGACGGAACTCAATGCCTGCGTTTCCACCTCGACTACCAGCCATCGGCCTGTCGCCAAAGAAACCACGTTCCGAGAATGGATAGTGGACAACCAGATTGGTATGTCTCTTTTCTTGGAGGATGAGCGGATATGACTGGGGGATTATTTTTGATTTTTTCCCCCCCTCTCCATATATCTCGTATCTCTATCTTCTATTTTTCTGTTTTCTTCTGTTATGAATTGGTCCAACAATGTCACCGACTGCAGAGGATTGCAATCTCACTCCGAGTATGATTGGCTAACCCGTCTCGTGGTGCACAGGGATCTCGTTGACAACGCTTTCGATGTTATTGGCCGTTCATCATCTCTACCCTTCGCTTAGTCCCTACACCACCCCCTTCTTCCAATTGTCCTACTACCAGCCGGAGTCCGGTCTCTACATTCAAGGCTGGGACGACATCTACTTCGTGGCCAGCGCCGCCATCGCTTTCACGGCCATCCGGGCCATCGCTATCGATTGGGTTTTCCACCCGTTTGCCCGGTATGCCGGACTGAAAAAGAAGGCCGCCGTGCGATTTGCCGAGCAGGGCTGGCAATGGATATACTACGGGTTCTTCTGTACTTTCGGACTGGTTCGTACCGCTGCGCTGCGTCGTCGGTGATCGCTCTGTGGAACTTGCATGCTGACTGGGAACGCGCTAGTATATTTGGTCCAATTCCTACTACTGGCTGGATAACGGTGCCATCTGGGCCGAATGGCCGTCGCGGGGCGTTTCGGGCACCCTGAAATGGTATCTGCTGGCGCAACTCTCCTTCTGGTTGCAGCAGATCTTCGTCCTCAACATCGAGGAGCCGAGGAAGGACCATTACCAGATGTTGACCCACCACTTCATCACCAGCATCCTCCTGAGCTCGGCGTACATCTATAGCTTCTATAACGTCTCCAACGTGGTGCTGTGTTTGATGGATATCGTGGATCTGCTCTTGCCGGTATGTTGACGCTAGGAATGGCCCTTTGCTACCAAAGTCTGGACTGACCGACGAATTCCCTAGACGGCGAAAATCCTCAAATACCTCAAGTTCGAAAAGACGTGCAATATCGCCTTCGGCGTGTTCATGGGGACGTGGCTCGTCACGCGCCACATGATGTACCCGCTGCTGTGCTGGTCTATCTATAAAGAAGTTCCCGCGAAAATGGCGTACGGCTGCTATTCGGGCACCACTGCGGAGATGATTTCCACCGACGGCTATCCCGATAAATTCACCTACCTCTTCTACCCGTTCCTGAACCTCGACGGCCCTATCTGCATGAACCGCACGATCAAGTGGATCTTCCTATCCTTCCTCCTGTCCTTGCAACTGCTCTCGATCATTTGGTTTGCGATGGTCGTGCGCGTGGCCGTGGGGGTCCTTCGCACTGGCAACGCCGAGGACAGCCGCAGCGACGATGAAGAAGATGAGGAGGTCAGTGCCGGGAGCAAGGACAACACCCACAGCAGCGTCGCCGCCGCCGAGGGCACCAATGCCGAATGGCGCCGAGCCAACGGATCCTCGACCGTTCGTCCTCGAGGACGCGGCCGGGTCGGACTGGGCCCGCAGAGTGACCACAAAGCCTTGCTGGGCCGTATTGGCTGCGACAAACCTAGCTAGATGAAAATTTCCCAGTCTTCTCGATATACCACTTGAATTTTCTTCAGCTCGAACTTCTTAATGCTCTTATGGATATGGAATGGACATGCGGCGTGACCGATAAAATGACGAAGTCACCGAATCATTAAAATAAACGAAAAGAAAAGAAAAATAAAAGAACCCCAAAAGAGAAAGAGAAAAGAAACAGAGGGAGGTTGAACATTACCTCCCATGCTTCCCTCCCCCCCAAACCTCAATACACATACACAAGATACGCCCTCGAATATTTCATGCCAGCTGGATGTGTTTTCTTTTTATTATCATTCGAACTCTTCGTGTCCGCATTTGATACCATGAATTTGGTCGATCGTATAGGCGTTATCTTTGCCATTTTTCTTTTTTTTTTTTTTTTTTCTGTTACTGCTGTTTGCTTGTTATCATTGTTGTTATTATATCCTCTCCCGTTGATGATTTACATCTGATAGGCATCATTTCAATCATGCTTTTTTCGCCTTCTCTATATCCTTACTTGGTATTGAATATCATGTCATGTCATTTCCATGGATGGTGCCATAAATCTTGCTCGTCTCCGTCTTTCTCACAAGGAACCTGAACGAGGGTAGGTAGAGAGGAATCATGAATGGACGAGGCCATTGCATTGCATTGCATTGTAATTGCCAAGTTTCCGAGGACAGACACCCTTCGCCGTTACCACTCCTGCTCCGTAACCAGATCCATTTGCCCCATTTCCGCTGTGCCTTGCATATCTCATCTGTACAGGGGGAGAGAGGTTGTCCACCTGAACTTACTACTCTCTCTGTAGGCCACAAGTAACTAGTGACTTAGCCGAGAGATCCTTGCATAATCGCCTCCGGACCATTTCGATCAATCGAGATTCATTCGACAGATCAGATGTGGAGAACCGCCTTGCTTCTCTGGACTACTAGTTGACTACCTAGTACCTACCAAATGGTTGAAACGGATCAATTCCCTAAGCAGAAATGAGTGGGGAGATAGGTGGTCATGATAGGACGTCTCTATGTTTTTGATCGCAGTTCCAGGATGGTAAGTAGCATATGGATGGACTGGGGGTGTTCGGTAAATAGTAGTATTCAGTTCCAAGAGATACCTAGGAGATTTTTTGGCATGAATAACCTAGTTTTAGCTATAGAGCCAGGAGAATCAAAAGCTGGTCATGTGGATATGTGATGCCTCTTCTCATGCCCTTGTTCATTACCATTTCGTCGTCATCAATCGTTCTGTCATAAGGTAGAAGTAGAAAAAAAAATCAAAAAGAACAATCATGAGGTGCGATAACCCGCCGAAAATAGAAGTTGAGAAAAAAAAAAAAAAAGAGCGAAAAGAAACGAATGGGTGTTGGGCTATATCCAGAAGTCCTGAACGAAAACAAAGGAGGTTATATATTACGTAAGAACTGATGCATTCATTTCAGAGTATGTCGTAGCTGTAGGGATCTCGAGATCAAGTATGTCTCCACGCATCTGGTCCTCGTTCCAGAAATACTCCGGAACTCGATTGACTCTATGCTGTCGAGCGAGGAGGGCTGCTTCGTCAACGCTGTCCGAACCGAGGCCGCATTCTTGTTGCGTCGTGACGAAGTCGATCAGAACATGGCGGATGCGGTCCCAGAGGGTACCCTGGCGTTTCCATTCCAGACGTTTGGCAATCCGTACCATGCGGGACACGATCCAGCACCGGTCCCCCGTGTCCCCAGGATGATCCCTGGGATACCCGCCGTTGTTCAGGAAGAGCCAGAGGATCGAGGTAATGCTGGGATTTGTGTGTGGATTCAATTTCCTGACTTCCATGCCCAGCCATTCAAGATATCGGTCAAAGTTGAGGGAATTCATATAACAGTCGTAGAGGGCGACAGCGAGAAACAAGAGGCAAGCCATGCCCGTGTATTCATCGATGAATCGAATGTCCCGGATCCCGTGGTCGTAGTCGGGAAGCATGGTGAGTATGGAATGCAATTGCGTGCCGCGGCTAAATTGCTTAGTGCTCTGGCCCGGGTTACTAGACATTAGAACAGGAGGGGCGATCAACGCGGCATATTCCAAGTCATGTAGGCGGCGGAAGAATCTCAGAAAGTCCTCGCATGCTCGGAGCTTATCACACTCGCTTTCGGGCCCCTCATCCGTCGTAGAATCGTGAGGTATAGAAAAGTGAAGATCATGAGAAAGAAAGTCAACCCCGGAGGGTGGGATGTCTGGTACTGTGCCTGTCCAAGGTAGCGAGGTACTAACGATTGCCTTCGGGGCACAACTGAAATCAACCCTGCACGAACGGTCAGTCTCCAGACCCAGTGGGGCCAAACATGGTCGGGAACTACCAATAGAGAACTTTTTCCAAGAAAGGACTGGAGACGCGCATTCCTCGCATCCCTCCGCGATTTCTGATCATCGACGCCAGCCCTCGAAAGTGCATACGCTCGATGGAAGCATCTTTAGACCATTTCTTCTAGGTGTCAGATAGCTTTCTTCTAAAACCAGGAGAATCCTACGAACCTCGATAACAGCCATGGTAGCCACTGAGTAAATGGTCCCGTCATTTTGACCTGTCGAGTCTGCATGAATGCGTTCGTTCATCATCCTCAAGGCTCGCATCTTGTGGGTAAGACTTTGAACCGACTCAGTCTTCCCCTCTACACCTGCGCGATGCTTGGAGGCAATAGCAAGCATAGCTTGGAATGGAAGATCGTCATGTAGAGCGAATTGCCGAAATATTTCCATCATGGGGTTGTCTGTAATGCGATCGACAAACTTATACATCATAGATGGATAGGTCACCACAACTTTATAATTCGTAAGCTCCCAGCCAGGAAATTGTGAAGCATCATGTTCTTAAGAGGAGAAGAGTATAAAAAGAAAAGACAAGCAAGATATTCTAAATGCACACCGCAAGGTGGACTCCCACTGCGTCCTCGGGACAAAGGGACCTCACAACAGTGAAATAGCAGGCGAGCAAAACTTACAGTGTTGGATCAATTCATGATCCGCATGACAGATCGGGATAGGATAGCAGCCAAACGGGTCCCGGACGCCCCCTTCCCCAGGAGAGGCGCGGGGATCTGAAGATTGGAAGCTACTCATTACCGGAGACGGCTCTTCTTCCCGTTTGATAGTCTGGACTTTAGGGATTAACAGCTGCGAGGAGGGCTCTTGCCATCCCTGGGCAGTGCCTTGCTCCTCGTCCGTGGATGGTGACTCGCGCTCCGACTTCGTAGGAGAATCATCCTGCGCATCTTTGATCCGAGGGGACAGCCCCGAAGCCGCAGGATTTGAGGCGGGACGAGTACTCCAACCGCTAACCGGTACACGAGAGGTCCCCAGTCGAGCAATGCTGTCCAAGCGCCGCTGATGCATGTACTGGCGCATTGCATGGCGGCGGACCTGACGTCGCGACTCGCTATCGGTTACAAGGACAAATTCGAAGCTCCGAGACTGGGAAGCTTGCTGATTCGCCCTGGAGGACTGGTTGTTCCTGGACGATCTCGGGTTGCCCGCCTGATTACTGGCGAGTCGGCGGGCAGGCGGAGCCCCCGAGGGACCAGCATCAATCAAATCCTGACTGTTGACGTCGGGCCTGATGCTTGGCTCGGCGTCCCTGCTACCCTCTTCCCCCATCGTCTCATGATCCGGCTCGGACCGGCGAATGAATAGCACAGATCAAGCCGTGCGTTGGAAAGTAGTCGGGTGGGGAAGAGGCTTGTCCAGTTAGCTTGTCGGTGGGGAGTACCGACTTGCTCGGATAAATGAAAGGGTCCCTTGTTTTCCCGAATCTAATTTGTTTAATTGAATTTCGGCCTTGACTGTTTCCCGAAGAAACTGCCTCGATGCGAGAGACAGACTAGGGCCGCGTCAGATGGCACTGGGGCATATCAAGAGAAGACGAGTCGGGAGAGACCAAGACTGAGAGACTCCAATGTTCGCCGTTGGCCCGATTTCCCCTTTGGGCCTGGCGCCCCACCGTGACCGCACGTGACCCTTGACTCAGCGGCACGTGCCAATCGGAGGCATTAAGGCTGCCTGCTAGTTTAGTGGATGTGACGGCTTTGATGAATTGATGTCCAGTGCAGATTACGCGACCCTTTAGTCGGTGGACCAGCAGTCAGATCTACCGTCTACTCGATCATGACCATCATTACGAAAGGAAGGAAACACGTTTTTTTATGCCAAGCAGTTTAACGCCTGTAACCTTCGTATTCCCATGCAACCTTAGCGCCGATCGCCACGAGACCCGAATTAACCGTCCCATGGCTGATCCGACGAGCAAAGTATATTCCAGGGCTTGTCAAGTTTCAACTACTCCGTCTTCCGGAAATACTTGTGGGATCGTGGAGGACGTTGCAGGCGCTGTTCGATGCCAACCGACATGGCAGGCTCCACATTGCTTGTTTTTAAGGTTATTTATTTCAGATCAGATCCTCCCATGAAGTGGATACTTGATCTTGGCTCTCTCCGTCTCGCTGCTTTCCAATGATGCGAGTCCCATTGGTCATCTCGCTGGTGGCTGTTGCCCCGTTCTTCATGCCACGGACGAGGTTCCAAGGATGTCAACCAAGGCAATCCTAGTTTATGCCAACCCCTGTAAGCCAAAAAAAAAAAAAAAAAAAAAAAAGAGAAGGTACATGTCCGTGCCGGAAAATACCCCTAAGGTTTTTCTGACGAGATCGAGTCGTAGGGACTGCATGCCGTGTGATTTGCTCGCGAGAGCTCTTGGGACAAACAGAAGTTTCGCGAACCTTATGCGACGAAGGAATCTGCAGAGTACCGTCGAGTCAAACGAAGGGAAGACGCGTACTACCTTGAGTCTCGGAGGAGGACTCGGTCAATGACGCGTTACCTCGTTGGATTTAAGACCAGGGAAAATGTAGTCATAATCAACCACCGCTTTCTCGAAGATTTGTCAGTGCCGCCATTATTCCTTCGCTCATTTCCCCCTGGTCAGGTTCGTTAGCCCGGTTGTTTTCGACGGCGCCCTCCACTTGCGCACGATTCTCTTCTGATCTTTCCGAAGTCATGGTCAGACCGCTTTGATCGAGCCGTCTGGTCTCTGGGCGTGAAACGTCCCCTGCGGGAGCCGTTGCCCGTTTGGCAGATTCAACTCTGAAATCTTCCCGGACGGCATTGCACCACTGGCGCACTTTCTTCTCACCCCAGCCAGGCACTGAACCGATCTGCTCCGGTTGCGCGTTGATGGCGTTTTGCAGGCTCCCGAAATTCGAAATCAGGCTGGCAGCGTCGGACTTGTTCACGGTTCTGGGTGTGGTGACAAACTCGACCAAAGACTCTTTGTATGATTGCGCCTGCTGCGTGCGGATAGCCGTTGGTTGAGAGTTTTCCGAGGATTTGTACAACTCTAGATAGTGAGCGGCTTCGGGGGCTGACCAGCACAAGATCAGCGTAAGATTGTTGATGAGCGATGTCTTTGACAATTCCTTCAGACTGTCTTCGTGGTTGGGGATGTCGACCATAATGAGCAGGATTCGAAGGAGATATTTCCCTGCCATCTGCCGGATCCGAGAGTAGATGTATTCGGGATGTAGTCGGTGGTACTTCAGTGACAGAAACAGTGCGCAGGTAGTGTTACCAAGCACGTAATCAGCTGGGATATCGGCATATTCCCACGGCATGAGTTTGACATGATTCAGGATTGGGTTCCCTTTCTGTCTGGTTGAGACTAGAATCGCTGAAGGCCCGCTCCTGTTGGCAAGCACTTGCGGCGTTGGTTGCTGGACCTTTGGTTGCGACGGTCGTGTAGGGACAGAGCGCGCCGTCGAGGACGAACGACTGTTGTTTGGATCAGTCTCATTTTCACCGGCCATGATTTCTGCAAAGACCCGTTGCCTACTAGTATCTTTGCACAAGCTTGACATGATGTAGTCAAATGCAGCCTGCGGTCTCACCGCCTGGACCCACTTTTCCCTCCCCAAAACATCGGCGGCAATTTTTCTGCCGCTGATTTTGCTGCTGCCGAAAGAAAAAAAAAGACATAATCTGTCGCAGTGTTGGCTGGAAGCAATCAGGCCAGCATGGGTAATTCTTCCGACAACAAAGACACCTCCAGTCCCGAGGTGGCTGACACCGCTATGGAGAACGCGAAGAATGATGCGACCAAGGGGGATTCGACCTCCAATCAACCCAAGAGAACTTTGTTCGTTCGATCACTTCCCGCCTCAGCGACGACGGAGAAGTTGGCGGAACATTTCTCGCAATCCTACGTGATCAAGCATGCCACTGTTGTCACTGACTCGGAGACAAAGCAGTCCAAGGGTTACGGATTCGTGACCTTTGCCGACGTTGACGATGCGAAAGCCGCATTGGAGGAGCTCAACCAGTCCACTTTCGACGGGAAGAAAATTCGAGTCGACTACGCCCAACCGCGCCACCGAACAATCGACGAGAAACTGGGAAAAAGTGTCCCGTCCTCCGCTGCCATCGAGTTGAAGAAGCAGAGGGAGGATCAGAAGGAATCCTCTCTGCCACCGAAGTTGATCGTCCGAAACTTGCCGTGGAGCATCAAAGAACCCGATGACCTGGCGGTCCTTTTCAGAAGTTTCGGCAAGGTCAAACAAGCCATTCTCCCGAAGAAGGGCAAGGGACTCGCTGGTTTCGGTTTCGTTGTTCTACGAGGGAAAAAGAACGCCGAGAAGGCCCTGGAGGCTGTGAACGGCAAAGAAGTCGACGGGAGAACACTGGCGGTTGATTGGTCCGTGAAGAAGGACGTATGGGAGGATCTTCAGAAAGAAAACCAGGAACAGGAGGACAATGCCGACGGAAAATCCAGCGATGTCGACATGGAAGATGATGCCGAGGCGGCGAAGTCTGACGAAGAAGACGAAGACGATGAGGACGATGAGGATGACGAAGACCTTGACCTGGATGAGATGGATATGGATGATGAGGACGTGGAGGGAGGGGAAGAAGAGAAGGAAGACGAGCGTAACGCCTCTACTATCTTTATTCGCAACCTGCCCTTCACATGTACGGACGAGTCGCTCTACGATCACTTCACTCAGTTTGGTAACCTTCGATATGCGCGCATCGTCGTCGACCAGGAGACTGAGCGCCCTCGAGGAACCGGGTTTGTATGTTTCTGGAAGGTCGAGGATGCGGCCGCGTGCGTGCGCGATGCCCCAAAACAACAGGATCACGCCGCGGCGGACAAGACGTCAAACAAGAAAGCATCCACCGGATTCAAGCATTCGGTCTTGCAAAACGAAAACTCCGACCCGACCGGCAGATACACCATGGAGGGTCGTGTGTTGCAGATCTCTCGTGCTGTCAGCAAGTCGCGTGCTACGCAACTCGAAGACGAAGGCGTGTCGCGGCGGCTTGTCCGTGATACCGACAAGCGCCGTCTGTATCTACTTTCGGAGGGAACCGTCCCTCAGAACTCATCACTCTATAAGAAGCTTTCGCCGTCCGAGATCAAGATGCGAGAAGACAGCTACAAACAACGACAATCGTTTATCAAGAAGAACCCGACACTTCATCTCAGCCTCACGCGACTTGCCATCCGCAATATCCCACGCCATGTCACTTCGAAAGATTTGAAACAGCTCGCTCGACAGGCAGTTGTTGGCTTTGCCAAGGACGTTACGGCCGGTCTGCGCCAGCCCCTTTCCAAGGATGAACAACAGAGAGCCGCCGAAGAAATGAGAGAAGCGGAGAAATTGAGAAAACAGAAGGGACAGGGAGTTGTGAGACAGGCTAAGATCGTCTTTGAGAGTCGGGATGGCAACAAGATCGAAGAGAGCAGCGGAGCAGGCAGAAGCCGAGGCTACGGCTTCATCGAGTATTACACTCACCGTCATGCCCTGATGGGACTACGCTGGCTTAACGGCCACGCCGTCGAGGCTCCCAAAACCGCCACCGAGGAGGATAAGGAGAAGAAGAAGCGGCTCATCGTCGAATTTGCCATCGAAAACGCCCAAGTTGTCAAGCGCCGCATGGAACTACAAGCCAAAGCGCGCGAGGCGAAGAAAGAAGACCAGAAAGGCGACGGCAAGCCGGGCCGATTCGGAAAGCCAGGAGGACGACCGGACAGACGTGGTAAGCCGGGTAGGGACGATTCGAAGAACGACAAGGGGCCCCAGAATGGGACGAAGAGAAAGCGATCTGAGAGTAACGACAAGGGTCAAGACGGTGATCCCGACGAGCAGAATAAGGTGGCCAAACGCAACCGAATCATCGCCAAGAAGAGGATGCAACGCAGGACTCGCAAGGGGAAGGCTTAGTTGGTGGACGGGGAGACAAAAGTTAGAGAGATATAATGGCGCACAATGCTTTCTTGTAATTAAAATCAGTAACCGGCATGGTTAAATTCGAGTTTATCCAAAAGCACAAGAACCCTCAAATGCATCTGTAATGATTTCCATCCGTCGCGGGTATAGAGCCTTCTTCCAAAGTGCAGCAGAATCGCTCTTCCAAAGCAAAGCAAACATCATTCAAATTTCCGTCCATCACTTCAGTAATTCGTAGCATCCTGGACCTTTCCCACAATGTTATATCTCTTGCTAAAGAAGGTAAACCATTCTTCTAGCACCGTCTTCTCCTTGTCCTCGAGGTCATACCATTCGGGAACGCAGTTCTCGGGCTTGAGGGACGAACAGGCCAGGGCTCGAGAAGGGTCTTTTCCTGCAAATACTGTGCATTTGGTCAACTCAGGTCCATCTCGCCAATCTAGTCTTCTGAACACGGGACAAAAGGCAGGGCCAACGATGGGAAGAAGCAGGAGAAAAAAGCCACCTACCGCGATACTGCCCACTAGGGCTATAGGCGGCGTTCTTGCTCACGTCAAAGACGATTCCCTTGATAGCGACCAGAGTCGGACGATTGGGGTCCGTGCCTGTGAAGGAAATGAATAGATTGTCAGCAGGCAAACCGCGCAAAGAAAACCCGAAGACGCAATGTGGGCAGGGCAGACCATCGCATTTAGACAACTCTTCCATGGTGATCGGGTCGTACTTGGGGGGGTCAAGCTGAACCGGCACCTTGGGCTCGAAGCGTTTCTTTCCTGAATCCTGGGCCGACATTGTGCCAGTTGGTCAATTGCAAAGGGGTTGTTGGTTGACTGTTCAAATTGCGACTGCTCGGTTTCCCGGCAGAAAACAACGCGGGGCAGGCGGGGAAAAGATCGGAGGTCGGCATTACCGTGGGTCAGAGGGAGACAGCTCTAGTCTACCGGATCATTATTAATATTAATTACCTCAATCTGGGGAGATGGACCACGCGGACGGGCTGGTTTTGTCTGGTACAACAGCGTCAAGCTCTTTCCCGGGTCAAACCCTTTCAATGCTGCCGGAAATGGACATCTAAGGCATCCTCAGGCTCCCCTGTGCAACCTCACGTGGTGTAGAACCCGTGACGTCAACGTCCAGCTGTTCCAGGCATTTTAAATTCAACCCTTGAAGTGTTCAACTAATTACTCCGTATCTCCTCTGCCATCTGCCAGACTAATTTCTAGAATATCAAACAAATCCTACTTCTATCCCAATGTCGTCGTCACATCGGTCAGAAAGAAGCCCTCCCGAGCCCTCGTCGTCCCCTCGTCCTTCGCAATCCGGGGGTCCCTCTTCGAGTCAAGTCCCCCGAGTCGACGGGAGAGGCCATCTCAGAACGGGCTCTCCCGAGTCGGACTTTTCGCATTATCTCCATTACGACGACAACGATTCTTTCTTCCCGCCCAGTTTTCTCGGACAGAAACCGCCGACGCAACGCCAGCGACAAGTGTCTGAATTGGGTGATACAGTCAGGCAGCACTAAAACCAAAGTTCCTCTTTCGTCCTTGAGACAAAGAAAGTCAGGAGACGTGCTTGAAAAATGCAAGAGAAGAGAGTTTTTTAGTTCTTGGGACTGCAAGCAGAGTACATCCTGGAAGCAATCGTTAGGGCCCCACTCCCCCGGACTGGTGAATCCCAGCATGTGCTTCTGCCACTGTGGGTTTCCCTTTGAAGGCAGAAGTGCTTATTTCTCTTCTGATTTGCCCCTCTACTTTAGTAGTGCGTCGTGCATGCATTCTAATCTCTCGGCACTTTTTTTTTTTTTGGGCTCTCTCCCTGTCCCTCTCTCTATTCCGTTTCCCTCATGTCAAGCCTAATGCTCCTAATGCTACATTAGTTAGAGTTAATGACATCTCGCCTAGCCAGTTACTAGTCTGTCTGCACATTTCTTGTTTTTTCTTTTTTTTTTTTTTTCTCCTTCCTCCCTCGGTTCTTTTCTTCTTGATCCTGCCTTCCCTCTCAACTCTCAAGTGCTCCCTCATTTCTTTACCCCTCCATTTTCTTTTCACCCTCTCTTCCCCATGTTTATGACCCCATCGCTTTCATGAATTATTTTCTCTATTCTCTTGAACAATATTTTCCTCTCATTTAGTACCCTCATCGTCTTAAGTGATCATCACCATGGTCAATTCCAATTCAGATCTTGAGCGTGCGCCTGGGGTGGGGCCATCCCCCGCGGTCAATTCTTCTGGTCTGGCAACGGACAAACTGACCAAGAGAGTCGGAATCTCAGCCAACTTGTCGGAGAAGAATGTAGCAGACGATAGTCGTGCAGGATCAATTGACGATGAGTCGATTAAACCAGCCTACGATCACACCCACCGCAAGTTGAAGCCCAGGCATATCCAATTGATTGGTATAGGCGGCACAATTGGTACGGCGTTGTACGTCCAGATTGGCAAGAGTCTGGGAAAAGGCGGTCCTGGAAGCTTATTCCTGGCATTTGTCATATGGTCAGTCCTCGTCCCTTCTATCGATATGCATCTTGTTCTCGTGCCCCCGCTTGCTATTCTTCCGGTCCCCTCGACACCGCGATATCTCGGACGTCCTCGGCCATTGGTAAGTCTCCGGGCCAGAAAGTTGGAAATAGCATGGTCTACATGCTCCGAATTGAACAAGAGAACCAGAAGACAAACATTGAAAGCAAACCCTTCCCACCAGACGTAAAAGAGAGCAGAGAATAAATCCCTGGTCTCAGAGCCCACGCAACATACCATGACCTGCCACGTTGCCGCGGGGCTTAGGAACCCTTGCCTTATGCCCTGATACCTTTTCTTTTTGGACCTATGGAATCTTATACATCTCTGAGTTATAGGTGCTCGGTGATCCTGGCTATAACCGTTTGTACGCAGCCCCAACCCCCAATTCCACGAGAAAAAATACCCACAGCGGCCTTGTATTTGGTTCCCTCGCAAATTCTACGATTCCAAAAGCGCCTTTACCTACACCCGGTGTCATTTCAATCGCTCTGTCGACTTCGAAGTTTTGAAAATCCCATTGCAGCCATGCAGTCTCCCTGCCCTCCTCCCGGACTCTGCCCCTTCCCTTTTATTGTGTAGCGTTTACTGAGACCAGGATGATCAATAGGTCTGGCCGAGATGGTCACGTACCTACCCATTTCCTCGCCCTTCATTCGGTTTGCCAGTCGCTACGTCGACGAAGCGTTCGGAATGGCCGCTGGATGGAACTTCTTCGTCTTCGAGGCCGCCATGGTGCCTTTTGAAATCACCGCATGTAGTATGATCATCAACTATTGGAGTGATGCGGTGCCAGTGGCAGCAATCATCGTGATCGTGCTTGTACTTTTTGTGTGCGTTTCCTCGTCTGCAGTGGTGACGCTGGCAGTGTCTCCAATTCTGATTCGTGATATCTTAGACTCCTCAACGTCTTTGCGGTTCAGTGGTACGGGGAAGCAGAGTTCTGGCTCTCCCTAAGTAAGGTCTTGCTCAGCGTGGGCTTGATCTTCTTTACTTTCATCGTGATGGTCGGGGGCAACCCTCAGGGCGACCGCTTCGGCTTTCGATACTGGAACAACCCCGGAGCATTTGCAGAGTATTACAAAACGGGAGATCTCGGTCGATGGCTAGGCTTCCTTGCCTGTCTGATTCAGGCCAGCTTCACCATCGCCGGCCCGGACTACGTGGCCATGGCCGCCGGGGAGACAGTGAACCCTCGCAAGGTGCTGCCGAGCGCCTTCAACGGTATCTTTTACCGACTGACCTCCTTCTTCGTCCTGGGAGCCCTTTGCGTCGGAATCCTAGTCCCGTACAACGACGAAAAGATGGCCGCTGCATTTGGCAACGATTTGCCTGGCGCCGCCGCTTCGCCCTACGTGATTGCTATGGACCGACTTAACATTCCCATTCTTCCGCACATCGTTAACGCCATGGTCCTCTTGGCCGCCTTCAGTGCCGGCAATAGCTATGTCTACTGCGCCAGTAGAAGTTTGTACGGGCTTGCGCTGGATGGAAAGGCTCCGCGGGTGCTCATCAGGTGCACCAGGACCGGCGTTCCCATCTACTGCGTGGGGATCGTGCTTCTTATCGCGCTTCTCGCTTTCCTTCAGGTGTCCAACAGCGCGGCCGTTGTCCTGCAGTGGTTTGTGAGCCTGGTAAGTGCTTTCCCGTCTGCCGGCGGCTTGTCGCTGGGGTCGTCTCCCACCTTTTGGTTCTAATCCTGGCATGTAGATGACTGCTTCGCAATTGATCAACTTCTCGGTCATAACCTTCACATACACCCGCTTTAGAAAGGCGCTCATAGCACAGGGCATTCCCCGCCATAGCCTTCCCTATCAGAGTCTGGGTCAGCCCTACGTCGCGTACATCGCGCTGGTCTGCACCAGCGTCATGGCCTTTGTAGGTGGCTACGAGGTGTTCCTGCCCGGCAATTGGGACGTGCCCACCTTCTTCTTTTCCTACACTATGATCGGAGTGTTTCCGATTCTTTACTTTTCCTGGAAGTTCTGGCATCGTACCGAGATCAAAAAACTGGAAACCATTGATCTGGTGACGGGACTTGACGAGATCGAGACGTATACGGCCAACTTCATCCCGAAGCCCTCTAGGTAAGATGGAGAGAGACGGTCCCTACTTTCCCTATCTATCTGTTGGTTTGAAGCTAAATGTCGCGCAGCAATGTGTTTTCACGATTCGCCGATTGGATCTTCCAGTAACAAACAGCTCTGTGTACTTGGATGCTTAAGCAAGTATCTTGGATATCTTGGAGATAGGAGGAACTGCTTGTCTATGATTCTGATACGACTGATGACATGAACGTGTAAACAACGCAGGACAACGTGATGATAGGCTCGTGCGTGCATGCAGTGAATAAACATTGAGGCCAAGTCCATTAGTGGTTAACAACCAATAAGATAGAGATCAAACAAAATACAATCCTCAACATACACAGTAGCAAACCCCACAGCAAAAACCCTCTAGCATATATGTACAGCAGTCATAGAATGGAACGCGATTACTCTTGTCCCCCTCCAGCGGCCTTCACAGCGTCCAACCTCAACTTATTCCGCTTCCCTAGCACCCGCAGCGTATTCTTCTTCTCGATGTCCGTCATCTGCGCCCAGTTCGTGATCCGCGATAGCGATCCGTCCTGATTAACCACCATCGGTCCCAGGTGGTCCAGCGTCACAGTGGAATCGCCGTTCCCGCTCACGTCGAGCTTCGGGGTGTGCGAGTCGGCGCTGCTTGCGTCGGGGAGCGCGAGAGGTCGATGTGTTTGGTCTTTGTTTGAGTTGGTGTCCGCCGGGGTTTGCTCCTCCTGTTGTTGGTGGTGTTGTTCTTGGGCTTTGGATGATTCGGTCGACATGGTGGCGTAGGATTTGGAGTGGTGGGCTCGGGAGGTAGTAGCAAGGTCAGAAGGACACTGAGGATGGAAGATTGAGAAAGCGCTGAGTCGGGCGGGCGATTGAGTGTGGATGAAGTGGAGGGAGGAGGAAGAGGAGGCAGACGATGACGATGCGATGTGCGCGAGGGCGGTGGATGCGCGGGACGGAACCAGCAGCGGATTCAGGATGAGGTGGAACAACGTTGCGCGAGAGAAGGACATGTACATGTCTTGGATTGTGACGGGTTCTCTTTTATGTTGAAGGGAGGGAAATCGGGGTTGGATGGTGCTGGAAGGGGGTCGGAGGTTCTTGGTTCACTGATTGACGTATTTGAATGCTGGGGGGACTGGTGTCTTTTTTTTGTTCTCTTCCGGTGGGTTTGGCGGAGGATTCTAGAACGATCGTCGTTTAGCGCGGATGCTTTGAGTTTGGTTATTTGGTCTTTGGTTCAACTACAATTGATCTATTGATAGCTTGGAGAGATGATTCATACGATGTTGTAGTTGAAATTCCGACATCAATTGCAGTGGCTGAAATGCCTGCAATTAATGTTCTCAATGCTCGTACTTTGAGTTCATAACAGGTGTCTCATCTTCCCTGGACTATACATTCTAATAGTGCATGTAATATAGTTATCCGCATCGTTCAAGGGGGTATATCTAGTAACGCTAGCAATATATGCATGGTAATATGGGTGGCGACAGAGGATAAGGGCAAGATTTGTTGCAAGAGAGCGCAGAAAGGAATCGTCCTGATCGTCAATCATTCAGCCCAAGCTCTCGCGAACCAACCGAGCTCTATTTAATCGCTACGAAATTCATCAGCCGATGCAATGCAGATTCCACTGGCCAATTCTGCTGCCAGTTGCCGACTTCGAGGACTAATTATCGAAACCACCAATTGACCTATAAGATCCATTAGAAGAGCCCAAGTATCAGTGTCTTCCAGACTCACCGAGGCAGTGACTCCCTCTCCAACACCCTTAATGCTATGCCACCAGCCTTTGGGAATAAACAACCCATCGCCGGCTGACAGGCGCGCCTCGAACCCTTCGCAGTCCCCGCGCGACTCCGGACCCGAGGTGGTTATACCATCACCCCAAACTGCCGCCTCGAGTAAGGTCCTTTCCTGGCCCTGCATCATTTCCTCTCCCCGGAACGCTGCCGCGCCATGGTCACTGCTCCTTCCCAGCTCCCGTCTCACCGACGCAAACACGGTCTGGCCTTTATTGGGGGCGATCAGTCGCACAACTTTCTGCCCCGCAAGCTGCACGAAAAGGTTCGGATTCGGGTCGCGGTGAAGGGGTGTATATGTGGGTGGATATCCGATCCACACGTTGGTGTCGTAGATGTCGCCACGGCCTGCTTGTGACACGACAGAGGGTACCGGAAAATCATCGCGCAGGGTCTGCGGCAGATCGAGCAGTTGGCATTGCGCCATATATAGACGTGCAGTCGGCGATTGGGTCTCCGCCGCACGCATCCACTCCAGGAAGAGACTCAGAGGGGCATGGAATTTCCGGAATTCTACCTCTCCGCCTCCCGGCTGCCCCTGCTGGACAGATTGGGTGAGTTCCAGCGGGACAAAAGCGTCACCACCGTGCTGTTGCAAGTATTCCGTGTTCAGTTGCGACGCTGAGGGCGAGGATGAGGATGATCGGAACCAACGCGTTACGGCCGGAAGGTTATCAAAATTCCCGCGTGGCAGGACGATTGGCAGTTCTGGGGCGAAGCATCTTTCGCGGAATCTGTCCACGTTGACGTCGTCGAGAATGTCAAGAGGGCGGAAACGAGACACGGGAGGCTTACTCTGGGTGGTGACCCAGCTTCGTCCGGAGGGGGATGATCGTGCGGCTAGACATGATAATTGAGTCCGGACTCTCGAGTTAACGTGAAGCATTCCAACTAAGGCGTTGGCAGATGTTGCTGTCCCTGGTTCTCGAAGGAATGAAGAAAACCGGGCGCAACTCGGCAACGGTCGGGAGTCGGGAAATCTCCAGCTCCGGGCGCCGAACGATGAAGCAACTCACTGCTCTGATGGTCCGTACGGAGGTAAACCGACTAAGAGAAACCTTTTGCGAGGTTGTAAGGAGGGCTAGGGTATGAATGCACAATCGACCTGTTCAGTCAACCGACCGGGGTGGTGGGATTGTGCTGTCAAACCGATCGCGAGAACTGGCCTCTAGCATACTCGCGCATTGTCCGGGTGACCAGTTCTTGATCAGGATTCTTTTCGAAGGAAAATGAAGTACCTCACGATCTCTGGGACACAAGCTGGATCGATAAACGTCAATCGACCCGCCAAGTCTGGGGAAAACGGAAAACCCCGCGCGGCCGTCGACGGACGGGAAAGGGAAAGGAATCTCTCCGCGCCTGTCGCTGCCACCTTCCGCTCCAACTCCGCTTCTCTCCTCCCCAAGAATCCGTCGCGATGTCTTCAGAGTCCCCTCAGGTGGACGTGACGCCGTCCCGGCCGCTATCAGGCGAGCCAAATCCCGCCGAGGCTGGTGACAGTGCCAAAAGGAAAGCGGAACAGGCCAACGGAACCCACACGCGCTCCAAGCGGAATCGCTACATCTCCATCGCCTGGTATGACCCCGGATCTAGATTCCCCGAGTGTGGGATATCCAGAGCAGATTGGCGCTGACCACTGATGGAAATCCTTTTAGTAATGAATGCAAGCGTCGCAAAATCAAGTGTAATGGTCAAGTGCCGTGCCAGCGCTGTGGGCATCTCAATCTTGAATGTGCGCAAATCCCCTTTGGCGATGCTTTCTCCGTCCGAGAGTACATCCTCGCATATACATATATCGTCATTAACACGAGTCTAGGCCGATATGCGCCGAATTGTTGCAACAACAATTTCAAGGACTCCGAGTGCGTTTCCTTTCAGGTATCTGTTCGCCCGTTTCCGGTCCCGAAAGCTAACATACACATCACTACCAACAGGGAATTCCGGTCGATGAAAGATCAAATCACCGCTCTCCAAGACCAGGTCAACAGCCTTTTTACTAGTCTCAACGATCTCCGATCCCAACGATCTTCTCTCGGCTCCCCAGGACTCGAGAACTTTTCCCGAGATGGCTCGCAATCGGTCTTCACCCCGATGCAAGTTGGCCTGCCTAAACCACGCATAAGACACCCCCGGTTCCAAGGGCCCACGAGCTCTGCCTTCAACTTTGACGTGGCAAGATCTAGTCTGCAGAACATGGGCATCGCCCCTGCAGAAGAGGTCATCACGGATGACCTTACCACCGCGCATGCTACGCCCGCCGGATCGCCTCCTCGTGTGGCTCCATTGGTCCCCTCTATACATCCGACCAAGGATCCCATATGGGCCATCAATCGAGCGGATGCTCTGCGTCTCTGTCGGATCTACGAAGAAGAAATTGGCATCATGTATCCGCTCGTAGAGATCGACAAGGTTACCCGTCAGGTTAACCTGCTTTACACATTCATGGAGGCCGCAACCCGCACTGGATTTGCCCAGCGGGGACTTCCTGGATCGGACGGTCTTCAGGATGATAACACAAATATCTTGAAGATGATCATTGCGACGACACTAATTGTCGAGGGCGGCGGGCAGAGCGACCTCGGTCAGCGTCTGTATCTGAGCGTGAAGCCCGTCATCGAAGCTAAACTTTGGGAGCCGCTGAACATCAAGTCAATCCAGCTTTTAGGGATGGCGGTATGTATTTCATAACTTGGTAGTGAGTAGGTTCTGACTACGACGGCTAGGCAACGTATCATTTCCACACCGACGACGATGCCATGGCCTACCGCGTCATCGGCCTTGCAGCGCGCATGTGTCTCGAGATGGGCCTACACCGACGAGACGCGCTGGCTAAATCTTTTCCGGATGAGGAGCAGTGGCCGGAAATCGTCCGCATCTTCTGGGCCATCTACACCCTGGACAGGCGCTGGAGCTTCGGGACTGGATTGCCCTTCGTCATTCAAGACGAGGACATCGATCCCAGCCTACCTGAGCCGGTAAGTTCTGAATGAGATACCAAGATATAAACCAGCCGTGTTGACCGGAGTAGGATGCATCCATGCCCTACTTAAGGTGTATGGTTTCGTATAACCGCATTAGCTCCAAGATCTGGTACTCCGGGCTAGGCTCGGAGGGGATGACCGATGTGCGACGGGACGAGATTGGTTATCTGGACTATCAAATTCTCCAGTGGTACAAGCAGGTGCCAGACACCCTCAAATTCTATCCCGTGGAGTCTCCCAAGCACGAGTCAGCTAGTCGGGGACTTCGACGGTTGCGGGTGCTTGTGTACCTTCGCATGAACCAGCTTCGCATCCTCATCTATCGTCCGATCCTTCACTCAGCGGCCAGTATCGCCGAGGACAAAGGACATGCCCAAACGGTGGTCGACGTCGCCAAGGACACTGTCCGCGTACTGACGCGGCTGAACCAGACTTCTGACATCTACCGCACCCAACAGATCACCTTCAACTACTTCCTTGTCGCTGCGCTAGCTGTTCTCTTCCTGGCCGTGTGCCATGCACCGAATGAATTCAACCGGCAAGTGCGAGATGAGTTCTACATGGCGCTTGATCTGGTCAATGGCTTCAGTACAAAATCGTACGTGTCGAAACGATTGTGGAAGACCATCAAAGGGCTCCGCAAAATCGGCGAGCGACTCGGCATGCTGGTGCGTCCATTCGGGTCTGACTCGAACGATCCGCATTCGACGGCAGCGGTCGCTATGGCTGGCTTAGCCGGTCACCCAATCGAGGACATCTCGATGTACGGGCCCGTGAATGCGATGGAATTGGGGAACAGTCCGTTGAACGGACTGCAAATGAGCCAGGAGCTCACCAATCTATTCGAGGCCGTTGGGGGATTCGGCAATTTCATTGCACCCAACGCGAGCCACGACGGTATGCACAATTTTGTTGGTCACGACGGAGAGATTCAAAACACGGGCGAAGGATTGTCTGGCGTTTTGGGGGATGAAGGGGAGTTCGCTCGCGTCATCCGAGATCTATTTTGAAGGGCGCTTGGTTCTAATGTTGTCTGTATATACATACTTGGTACTTGTCTTGCCTTATATAATACCTACTGGGCTGGCCAGGATCTGCTGAACCAGGTCCTCCTCCGCCTCTGTTCTTCTCGTGTAGATCTGTGTGGATGTGATGCCCCAGGCCTAGATGGAACGCGCCTGAAGATCCAGGCCTCCTCCAAGGCGGGACACGTGACGGGGGGAACGGCAACCTCGCTCGACGTTCTTCCTCGTCTCCAGCTTTCTCTCTGTCTCATCCTGTCCCAACTGGTGACGGACCGCCTGTGAATTCACTCCTTTTCGCCTTCTTGCCCTGATCATTCTGCATCGAACGGTGCCTTAACACCTGCTGCGCGACGCCATTCGTCCCATCTCTGGACCAGCCACTTTTTTCCCACCGCCCCACGAAACCTAATTTCGGAGACCCCTCGACTCCGTCGATCGATCACTGCACCACCACCTTTCCCACTTCTGTCAAAATAACCTCCAACTGCAATTTGCTCGTCGCTTGCAAACCGTGCTTTTCGGTAATTTCGATGCCGCGTTGAAGACGGTCACCGTTGTACGGCCATTGCTATTCCGCCAACGCCTCTTATCATCGCACAATAACCCGCCGGCCCGCACCTTGTCATGACCCCTCAGGTTTCCGGATAGACGCAATCGCTTTCCATCCCAGTTCCCGACAAATCCCGACGATCGTGCATCTTACGACAAGCTTCCACTAATTCTGCCCCTTTCTGCAGCTTCCAAGGCTGATATATCGGACCGCCCGTGAAATCGGTACAGGTCTGCAACCCGCGCAGTCTCTTTCCGAGAGCATATCGAAACAGTTTTCATCACCATCTCGGCAACGTGTCGAGAGAGACAGGTTCGGCGTTGGCCGACGGCCTAGACAGGCTGGATCTGAGTCAACTGTCTGAATCAACGCCCTCGTCATCCGCATCCGACTCGTTCGATATGTCGTCGTCGGAAGGCGCCCCGGAGTCATGGATCTCCTCGTTCTGCTCCCTAATGGGCCATGAATTCTTCGCGGAAGTGTCGGAGGATTTCATCGAGGATGACTTCAACCTGACGGGTCTGCAATCGCAGGTGCCCATGTATAAAGAGGCCCTCGAGATGATCCTCGACGTGGAACCGGAGGAGGATGAAGACGAGGAGGAAGAAGAGGAGGAAGAGGATGACGATGACGAAATTCTGGGCGACGAGAAGCCCCCTGGATACCGAAGGGCCAACGATCGCCGGCATACGCGCGTGGCCAGTGATCTGAGCGTCATCGAGAGCTCGGCCGAGTTGCTTTACGGACTGATCCACCAGCGTTACATCACCTCGCGCCCCGGAATCCAGCAGATGCTCGAGAAGTATGAAATGCAGCACTTTGGCGTCTGCCCTCGCGTGAACTGCAGCGGCTGCAAAGTTCTGCCCGTGGGCCGCTCCGATACTCCCGGCCAGGAGACCGTGAAGCTCTTCTGCCCCAGCTGCCAGGACCTGTACACGCCGCCCAACAGCCGATTCCACTCCGTGGACGGGGCCTTCTTCGGCACCACGTTCGGATGTCTGTTCTTCATGACGTTCCCCGACCTGGACATCAGACCTCAATGGGACAACCCCCTGGCCATGCAACCTCCCCGATCGTCCTTGCCTAGCCTGAACAACCAGGTGTCGGCCGAAGTGCCTCCTCCCAATCAGCCCGCGGAGATCAACGGCATGCGGACGGTGAACTTCAGCCCGGGCCTCGGCAAGGGCAAGGTCTACGAGTCCCGAATCTACGGATTCCGCGTGTCAGAACGGTCTCGGTCGGGGCCCCGCATGAAGTGGCTGCGAATGAAACCGACCGACATCACCGAGCTCGACGAGCTGACTCGCTACGAGTCTATCCACGGATCGGCCGACAACGAGGGCGATACCGAGATGGGCGCCGCTGGCGGAAGTGCACAGAACGCGGCGATCGCAAAGAGAAAGAAGGCGCCGATGCGACGACGACGATACAACCCTGATCAGATGAGTATTAATGGAGCGGATGCACCATAGTTAAACGAGGTGATGACATGTTTTTTTTGTTGTTCCAGGTCTTTAATTTAATGATCTCGTTAGGTTAGGTCGAATTGAAGAGAAAGCAATGTGTTTGATTGATTGATGTGACTGGGAGATGAAGAAGCAAGCTGCATTTCCTTTTATTTTTCTCTTTCTTCTTTTCTTGTTCCCTTTTTCTCTCTTTCCTCCTCTCTCGTCCTTCATCCTGTCCCGTCTATTTCTCCTTTCTACTGAATTCGTTTCTTCTCATTCATGGTCTCGTTTCCTCGTCTCCCCAGTTCTACTACGCCTAGTTTCATCTTTCCATAACCCATGTCTCCTTGTCTCCGATCGACTTGAAATATCTCTCTTACATTTCCTGTTCTTTTCTTTTTTTCAAAGCTGCATCGAGGCGTCGTTGAGTCGAGCTTTTTCGTCTTCCTGGCGTACAGATTCAAGTTTGAGTACAGTTAAGGAGGAATTCATGGAATTGAACTTATTCAGATACTAAAGTGCCTGCGGGTTTGATCGTATAGATTATAAAGCTTCGATCGAGGGCATCTTTGAAAGATATTCGAGATGAGAATGTGTTCGACACTACTGACTAGTGGGTAGAATTTACTTGATCGCATGTGGCGATATCGAGACAAATCTCCGATCAATTGCTTTGTCTGAATGTGACTCTATCCAAACCTGCCAATTCCGACCACGGGCCAGAGCAGGTCTACGCCTAGAATCGATCCTCACTGGACGAGATGATATCTTTTCGTATATTCCATCGGGCTAAAAGAGAAAGGAGATGAGAATGGCCCTTCGCGGATCTCTTGCCGTACAAATGAACGAATGAGAATCACATTGGCCTCACACTGTAGAGTCAGTACGTAGCAACGCCCGTAGTTCGCTCGATGTTGGTGTTACTCTTCCAACACATCGACGGCAGCTCCGTGAAGCCAAGGGCAGTCATTATCAATTAGAAGGTAGCCCTCGACCACGAACCCCAGACAACCAACCGCCTTTGTGTGTTCATCGACACCATGGACGGTAGATACCGAATTCAGCTTATTAACCCACGAATGACGACGTATCGCGCGAAGCTTCTGAGAGGCTGGTGCTAGCGGTCAATCACCGGGAGGTGAAAACCAGTCGCCCTTCATTGGTGAGCTGCAGAGGGTGAGATGTTAGTTTCCTTCATGTAGACTTGCATCTCACGGATGTGTTGGAATGGGCGAATTTATCCGTGGGATCTGGACTGGGTGGGATGCCATGGGGCCCGATGGAGAAAAAAAAAGGACGAGCAGGTGAGTGACGGTGACAAACAATCACTCTGACACCCAACCATGCCATCCTTTGATTGCTGAAACAGGCCACTGCAAGTCCCAAGGACTAAAGACGCACTAATAGCTGGGCTTCAGGAAAGATGAACGGTATCAGCACTAATGACCCTCGCACGTGGTGAAGTGATGGACCGTAATCTTCAGAACTCACGGACACATCCTTTCATTTAATTTTAGCGATTTTGGGATAAAAAAATATTCGAATCACGGAAGCCGGAAATTAAAGGAAACAAAAATCAAGATCAAGATAAAATACAGGGGCATTGAGTACGGAGGAAAAGCAAGGCAAGACAAAGAAAAACAACCAAGGGGGCCAAGACCGACGATAGACTCACGTCAATGGACCGTCGGGATCCAAGATTGATTAATTCATTTCTGTCATTCCTTGCAGGGGTGGTGCCTTCGTATCCGTCAATATTGCGACATTTTTCCCTTCCAACGGCGATAGAACAACCATATCGCCATCAACTTTGCATGGGGATCAGAATGCAACCTCCTCAAATACTTGTGTCTCTCGGATTTCGCCGGTATTGGACGCGATCATTGGCTTGATTGAGCCGCGTGTGTGTGCAACCTTACTTCACGAATCCAAGCCCAGCGCCGACATGCCAGGCTACTGCACAAGAAATCGACGCCCGGCGGATACGAGCTTCTGGTCAATCCGGCAGGTATCACCAAGGCTACCGAGATGAATGGCCGAGCTTTAGTTTATTGAGCGATATCTCCGGGTCCGACCATATTCTTGTGTCTGGGGAGAGTGCAACGTTGGAGGCCGGATGGTGACTAGAGGGAGAGACTAGCGACTAGATTAATTACCGTAGGAATGAGTCGCCACATGGACTGGTGATGTTTAGCCTTTAGGCGCCCAGCTAGTGCCAGCAAACGGCACGCCCCTCGACGATGGGATGGAAGTGGAATGTTGGACGGTTGGACCCAGGGGCCAACCATTCCCCTCCCCTCCACACGCAGCCGATTGTCAGCATTCAGTTTTCTGACCTCCGCCCGTCATTGGCCCGCTCGCTGTTGATCTGGCTCTGGAAGAGCATACCCGCTTCCTAGGCCGGGAGGACCGCCAGCGCGACGGACATTGGCTCCCCCGCTAAGGACCCAATCTCTGGGGCTCGAATGGAAGAGGGATCCATGGATGGGAGGAAAGTCCGCACTGAGGAGTCTAGACTAAAAGGGAAACCGACGGTTTGTTAGCTGTTAGTGTTACCCAACCCAACCCTGGAAGCGATACGCCCACGAAGAAACCCCTCTCCAAATGCTAGAAAGAAGAAAAAAAAAAGACAAAGACGTAATTGATTAGATTAATAACAGAGGGGGGTAACCAAATCAGTTAGTTCCAATCCATGAAATCCATCCCGGGAGGCTGAACTCGGCCATACTCCGTAAACACCTTTTAATCCCGAATGACTCAGGAAGTGGGGTGGGAAGGAAACAATTAACAGAGATAAGGTCAAGTAAGACAGTTGAACGACGGTCTATACTGAGAGGGGCAAGAAGGCTTTGAAACCTCTTCGCATCGCCTCCCCTCAAAGTACCGGTACGGAGTCGCAGGTCTGGGTGCTCCGTACGGAGTAGGACTCTATTCTTTAGGACAGGATTTGCAGCAAGTGAACCTCGTCCGGGTCACACATGGTCAAT